CCACACCACATGAAGCCTTAGGGTGACGTATGATACGGTCTCAATTCCTTGCCTGTACTAGACTGATCTGAGGTGGGATATACATTCTACGGCACTAGCAGACTCATACCAAAGACGGCGGTTGAAATGCGAAAATTCCCGCCGGCCGCATAGGTCACCTGCAGGAGGGATAAGGGGGTTACTGCGCTGGGGTTGTTATTGTACAAAGACATGGGCTAGGTCTATCTGGGGAGGTGTCTGGGGCAGTCTTGTCACCGGTCTCTATCCCTTCTTGATGAGCGATAGGACTCTCCTCTGCTCTCGCGTGGTCTGTCTCTCTCTGAACCTCTGCCACTATCCCTACCTCCGCCCCGGTAGTGGTCTCTTTCCCCCCGATCTCGGCCATCATACCTGTCCAGGTCTCGTGTGCGGCGGTCATCCCGTGTTGAGGCTCTCTGGTGGTGATATTGCGGGCTCCTACTCCGTGACCTTCGGGATCCCATCTCTGGACGGCCGTCCTCCTTGCGGCGCACGTCATCCTTGTCGAAGACCATTCTGTAACCCCGTCCGTTCTGCTCGCGGGTAGCTTCATCTCGGTAATGTCGTTTCTTCTCGAGGCTCGCGATCCCGCCGAAGCCGCCCGCCTGTCGCTGTCTTTTGGAATTGGTTGCATCTCTCCACGTGTCTGATAGCTTCGAAACGCTTTGCGAGAAGTCCACATGGATGCGATGATCATCTATGAGCACGCCTTGCATCTTGAAGTACGCCTGCTCACAGTCCTTTTGGTTCTCGAACTCAATAAAGGCATACTGTAAACTGTCGCCGGTGCGTTTGTCCCGGATCACCTCGCATGAAAGAATCTTGCCGAAACGGCTGAAGATCAACTCGAGATCCTCGTCATGGGTGACGGGATTGAGCTTGCAGACAAAGAGAACATTCTCCGGAGGCTTGACTTCTGCAAACGGGAGGTCACCAACCATTTCGAGAGTCAGAGCCTGTGCTCTTGCCTCTCGTTCACGCCGAAGCTTTTCCATAGCTGCTTCATCAACTTCTTCATCAAGATCCTCGTCGTCAGCAATCATGACGGTGGCCAGCTGCGCTTTGGTGGGTGCCGGACTCGCATCGGGCACAACGAGTCCTGGAGGGTCCGGGTAGGGATCTTCCAGGATGATCGTGTGGCGGATGCGGATGTCCTTGAGCGGCCTCCCGTCGGCGTTTGTGAAGGCATCGTTGATCTTCTCCAGTGTGTCAAATCCTTCCACGACCATTCCAAAAGGAGCGGCCTTGCCATCTAAGTAGTCAATGTTCTCCCCGAGAGTGATAATGAACTGGCTTCCAGCAAGACGCTCGTCGGGATCACGTGCAGAAGGCACGGTCGCCATGCTGACTGTCCCACGCTCAGTGTGTTTCAGCTTCGGGTCGATGTCGGCAACGAAGCTCTTCTTCGAGGAACCGGAGAGCAGGCCCCATATCGAACTACCTCCATCACTTTCGGGTGAGTCTGGCCCGAGTGGATCTCCGGTCTGACAGGTGAAGCCTTTCTGCACGCTGTGAAATGGAGAAAAGTTATAATACTTCACTTTGCATAGTTTCAAGAAGCTTGGTAGAATGTCAGCGTCCCTTCCAGGCGGGAGAAACAGCGTCAAACTCACTTTTCACAGCACTTTGGCGCGCTGTTGACTAGCAGGTCGATGACAATCTCGCCTAGCGATGTTTCGAGTAACACGCTCATGTCGAATGTCTCTCAGACGTAGCGAATGCGCATCTGCACAGTCTCAGCTGACCAAGTCCACATTCTATAGCTTCTGCGTGACGACGGTGAACGGTGAAAGGCTCCGAGATCTTTGGCGGGAAGGTGTCCTGGCATGGAGGGTGTCAATCCTCCTAGCAGCTGCGCTATGAATCTGAGACTTTAAATGACCGTCATTTAAACCCATCGCCCGGGCTGGCTCTGCCTGGCGTGCCTACAAGGTAGCCACCAGTGCCACCTATTAACTACCGTAGCAGCTAGCTGCTACCTGGGAGCAGTAAGGAGGTACTCAACTTCACGCCTAGTCCTGATCGGGCTCACTCCTTTCAGATGGTCGAGGCGTTCGATCTGGGCTTCACTGCCGCCTCAGCGTCGTCTCACCCCGTCTTCACCTCCTCCCCAGGTACGATGCACTAACTGCTGGGTTGTGAGCTTCAAGAGAGATCATCTGCACTCCACTTTTCGAGTGGGCGTTCAACGCCTTCAATCTCGCTTCCGCCTTCTCACCTTGATGCTGTAGCCAAGGGCAAGCTCATTTTCCTCAGGCCATTATCAACACTTATGATGATGGGCTCCCAACAGACAGCAGACCATGAGCATGACACGCTTGTCCAACAGAACGTGACAATCAACAACAGAACTGGGAAGACTAGCTCGATGTGACCTCCATCTTCGCTTTTGCGAATGAACGCACGCACCAACCAGCCTGAGAGAAGGATACTGTAACAACGCCCGCCCTGCAATTATCCACGTTGCCAGTCTTTCTTTACACAGTCATACAGAAATCCCCCGATTCTGTCACGAACCGTCGTCTTTCATGGCTTCCACCCGTGCTTCGATGACAGGTCCAGCCGTGCTGCCCTGGTCTCACCGTCAACCTCCATCTTCTGATCGGCGCTGTTCTGCACAACATGAGCTTGCACAAGGGAGATAAGCATCTGGCATGGACCGTTTTCGAACCGCAGCTGAGCATTCATATCCATGATCCATACCCGGTATCTCGCGAGAGACATTCCTGGAGACGATCCCCGGCCGTCAAGGAGCCCACCATGATGAGTTGTGCAGTGCTCCTGGGAATCGTCTAGTAAATACGCCACTTCATGCGTACGGGCAACATCCGGCCAAACTGAGTCGGTAGTATTCGGGGGTTGCTTCTGAGGGCTGCTCCCTGCTGCAAACACCCGTAGAGGAGGGTATCCCTGTCAGCCCTCGCACGAAGGTGGCGGCAGCTCAGGCTCTACTAGGGCTTCGTTCTTGGTTCAATGCACCTCTGTGTGACGAGAACGGACCTGAAACTCATTCTCTGATTTGTCAGGTCCTCTGTGGGTTGGGCTTTGGAGGGATGGGGCTGACCTCTCGACATCTTGTGTTACCAAAGTACCCTGTGATGTTCCGCAGGCTCTTTACAGCAACGGTGTACGGGCTGACCTTGCGCACAGGGTACAGGCTATCACGGGACAGCCCATCTCGGCCGCTCAACTACACTGCTGCTTCTGTCATGTGCGCCAGTCCTGTTGCCAGTTTTCTGCTTCAACTCTTCCGCACGTCCCGGGTCCTCCAAGCGTCGAGATGGCAGTCCTGTCGGCCAGTGATTGTGCAAGAACAAATTCGCCTTCCGTACCCAACATGTCAGGGACATCCTATCGCTTCTATACCGTTGTGGACGAAAACGTGGGCTGTAGTGCTCGACGAGGCTGTGTAATCGAGAGGCGGAAGGCTGGGCGTGGAGGCCGCTCCTCTACGCAAAGAGTCCACCCGTAACGATACTACTCCATACCCGGCTGATCCTTCCAGCTGCGAGTTTGCTTGAAAACAAATGGGGCATCTTATGCCACGTTCCTTGCAAGGATTTGGGCCGAAGTTCGCAGCCAATCAAGCTCGTTGGACACTGATAGCAAACAGAGCCCGCTCCTAAGCTGCGTTTGAAGCCGCAACAACACGATGTCGATTTACATCCCGCCCTCTTCAACATTTGCCTTCCAGAGACGTGCGTCACACGTCTTGGAAAGGTGTGGCTCAGAAGGATGCAGAAGCTGTCTTGATTACCCACATGGAACCCATCCAGCCAGGATCCAGAACCAGTCCTATGTGCAGTCATTGCTCCAAAACGGTTTGCAGGTTGGCCTCTAAAGATACATGGGTCTCTGATTGGTTTTCTGCACCGAATTTGTTTCACGGCTGATATGGCAGGCATCCCATAAGATCGTCGACGACTGGTTAGTCGTAGTGTCCGCTGAATCAGGTTCTTGCAATGGACCAAGCATCAGCGTCACACGGCCGGATGCCTGCAGCAGGCCGTTACAAGGGAATCTTACGACCTGGTTTCAAGGACAACTCTGAAAGCGTGACTTTTCGGTGCATGTCCACAGTGAAGCCATTCGGGTCAACGTCGCTCATGATATGACATATCTCGTCAATCTGGTGTGGACCGCCCTTGGGAATATTTGATCTTTTCTCCTATTGGAGTACATCCTGGACGTGCTTCTGTTCGACTGATCCTGGCTTTTTTTCCTTATTTCTCCGCCGATGCTCATTGCTCAGGCGCGATCACTGCACTAGTCGGAGGTTCTGGCACGCTCAAATAGGACCTGGTGCCAGCTTTCAGCCATTGGTCGGCGAAAGGCTCAGCCCTCTCGACGCCGCCGATTTTCATGCCTGAGTACTTTTGTTTGCTGGTTCTCGCTTCGGTTTCAGGCGTATTGTGCATTATGGTGGGCAAAATCTCCCGGATGTTGTGCATGTTTCGGTTGACGGACGAGCTAGATCATGACACGGCCGCTATACTCGGACCTTGAGTTCTTCAGGCGCACCGATCGAGGCGTGCACATGCCGTTGAGCCAGAGTTCTCATGTCCACGATCAGTACGAGGCTGGAAGCCACCTCAGCAGCCGCACTACACCGTCATCAGAGCCCGATAGCAGAGCGTCGAGCGGCTCGAGGAAGCGTGTGCCTGTTGCTGTACGTTCTACATTGGTCATGTCATACACCTTAGATGGCTCACTCACACGGGTGCAGTGCGAACGATGTCGAAAACGGAAAATCAAGTGCAGTGGCAATGAAGGCGATAGTCAAGCTTGTGCTAACTGCAAGAACTCTGGTTTGGAAGTCTCGTGCCGATTTCTTCGAGCAAGTGCCTCCTTGCCGTCACGGACGCACAACTGCTGACTTTGTCAAGGTCCAATCCGTTGAAACCACGCACCTTGGCTTTCCGCGGACCTACGCACCTCGATACTCTCCGTACGGACTTCCTACACACCATCGCCTGAATTACATGTCTATGCCGTCAAGGTGCTCTCCGCCCAGTACTCTGCAGTACCACTCCCTTCCTAGCAGCGTTGAGTACAGTCCATACACTCATCAAGCCACGAGCGTCGACTGGAGGCCACCATTTGTTGGACATATAAATCCGTATTCACCATACCCCGACGACGAAGAGTCGAGCCCTCTGGTTACACAACCGCCATCCTACATGCTTCCTAACACAGATCCTATGGCAACGACCAGCACCTTCTACATGCACGGACATGGAGTCCGACCACATCCTAGTTCACTTTGGCCAGAGCCTCAGCCCTATGTGTCTCAGCCGATTTCGCTGCTGACCGGCATTCCATACACAATGCCCCATGAGAGTTCACAGTCCTTCCAAACAATTGGGACTGCTGGAAGTCTCCCTTCAGACCGTATCTTACCACAACCCATCACGGCACGTAGCTATATACCAACGCCAGCCAGCTCGATTGACATACCTGTTTCCACCCCAGGTCAGCGAACGCACAACCTCTGGCACAATGACACCGGCACGCCTGTTCCCCAGCTGCCGACTCCAGCGGAGGTGAACTCAAGGCAAGAGCAGAACACGGGAAGGGAAAGTATCCCTTACAGATTACAGGACATGACATATGGCCAGACGAACCTGAATGAAGGACTTTCAGGGACTCCTGCATCAACTGGCAACTATCTTGCAATCAATGAGGCTCGGCCTTCTACCACGACAACTCCAAGAGAAGATGCTACCTCTCAGCAGTCGAGCTTATGTCTGGCCGTTCCTGGGAGCCAGAGACCAAACGCGGAAACCTCCGATGTTGCATACAACTACAGTTCATTGGGCAGCCACATTTCACAATTAGGGGGTGCATCTGGCGAGCTCCGCCCAGGTGCGTTGTACTGCCAAACGACGATGCTTACTCGACGGGAGGCTGGGTCTGATGATTGCAGCCCAGACTGCACCAGCTGTCAGACCGAGTCCACGCGAACGTCGTTTACGTCGATGACCAGCACGTCCTCTGGTTGCTAAGCGGAAAATCACACCTTTCCCGGTGTTGGTCGGTCTCATTACCGATTTGTCTGACTTGTCTGACTTGTCTGGGCTGCATCAAAAGCGTTCTGTCATTCTCTCCCTGCATTAACATCGTGTGGCTATACCCAACCCTGACACAACAGCATAACTCTAATCCTGGACATAGCCAATTCTCACGGGCCTCTGAAGGGCACAGGACTGCACCGTTATAAGGGGTTTGGCATGTATTCTCGGGACTCATGATAGTGGAGGTGATATTGTGGCTCTACTTTGCTCCTTTGTCTGGTTATCTTCTGTGTGTTATGAAAAAAGCAGTGGGAGAGCCGCGTTATGGGAGATGACAAAATGAATACGAATCATCGATTGATGTCGTCGGGCCGCATGTCAGGGGGAAAAGTACTCATGTTCCAGTCGGGTCTCGTGTTGGATGTCATTGAATCCGCTGTTTTCAGTGTCAAGCTTCGTCTTGAGCCAGGTAATGAATGTGCCGCTGTGGCGGTGCCGGAAGAGGGCTGTGGGTGACGAAGCCCATCATGTACTGCAACCTCCGTGTCTCACTGAAATCTCGGATGACGAAGCTCAGTCCTCAAGCAGCCGTGGGGATTCCGGTCTTCACATGACTTTGTAACATTAGTGAAATTGAACGAATGGCTTCCGATCATTACACTGGAGAGGCTGGTTGCAACTTGGGAAGGCGTCTTCTTCCGCGAGAAATGAGACTCAAGACCTGTCCTCGACTGAGTGAGCGAATCCGCCAGCCACGTCCGCTTTGATGCAATTTTCATATTGTTGTCATTTTGCAATGCCACAATGCTGGGCAATGGTGTCATTCTACCAAACCATTCGGCGTGTAACCCACGAGGAGGCCGACTTGGAGAGTCTGTTCAGGCTGACAATACTTGACCACCATAGTCGCTTCTTCTTCTTCTTCTTCTTCTATCCGCGCAAAGGTTGTGCCACCTGTGTTCCCTTCTCCTAGCCACACCAGGTGAGTAACCACAGAATAATTGCGCTCTCGCACGTGAGGCGTTTCACCCACAGTCACCAACGCCGCCACTGCCACCGCTCCACGACAATCACTTCCACTACCACTTGCAGTTGCCCCCTCCAGAACGTGCCGCTTACTTGCTCTTCTTGTCCTTCTTCGCGCCTTTCGTCTTGGCAGTGCCTCGGAACTCCTTACTCCTATTCTTCCGCTGCTTCCTCTGCTGTCGACTGGCCTTCTCGACCTTTGTGGCGTGGCCCACTCTGACCAACCGATAGTGCGGCTCGAATTTCTTCATGGCCTCGACGGAATCGTAGATGAGTGCAAACCCGGTGGACTTGCCACCGCCGTACTGGGTGCGCATGCCGAAGACGTTGATCTGGTCCTTGTTGGACTTGTACACTTCGGCGAGTTTGGCGCGGAGGTCGTCTTTGCTGACGTTGGGGCGGTTGGGGTGCAGGACATCGCTGGACAGGGCACTAATGTCAGCTTGAGACTCGATGAGTGGGACAACCGAGAGGTATGAGTATGGTGGCATTGGACTAGGCTTGACTTTGACTTGAGCGCACTTACACGACAAACTGCTTGCGCGAGAGCAGTCTGTTGGTGATGAACTTGCGGGTTCTGATCGTGACCGCTGAGTCGGCCATGATTGCGACGGGGTGGGACAGAGTGATCGCAATCGAGGTTGTCGAAACGGAGGGAAAGGAATTAGGGAATGTCGAGTGTCTTTGTCGCTCGGATCAAACGCAGTTGGATGTCGATATGCAAGATTCGGTCGCTGGCTCGCGCCAAAATTGTGGGCTTGGCACGGTGAAATCTTGGCGTTCGGATGAGCTAGTCCCGATCGGTATGGGCAAAATCAAAAACACTAGCAATTCATTCTTCCTCTCACTCACCCCTCACTCTTCGCGGGATCGATGGATGTTGTGCAGAGCCGAGCAGCCTGCTAGATACCCCCGTTTGGAGTGTTTGATACCTCTCGTGGCATCGACAGCGGAACTCCCACTGGCGGATCCATCAGCATGGATATTGCTCGAGCTGGTGTCGAGCCTGTCGTGGTCAAGTTCTATCGCCAATACATGCAGCAGATCAATGAGCTGAGCTATCCCCCCGGCTCGCTGCTGCTCGCTCCAGACATCCAGACGTGCTTGTACAAGTATTTTTTCGATGTAAGCCAGAACAAGTTTCTGCCTCCACCACGGTATCAGACCAAAGTCCTGCGCCAGATCATCAGGGAGATTGAAAAGACAATCAAAGACCCCGAAGAAGAAGTAGGCCTCCTGCTTTTCTGACTTCCGCGTCCCTCCATTCCTGCCTGTTTGTGTGTTTGTTAAGTTCTGTTGCCTCATTTTCCAATATTGTGTTGGAACAACTGACTTCTAGCCTCTCCCCAACAGCAAGTGTCCGACCAGTTATATGAACACCTAGGCTACCTCTCCGCGATCCCGCTCCAGGACCCGTCAGAAGAGGCTCAACAACTTCGTGTTCACTCCTACTATCCACCGCTTCCGTTCGACCAGCCTGGCGTCCAGCCCGTCCTGATCAAAGAAGCACACAACCTTCTCTCCAAGGGTAACAACGTCGGACTCCGCACCTGGGAAGGATCTCTCCATCTTGCGTGGTACTTGACGGCCCAGCGACCCGAGCTGGTCAAAGGGAAAAACGTGCTCGAGCTTGGCGCGGGGACGGGCCTTTTATCACTTCTTTGCGCCGGACAATTGCACGCTTCATCCGTCCTGGCAACCGATGGCTTGGGCCACGTATGCGAATGCCTAGAAGCCAATATTGAACTCAACGTGCAGAACAATACCCTGCAGAGCGGTCGACCGCCGCAAGTCCTGCAATTGGACTGGACGGACCGTGAAGCCATCGATGGGCTCGTGCAGAATGTCAAAAGCTCAGGCGCGAGCTATGACCTGGTCATAGGGTCGGATATCACCTACCACCCGGACATTCTACGACCGTTGGCTCAAATCCTCAGCACTGTGAAGGACTGTTCTCCCGACGTGGTCATCCTCATCTCGGCAGCCATCCGCAGCGACACGTTCTGGCAATTCACGACGATCTGTCGCGACGAGTTCGGGTTCAGCGTCGTGGAAGAAGACGTCCACATCCCTGACGGACTCCAGTACTCTGGCTTTTTCCACTCAGTCATCACGCCCATCAAAGTCGTCTCTCTCCAGCGGTGATGGTGGTCTTAGTCCTAGTACCCAAACGTCGCCCAAGCCAGTCGGCGCAGCAGGCACGAACTAGCTATCTGATTCAACTCGATTTAGAAGCTTCAGGTGTGAAAGAAGTGAATATCAGAATTCAAGGCTACCAAGCTGGCGATTCTGTCGCGCGTGATTGCTCAGGTCAGTCTAAAGTAGGGTAATCACCTCGGACAGTCTCAGCTACGCGGGTAAATACCAATTTTGCAGATATTCGACCCATTGCACGGCCAGTAAAGCACGCAGTTACTTCGTACTCAAGCAAGTCCATACTGTGGTCTACTGCATCCATTTGACAGATTCGACTCTGCTTGACTCGCCGAGTTACCAGTCCCATGGCGGATGATGTCGAGCATACCAAATCATATCCATACATTGCAGACCCATGGAAACGGCCTTGGGAAAACCTGCACACCCACCCAGACCGTGGGCGCTATGGCGGCAATATCCGAGTCTCATGTCCTCACATACCAAAATACCATCATGGCATGATGGCTTTCAACGTCGATAACACCGGCTTTCGACAGGGCTGCGTTTCATGCGCGGTCACGAACGGAAGACCGTCGCCCTACTTGTCGTCCTCGACGCCGTCTTGCCATATCGTGTGTAAATCCCGGAGTATGTATTGGCATTGTATATTAACTAGTGCTGCGCGTGTGTGTGGTCTGTCTGCACAGTCCCAAAGTATCTACAGTAGGATGCTCGTGAATTGTATTATGTGCGTTTGTATTTGACCCAGTGAGACGATGTAGCGCCCCTGTTCCACGTCCAATGTGAACGTACTTGTCCATCTCCTACGCGGCACCACTGCCGTAGCTGTAGCTGTAGCTGTAGCGGGATGAAGCCAATACCTACTTACCTCCTTATCCACTTGCGTACCTATGTGAAACCGTCTGGCTTTGTCCTTGCAGAGTATGCCTCCGGATGCTGAATCCCTTCTCTTGTGCTGTATGCGTATAGTGAAGCCCCGAAAGCCCGGGCCCACGACGGGCTTGTCAATGTAGTTCCGCCGAGGTGAGGCTATCTTACTTGAGACTCGAGACTCAAAGCTCAAGAAACCTCCCTGACCAACGGCTTGTACTGGCCCAGATCGCCACTGCCGCCATCGTCATCTTCATCCTCATCGTCACTGACATCAAAGTCACTGGGATGCGCCAGACCACCACTCTCGCCAGACTGCAGCTGATCCATCAGAACATTGACGTCCATCTCCGCGGCCGTCATGCCGACGCCGTGCTGATCCGTGCCTCTTTGGCTCCCATCGAGTACAACGCGCCGATGCTCCTCGGGCAACGGCGTCCTCAGGAACATGATCAACAATCCTACGTCGTAGATGATCTTCAGGCTCGCCGCGATTTCAAAGGGAACCCACCATCGCTCCTTTGACGCCACCATCCCCGTGACGATGGGCCCCAGACAAGCGCCGAGAGTGCGCACAAAATTCAGCGTCCCCATGACTTGGGTGCGTTCCCGGGGAAGGAACACCGCCGCCACAAACGCCTCGCGGGGCGCTTGGTCCATGCTTCCGAACACGGCGTCGCCGAGGAGCAGGAAGATCAGCAGACGCCAGCCCGAGACTATCAGCCCGAGCGGGACAAGGGCAAGGAACACGGCGGAGGGGAGGTGCGTGCAGACCATCGCTTTGACCAGCCCGAGCCTGCGTGCTACTGCTGCCGAGAAAAGGTTCGACAACGAGGCGGCCAGCCACACGAGTGACAGGGCGTAACCAATCCGGTGGGTCAGAAACCAGTGGCTCCGCCAAGACATGTACCAGGACATGACTGTCAGGGGGAGCATGCCGGAAGCGAACGCGTTGAGGCCAAAGAGACAGGAGAGGCGCAACAGAATGGGCAGGGACGAGCGGGAGACCTTCCAGGGCGAGGAGAGGGAGGTGCGCAGACGGCCGAAGAAAGAGTCTGACTGTCTTCGTTGAGGCTGAGAATGCGACGATCCAGAACGTATGCTGGTCGTCCGGGTGATATTGGGCTGTTTTGCGGTTGACGAGCGCCGAGGCGTGCCGTCGAGCAGAGGTCTTGTTTGTTCTGATGGAGAAGCCACTTCTTCGTCTACCTCGGTCATCGACGCCGTTGTTGCGGCCCAGGAGTATTGTCCTGCGGCCCTTGCTTCGATATTCTTGCTCAGGAGGAGAGTGACGAGGAATTTGATTAGGCCAATTATTGCATACATGCCGAAGACTGGAGGATATGTTTCTTTCCAGTCAATTTTCAGGTATGTCCGTTGTGCATAGGTAATCCACCCCGTCACGAACAGGCCAAATGCCATGGCGAGGGTAGAAGAGACGGCGAACCAGGCGAATATATCCGTGCGAGCTTCCAAGGGGGCGAGTTGTGCAAGAATACCTTCCTGTTGAGGCACCAGTCAGTCCAGGCAAGGCTGTGCCTGAGGGATGGGGGTAAGGGGAACATTTGAACATACCTCCACAGCGCGGAATGGTCCAACTTCGTGTGCTCCAGGGGATATGACCCCGAAGACCGCAGCGAGCAGGAGCACATAGTAATTCTTGCTGAACGCAAACACTGTGCCGGAAAGTGTCATAAGCAGCGACCCGATCAGCAAAATCCGTCGTCTTCCAACTTTATCCGCTAGGATTGTCAAACTATAGCTGATTGCGGCATCGCCCAGTAGAGTCAAGGTCATGAATGTCCCCGTCTGCTTCCAACTAACACCAGCCTGCGTATACAGGAAGATTGCCAGGACGAGGGCGGCACCGCCATAGGCAAACATGCGGAGGAATCGAGTCACCAAGATAAGGTAGATGTCTCTGTTGCCATATTCGCGCATAGATTGAAGGCCCGTCTCGCGGTTGAGCCAATGGAAGAAAGCGGAAATGGATGCCATGGTGAAAACCAGATGTCGCCGATAACGAATATCGCAAGGCTGATCTGGGCAGCAGTGTGCGGAGCGCTGCTCACGCAGATGGAATAAAACGGCTGTCGAAGTGAAAAGAGCAGGAACAACAGAAAAGACAGAATCGAAGCAGCAGCACGGCCGTCAGGACCGCATGGTGAGGTCAAGGGACATCGCCGGACATCTTCCAGAATATATCGCGCGGGCTTGCAACTTGAAGCTGCAACCAACCGATCACTTACTCTGCCTGGCATTGTTAGATAGGCAGAAGTTCCCCGCATCTCGAGCAGGAATTGCGACGATTGGAGTCGATGTGCGGGATGGCAAGGAGATGCATATGCGTGAAGGGGCCTTACTCACGATAGCCGGCACCGTGGTTCGTCGCCGTCAAGGATGGTGTAGGAGCGAAACGGGCGTGTTCAACGAACGACATGCATGCTGATCGTCATTGACACCAGAGAGCCTGGGGCCTGAGAGGTCGACCTGTTGCTCTAGCTTGAAGCTCGAAGGAAGTAACTGCCGCCATCGCGAATCCACCAATTGAAGAGGGTGGTTGGTGCTTGTCGAGCTTGGCTACAACGAGAGAAGAGCTGCCGTTTATCCTTGTCCGGAGTCATGATGATAGTGGTCACATCAGTCCGTATAGTTTGCCGTAGTCCCTGCGTGTATGCTTCACCGTAAGTCAGCTCCCCACGTGTCTGTTGGTTCATTCGAAATTGTTATCTTTGTTTGTGGGCGACTCGTGTCTCCTTCGGACACAAGCCTTTCGAATAGGCTTCTGCCCTAATTATGGTTCTCTGGGCTATGCGATGCCAATGCACGGAACGTCAGGTCGACTACTAAGACTATGTCAAGCAGGTAACGGTTGTTGACCTGGGGATAACAAAAGTTTTTAGGGCGCGATCTCACAATGGACACAGCCACTGCCGCAGCTGGAGCGCGAGGACGCAGTCGCTCATGTCTGCAGTGCGAGGGATTTTCTCGAGATTGTCGGATTCTGATTCATACGGGAGTCTTCCCGGGTAGAAGAACTTGCAAAGCGTCATCGAGCCGCGGACTGCGAGTCCTGCCGTGCCATGGGCGAGATATCCTTCCTTGTGATCTCGAAGTCTCGATTTGTTCACCCTGCATCCTCTTCACCATGTGGCGAGAGATGTGGCAGCTGATCTGGGTCTTGACTCTTTGGCTGACTGATCTGAAAGATGCTTGGTGGCATACGCCGCCTTTTTTTTCCAGGCCTTGACTCAGAGACTTGGTTTCTGCAAAGCTGAACTGCTTTGGCTTCTTCACGGACCTGTATAGCTGTCACTCCGCCAGAGACGAACTGAGGAGCGGACCATGCCTCTTGTACTAATACCGCTGCGAAGCCTACCAGGCAGACCCGAGCTGTACAACCGTACCATGTGCCAGCCGGGTGCTTATGCTCAAAGCTAATGCTCAAGGATGGCTTCAAAAAATGCCATGAGAAGACGTTCTCTTGGAGACCGCAAGCTGCGAAGACCCAACCCACATGTGACCGGTGAAAACATAGATTGTCGACCTTGTATTTTGGTAGCATGTGTAGGTTTGACATTCCCGATTCCAATACGTCATGACTTCGGATCGTGGTGATTCGGTCCCTGGCTAGCGACAAAGTGAGTGATGTTACTCAGGTATGTAACGCATCAGTGTCCAGGGCGTGTCTCTCTGGAGGCGGTAGTTTCTTTCATTTACTATACTATCTCTCCACTTTAATCCTAGAACAAACCCTCCGCGCACAGATCAGGCCAGAACGCTGCCCGATTATACGGCATGCCCGCGAAAAAGCCATCGAAAGCAGAAGCAAGAAAAGGCGGCTCCAAAGTACCGTCTCGCAAGAAGAAAGCAGTCCAAATCCCATCGGGAGACGGTCAGCATACCAAAGAAGTGACTGAGGAAGAGACTACCGGAGAAGACGACAATGAGACTCATACAGAGCCGAGTCGTGGCCCCAAACCGGGCTCCAAGCATCCACAAGCAGACGCCGAAACCGAACCTGGGCAAAACTCCAACTTCAGAGACAAGGCTGCAGCTCGCGGAGGTCATAAGCGCAAAGAGCCGCCAGATGCGGCTGCGGAATCGAGGCCCGATGCAAAGGCACCACGACAGGGTTCTCGATCGTCGGCAAGACACAAGGACAATCGTGCTTCGCCCAAACAGCTTCTAAATTTCCTTCTGTCAGCTGCCGCGCTGCCGTACTGCTTCCCGGAAGATGAGTTGGCGGATGCGAAGAAATCTACAACGTATAAGTCGTACTCCTTGACCTCACCAACAACTCTGACGCCTTTTGAACACCTACTCTGCTCACACATGCTCTCCAAACCCCTCTCTCACAAGCTGGGCATGAGAAGTATCCGCACGCTGCTCAATGAGCCATTCAGCTTGAATAGCGCCGAGGCGATCACTTCCGCAGGGAGGGAACGCGTCTGGGAAGCACTGGAGGCGGCAAGGACCCAGCATCGGCAGAAGACGGCAACCTACATCTTCGCCACGGCACAGTCGTACAGTGACTCCGAGACCATGTCCCAGCTAGCGGATGCGGCGAACAGGAAGGGACCTCATGCTGTGATTGAGCATATTAAGAGCACCGTAGCAGGGCTGGGCGTGACAGGAGCCGGTATATTCTGCCGGAGAATACAGTGCGTGGACGGGTGGGGTGATGCTCTGTGGCCATACGCGGATGGGAAGTCCATCGACGCCTTGAATGACATAGGTATCCCTGTCGAGCACGCTGACGACCTGCAAACCGCGATTGACCGGGAGGTGGATTGGGATACCGTCGGGGATATAGGCGTCCAAGAGCGGGGCCGGAGTAAGTCGGAGCGTGCTGGCGAGGAACAAACGCGGGTGCGAGCGGCATTAGTTATCGCTCTAGAGAGAGCTGTGGGTTGCGTGCTAGAAGGGAACGTCCAAGAACTGAGGCAGGCAGCTGCAAATGCCGAGGAAAGATGAATACTTGGCCCTCCACAGACTGCTTCTCGACCCAAAGTGAAGCTCAATCGACAACGAGATCATCAGTCTGAAAATTTGGTGAACTAGAGAGAAATTCCATGGTGTGAAAACACGCACGGCGGAGGCACGTAAAGTGGGAATCACAGCCTCATCTGCCTTTTCACCATCAGTGACTTCAGAATAGAATAATGGATCCTCGAACTTTGATGAGATTCCTGTCGAAGTGATCGAGGGACATTATCCCTCTCTACAAGCCACACAAAGTCAGGAGCATTATACTTGCACCTCTCAGCAATTCGACTCGGCTGTTCGGATGTGAAAGGCCCGAATACACAGAGCGGAAAACTCCCAACACCATTGCCATGAGGTATGTTCATGCCAACTCTGTACTCCTCAATACCATGATCCACGATGCGTCTGCCCAGTTCTCCCTGCCACCAGGCTAGAATATCCAGTCGAGCCTCACAACCCAGGTACCTCCACCACGAGTCTACGCACGAGAAACGCCACCTTTGTGAAGTGATGGTCAAGACGAAAACGTTGCTTGCAGATTGACGAAAGCAGCAGGGCCGCCCTCCTCGCTGAGCACATCAATCAGCGCCTCGGTCTGCTTCCATGCCGTCTCCAGCGCAGCAGAAGGCGACCGCCCCAGAGAGACTGCAACCAATTAGCGAAACGGCCAATATCGAGATTGGGAGGAAGCCAGACCTAAAATAGCCGAGTTCAGCTCTTCGGCAACTGCTGTCCTTCCAGATGCGTCCAAGAGATGCCCGTGCACACTGCCTTTGGGGTCGTTGTAGGCTACCAGGCTAAATATGTCCTGAAGAGCCTTTGCATGCTCGCCGTCCTCATGTTGAAATTCTCTATGCAGTTCCTGGCCATATAACATGACTTCCTGAAGCAGCTGGTCATGCTGTAAGCCACTATGGTCGGCGGGCAACTTGCCGACTCCATTAGTATGATTGTCAGGATCGAGTTCCATGTCGTGAGCAAGATCGTCGTCCACACTGTGAGGCTTGTCGACACCATTACTGGGTCTACGGTCATTTCGTGCCGGCGGCTTGCGCGTGTTGAGGTCAGTTGTCTTGCTGATAAGCTCGATCCATTTCCGACATTTCAGCCGGAACACTATGTCCGGATTTTCCGCCAGGACAGTGGGAAAATGTGCATGTGTGATTTCGAGAGCTTGATCGATATCTCCGGAGAGAATGGCACGCCGTATCCCTGTATGATTAGCGTGACATTCTGCAGAAAGAGGCCAGTCAACTTACTTTGGCGGTGGACAGCGTCGGTGTCATCTTGGCCTGCAACGGTAGGTGTGTTTGCTGGCAGCACATTGCTTAAGGACTGTTTTTCTCTTCGCGTTTCCTCCGCGAATGCTTTGGCGGTTTCAACGTAACCATCATGACCCAAAAACTGCGCCACTAATTCCTGGATGAGACTGTTTTCGTCTCGTTGACGCTGTAATGACGTGATTCTCGCCTTCGAGATATCTCGTGAAACGTTAACCTGTTCGGACAGCATCTTGTCGTTGATGAGGAAAGAAAAAGGCCGCTGCCCAAAGTTCCCGGTCACGAGAGCGCCAGAGTGTTTCTTCATGCCGATTGTCGGGTAAAGCTTCATGTCTTTCTTGAGTTCTTTGAAGCAGATGCCGAGATCCTGACCATTCTTGGTGAAGAATGCCTGCCAGGTGTTGAAGTTGATACCACAGCCGATAATGTCTCCGGCTCCGAAAGTCGGGCCATAACTTCGACCCGAATGCTCACCAAAAAACATCTTCCCGTCGTCGCCGTGGTAGCCCCATGAGTGCGTCTCCCAGCCAGGTAACCGCTCCAGCGAGGCCTCGCCTGTAGAAAACCCGACCGCGATAGCTGTGTCCTTACTCTTCTGCTCGATTTTCACCTCGAAGTAGTACATTCCGCATGCGGGGGGGATGGCGTGATTTGTCCTGACCGACGCCGCTTCGATTTCCGCTTTACTCGCCGATCCACTGTATCTTAAATCTTGTCCGTCATTCATTATGTCAAGTCCCGGGTACTTGTCCTGCTCACTCCATCTGGATGGCAAAGGTGGCAAAACCTCCTCTTCTTTTGGAGGGTTGCTTTCGATGATGTCGTATGTCATGCCACGATGCGAAGGCGCTAGTCTCGTGTTGCCGGGGCTGGTAGAGAAGGAGCCCAGCGTAGGAGCGCCTGACGGCTGCTCACGGTCTCGCTTTAGCTTCGCCTTGTATGCAGCCTCCAATTTCGCCATGTATCTAGAATGTCTGAGGTAGGAGGGGACGAAGAACGGATTTGGAGGCATCGTGCCTGTTCCCAGAGACGGGATATTGGCAAATTTCCTCGAATAGGACGGCAGTGGTGTGGGCTTTCGCCAGTCTCTGGCTGCAAGGGAGTCTTGATCGTGTTCTGAATATCGTCTCTGGTATTGATGTTCTGCTTGATATTCAGGCGGATACGTGCCACCCGGAGTGGTCGCCGCGAGATGGGAGAACGCACCAGACCTGGTAGGATGGTGAATGTTCTGTGACGTTGCGCCTGAAGCCACTGAAGCATACGACAATCGTCGAGGCGCGTTGCCACCAAACGCACTCGGCCGGCTGCTACTGCTTGATCCAGTCCCATCCGTCATGCTGGTCGAGGAGGGAATCGCACAGGAAGGTACAAGGATTGGTGATCGGGGTCACGAGGGATGTGGTCGAATCGGTGGCTTTGGGTGATGTCGGTGCTGGCTGGGAAAGTCAGGTTGACGTGCTGAATTCCGCTTTACGACATGTTTGCTGCCCGCCGGTGGCTAAGGAATGGCGGGTCTAGGGACTGAAGCTGCTCTTCCTTGGTTGGGACGGATGGGAGAGCATGCTTGGTGTCATTATCGTGCTGATACCGGGTTATGCTAGGTCACTGAGGGCAATGCAGATCTTATTGGGCGGGCTTTTGGGGGTGGCAGGTGGTCGTGGCAGCCCTTAGTTAAGCGGCTGCGGGGACCGGAAGGAGTTGTCCATCCAATTCCGAGGCCAGCACTGTCCAAAGCTCCATGGACGGTTACTTCCTTGAATGTACAACCACGCCACAGTATTGCACCATTTAGTAGCGGCGGAGAGGTGTCCATTTGGTCGAGGACACCGGACTTGCATTTACGCTCTATTGTTACAACATAGTCCGGGCGATAGTACCTGGGCATTGCAATCTCAAGAACCCAATTCCCTTTTGACCATATGCCCAAGGGAGCTTGTCACCCCAACGCATGATGTAGATAGTACAAAGTCGCCGATGCCGGTATCGTGATCCCTATGCCATGCCCACGAACCGCCAGAAGGTAAAGATGATCCCACAACGCCTTGCTGTATGATTAAATACACTATGTCTGGGTTTTACCCGGAATGTGTCGAGCGTGTCTGGCATAGTATGTTTCGTACAGTCCCGAAGTATTTGGAACTTTTGTCGAGATAGAGAAAAATCGAGGTCTTCCTCCGCATTTTGTGGGTGTTTATCGTGACGGAGTTTGTGACGATACGCGGCTTTCGCATCACCGTGTACTGGTGATGGTAATGATCATGTCAGCCCTGGGCGGTAATGACAGTGCTCGGGGGTGGCATCGGTGCCGGTGAACTTGCTGGAGGCGTGGACATGATCGTCGTATCTGGTCTGTCACCGGCGTTGCTGTCCAGAGCGACGTCGCTTCCATTGGGTTTGGCCTCACTGCTGCTTTGCTGTGACACATCCTTCGCATCACTTGACTCTTCGCCGTCGAGGGACGAGTTTGGTTTCTCTCCGCCTCTCCATGAAGGTATTTCCCATACCACACCAGTGAAACTTTTCAGTGTGAACGCCTTCTTTTTCCACTTCCGACAGGGGGCACCGGATCGGTCGAGAGCACGCAGGCCAGCGTTGATAGCGCCCTGGTTGGCTTTCGGGCCCAACTTGTGCGAAGCCCCAATGCCACCGGTGTTCGTTGGCTTGTTGGCGTTGTGGTCTATGGTGCCATCTTCTCTGTAGACACTTAGTATCATAGAATTCAGCATGTTAGAGAGACCAGTGATCTCCAATCAGATACTTACAGTCGTGGCTTCTTCTTGGGGCCTGGCTTGCCCCTTGGTTTCGGTGTGCCATTTGTCTCGGTCATCTGTCCCAGACTTCTTTTGGTTCCTGCAAGTGAGCCTCCTTTACGTTTCTTGGAGCCGTCGCCGTTGGCGCTTTCGGCTACTTCTATTCCAACAGGCGCTGGCGTTGATGCGGACTCGGAAGCGTTGTCGTTGACCTCTGGGACCTTCAGAGTAGATTGGTCGTCGGGTGCAGCAGGTGATGAGGCTACAGAGGGTGATGACTGATCTTCTGACTTGACCGGAGGCTCTTGGAAACGGCGTAGGAGTTTCGCTGATAGCTTGAGGACAATTATCTTGGTCTGCTTTTTATTCTTCTCAGTTCGAGCCGAGGACGAGGGCGAACGTGTGCTTGAAGACGACATGGTCATGTATTGATTACGGTGTCGTTGAAAGAGGACAGTGGGCTTTTGCTGGTGGTTAGCGTGGGAGCGTGTTGTGCAGTTGGGCGTTCAGCTGACTGCGGTTCGTGTGGTGGCAGTTGCTGGGCGGTTGGAATTATTTGCGTGTTCCGTGCATCGCTGTCAGGAGAGGTTGTGGTGGGCGGTGAGTTTTATGATTGTAAGCTATTCAAGTCTGTGGCATCGGCAAAGGTGAGATTCTTGTGGGCTGGTGACAAATGTTCATTTGGTGGGAGCAGAGTGGTGAGAGTGTGAGGCGATGATGAGTAGTGGAAAATTGAAGGAGAGGTGGGCATGATTGCTGAAGGGGATGAGACAAAGACGGTGCTGGAGCTGGACCTGGCGTGTGATTGTGTGGCCGGATCATTCTGGATGGCATGGCTTGGATTTTTGCGTGGTTATGCTTTGGGTTGGCTCAGATCAGATCGCAGGTGCAGGAAGTGAAATCGGGCTGATGGGTCACCGTTGCGAGGCGCGTGTGACGGAGAACGGAAGGGAGGCAGAAGCGATGACCAGGCAAGGTTGCTGCTCTCTTGTCGAAGAGGCAGACGAGAGAGACTGGAGGAGGGCAGACAGGGTTCGTTGAGTCGGAACGAACTAAGCTAGCTCAATACATTCCGCGTGACTGGAATATTTTGAAAAGACAGAAACAAATACAGACTCTCTATGCTCCGGCTGCGTAACATGAGAGTAAATATATATCGATATTCAATGAACAGGGGCCACTAGTCAGGCCCCGGGTACGGAAGCTAAGCTCAATTTTTCATAGTGTTTCTTCTAGTGCCCACCTGTCAGTCATCTTGCCTGCTCTCATGATTCTTGCTTGCCAGTCACTTCCCGCTCACTTGTCAAACTCTCGTAAAAACTGAAGAAATCCTTGACGCATCTCTCGGGGGCTCCTGCTAGGGGTCATTGATCCAACCAATTTACTCCCACGCCGTCACCAAACCACACCCGCGTAGCTGGCATTCAAACCATCCATCACCGTCTTCCTTCTCCGCGCGTTTCCGCAAAAGTAATGCAGTCAACAAAATTGGCAATAGGAAGCTGATAACGCAACAGCATTGACTCAGCGGGCTCTTCTCCACCTCAAGGATATGCATCCAGCCAAGAGAAGGAAGCTGGATCAGCCTCAGCCATTCCAAAACAAACCTTTCCGCTCACCGCTTCGTACAGTATCCAAAGTCCAGGGACAACCAGCAAGGGGACAACCGCAAAACCTAGGCACACCCGTTGGTGTCACACCTCAGCTCACGCCATTGGTAAACAGTGCAGACGGGCTGAATTCTCCTCAAAAATCTCATCAGACGACTGCCAATCTTCATGTAGGGTCCGCCCGTGGTAAACCTGCAGACCTCCAGAAACAATACACTGCATTAACCATTCGACTCATTCAGCTGCGACAGTCTCTTGAGAACGCAGATCAAGCTATTCAGATCGAGGAGTCTGGTCAGGGTGCCGAATTGAAGAGGTTAATCACCAAATGGCGAACGGTCGCTCAGGAGGCTGCGGACGAGCTTTTCGCCGATGCAAAGGAGAGGATCGATGGAATGGGTGGTGTGGCTGCCTGGCGGCGGCGGGCCGAGCAAGAGTCACGACGATGGAATCGCGACGAGAAGGGGCTTCTGCCACAGAAACATGAGCAAGTGGCAAACAACGTCGCGTCCCTGGAGGACTGCCTGGCGACTGATGAGAACAAGCCGTCCCAACCTGAGGAGGAGGACGACGAAAATGTAAGTCAAGGTCAGGTTGCTCCTCTCCTGAGCGCACTAATTTTGCATTCCCGCAGTCATTCACAATGGAGACGATGCTACAACAGATGAACATTGATTTGCAAGCAATCGGCTTTGATAAGCAACTCGAGAAGTGGATCGAGTGAGAGTATCTTGTGCGCCTACCTCTCTGCTTTGAAGGCCATTCCACATCACGCAATGTTACTTGCTCGGCACAGCAGATGTGCTACCGAAAGGGGCTCTGACAACACTGCCTGTCCTCATATGGCAACAACGTCTTGCCGAATCCAGTTGTCTTCCAATGGGGATTCGTCCCAAGGCTGACAAAGCGTATTCCCCTGCTATTGGCTTCCTTGGCTTTCATGCCCTCGGACAAATATTGCATGCGAGAATTCAGACTTGCATAGTCGCGCTGCTGTCGGGCCATCCCAGAATCCTCAAAGCCAAACAATGACAAAATATGAAACCTGTAGGTATTCCGCGCTGATAAATATTGCAGAGAACCCTAGGTCAGAGGGTGTTGAGAACGGCCGTATGGAACAGGCATTGAAGCAAAAGCGAATATAACGGTTGTAACCTCAGCTTGAAGCCAGCATGGATCGTCACAGCACTCTCCCTACTTTGATCATCTCACATAACACATTAGAACCGAGCCTCGTTGTTCACTGACGTTGTGGCCTTCCCTCTTTCCTCGCTGACCGACCAGCTCTCATCCCATCTAGCATACTCCTGCCGAATCCATTTTCCCGTCATAATCTTCCTTGATCCAGCAGATCTGGTCCAAAAGCCGGGACACAACCGACAAAAAAATGCCCACCACCCTCGTCACCGGTTCCACAGGCTTTGTGGGAGCCAGCGTTGTCGATGAACTTCTCCGCCAAAGTCACTCCCTGATTCTGGCTGTCCGTTCCCCGTCTTCCGCCAAAGCGCTCATTGAGAATAACCCCTCCTGGCCAGCGTCTGCCCTCACAGTCTTCGCCGTCCCTGATTTCACCGATCCAGGAGCGTTTGACTCGGTCTTCCAAAAACATCCGGAGATCGAGTACATTGTGCACGTGGCAGCCCCGATGCTTGATAACCCTGCTCACACGGACTTTGTCGAGCATTTTGAAAAGCCCAGCGTGCTCGGAAATTTGGAACTGCTGAAGAGTGCGAAGGAATATGGCAAAAACGTCAAGGCGATCAGCGTTACGGGGAGTTTGAATGCGATCACGACGGGGAGTCAGGAGGATGTGAAGAGCAGAGTGTTTGGGAACAAGGAGTGGTTACCCCTAGGAAGGGAAGACGCCATCCAAGCCAATCACAACTATGCAAGTCCTTTCCTCATCCTTTCATTTTCTTCTATTCCTCTGTTTATGCGGCCAGAAGACGAAAAAAGCTTTGATCCTTCGGGCAGATACTGACCACTCTTGCCCGTCGTCTTACAGATCTCCTACTGCGTCGGGAAAAAGCTCGCTGAAGAGGCGATCTGGAGATTTGTCAAGGAGGAGCGACCTTCATTCACAGTCACCAATTTCATGCCACCCTTGATCTGGGGACCGATGCTGCAGCCGGTCAAGGATATTGGGAGGATCAACTTCAGCAACTCGCTGATTAAGGCGATCATGGACAGTAAGAGCTCGGAAACTGGCAAAGTGCCGAACTCTGCGTTCCCGGCATGGGTGAGTGAATCATGCCGCCTTTTTTAATCCGCAACGATGTTTCAGATGGAGCTCTGGAAATTGACCAGTTTTCTGTACCGTGCTAGATCGACGTCCGTGACCTCGCCAAACTCCAGATTCTGGCTCTCACCACGCCAGGAGCAGCAGATAAACGTTTCCTTGTCGGGCGAACCATGATCTTCAACCACGTTGCAGATGTACTTCGAAACGATGCGCAGCTGGGTCTGGCTGACAGGGTCGGTGAGGATAACGATGAGGCGAGCACTTTGACTTTGCCGAGGTTGGATATCAGCGAGGTGGAGGAGGTGTTCAAGTACAAGTGGACGCCATTGTCCGAGACGGCGCAGGATGCGGCTGCTTCTCTGCTGGAGATTGAGGAGAGACCTTGAGAAGACCCCTTAAGGCCATAGCGCTGTTCTGTCGTGGCCAGCTCGGGTTATTAGTTTTGGTAAACAGCAGCTCGATAGCTTTTCGGTTCGATTGCATCGCACAGGTCGTATATGGTCGGGGCCTCAACTTTAAGATCTTCATCTCATGACCGGAGGACGGGTCTCTTTGTTCCACACGACCCGGCTCTTGACCCATTCGACGGCTTCCTTGACCCCGGTGCCTTTCAGCGCACTGACCGGCAGCACTCGACTATCTCTCACCATGCCTCCCTTCTCCCCTTCAAACACTTTCTTGACGAACCCTTCCTTGATCCGCACAACCTCGAGACAATCTTCCCTGTCCTGTTTATTCGCCAGGACCAGGATCGGAATCCCCTGTGTGTCGTCGTTTTCCAGAACGCTTTCCAGCACAGCTCTACACTCATCCAAGCGTCCCTGCGCGGGTGCCGAGTTGAAGAAGCCCGGCGTCATGGGCGTCATGGGCGTCCACGGTGTCTCCGGCACCTCGTCATCCCCAACTTTCCCGACATAACTCTTCTTTCGCCCATGCCACATCGCCCCGGGCGTCTTGGGCGCCTCTTCAATCTCCCCATTCCCTAGATCCGTACTATCCACCACAAATACAACCGCGTGACAGCTCTTGAAATAACTCGTCCATAGTCTTCGCAGGCTCATCTGTCCGCCCACGTCCCAGATCTTCAAGTACATGTCGGGAAGGGAGATCGTGGCCACGTTTTGGCCCACAGTGGGGACCGTGTTGCCGGCTGTGGTGGAGGCGGGGGCTTCACCGACTGCGCCATTCGTAGGGTCGACGGTGGTGTTGAATAGGGCTTTGATTTGTGTCAGAAGCGTGGTTTTGCCGGCGTTGTCGAGGCCCAGGAGGAGGATGGAATATTCTGACTAGTTATCAGCCTTGCACAATCAAGTCGTGGCTTGACCGCGGACTTGCCTGGCTTGCTGGTGGCGTAGAGATACAAGGAACGGGCGAGGTGATACATTTCGCGAAATTGCAAGTGTGTAAGAGTGAACAACCAGATGTACCTCGGACGAAGAGATGGAATCAAGGAATGAAAGAATACTGCTGATGGCCTGACGGGAATCCTGCCACGTATATCATCGTTGCAACGGGCCCGGTTTCCACATTGAACCGTACTGGTATACAGCGAGAGCAAAGTGCAACAGGTAGCGTCCTGTAAGCTGCATCCACCTTGCCAGTCTTCAATCAGGACTGTTGTGTCTTTCGAAGGTCAGATCCCATCGCGATGATCATGGGCGCAACATCAGTCGGCAGCCGGAATATGATTCTTCCGGACGGTACTCGTATCTAAGGCACGTGGGCATCAGCCAATTCTCGCGCCCTGCTTTGACCTGACTAGGCCCTCCGGCTACTTCCTTCCTCTTACCTCGCCAATGCAGATAGCCCCGGGGATAGGACGCACGGTTCGACGTCTACAAAGTCCTGTACCGCGATGCGCCACTGCCTGCGGACTCGTAATGTCGATAGTATGCAAGCCAAGGTCGTACAGCAGTTCATGGCGTCCTTACTGGGATGAAGGACGAGAAGGCCTAGCGTTCAAGATCAATTGGAGAATGTTTGGACACGTAACGACCACTCCTAAGCACCACCTGTTCGCGGATTTAGTTCTTACGGCGTCGATCGAAGTGCTGATACGGAGGCTCCAGGGTCGTCTGATAGGGACGTTATCTGAAAGGGGGGATATGTCTCAACGTGAGCTTGAGGTAGGCCGAGAGCACAGATTTGAATCAATCGCCTTGATTTCAAGCGTCCACCACTCCAGGGCTGCTAGCGGAGCCTTGCTGTAACCTTGTCGGCATGCAAGGCAGCTTGGGTTCGTGGAAGCATACATCGGAAGTGCGCCTGGCTGAACGTTCGAGTCGTTTGCAGGACACCATTCTCGAATCGTTTTAGATCTGCCACGGCTGCAGCAGGTAATATAAGGAGTTGACACACGCCTTTGCTGGTGTAATTCCACTTAGTGCACACGCCATCCACGTTTTGTAAAATAGTAGTCGAGGATAATTTTGGGTCGCGATGTTTCCCCCACAGTCAGGCAAGCACAATGTCCAGCTTCATCTCTCTCAGTACGTCCTGCCATTTCACGTCCGTGTCATCCTCGACAATCGTCCGTCTCCGCCACACCTCTCTTGCTATATCTTTGCTCATTTCTAGGTTCATAAACCCATGCCTCCTCTTGCACATATACCAGCTCAGCATCTTCTGCTGAGTCCCCTCGTCGACACATTCGCACGCCACGATGAATGGCGGCCAGACCAACGTGCAGCCTATACTCTCGCCGCCTAAGGTTTCGATGTCTTCGAGGTGACCGACCGCGCTGGCGACAAGAGCTTGGATGGTAGGCGAGCCGGGAGGGAGATGGCGAATCGTGCGGTGGAAGTGGATCAGGGAGGCGTAGTAGAAGACGTAGGCGTGGTGAAGGGTCAGGCTGTGCGCCAGGGGCGTCAGGTCTTGGGACGAGAGATCGAGGGTCAAGGGGGACTGGGCGTAGAGTTGGCTTTCAAGCTTGTCGATCTCCTGTGCGGACGGTGATCTTGATGACGCCGTGGAGATGCGTTTGATGAGCGAGTTTGTCAGGACTATGTGTTTGAGTATGGGTCGCGTGAGGCCGAAGAAGCGGTCAAGCACGTAATGCCTTGTGTCGGCGAGGAAATCTTCGCTCTCCACATCGATCGTGGATGGGAGATTGATATTGCAGAGTGCCGCGATGGCAAGGTATCCCTGGTAGACCATTGACGAGGATTTGTCTCTGTTCCAGGCGCTGTCTTCGATGGTTGAGAGCCAGGATGCCCCACCTTGCAGATGGGTGCGCCATTCATTGGACCGACCGGTTATCATGTCCATGGCCGAGAACATGGTTATGGTGGCGAGGATCGAGGCTCTTTGGAGGTCGACTTCGTGGGTGCTTGGATGCTCTTCGAGACTTGCCAGGCTGTGTCTCAGGTGCATGATTGCCAGGTTGTAGTGTTTCATGGCAAGAGTGAGTGAGTTGGTCTCGTGGTTCAGCAATTGGCCTCGACTAAATGCCGCGGTGGCACAGAGGGCGTGGAACAGCGCGACCTGCCCATTGGACTGGTTCGACGGCAAGGAAAGCCCTGCAAGTGCCATGGGCGTGAAGACGCTTCGGAATGGATTGTCCGGTCGGTCGACCGGAACCAGGTGCCAGCAGACGAAGTTCGTCCAGTGATGGACCAGCGCGCGTTGCTCAGAGGGACGTGGGAGAAGATCAAAATGGCGTATTGAGAGTGGCATGACATCGCTGGGACGCCGATGTTGCAGCATGGAGTCGTAATCCTGTACTGGGGATGAGGGTGTCACGATAAATGGCGAGACTATTGTCTCAATCTCATCGTCTGCTCCGGAACCACCTCCCACACTCACATCAATCTCAAACGGGGAAGCCGAGACGGGTTCGAGACCATGATGGTTGATATCGTCGACGAAGCCTGCTGGATAAGCTGCACTAAGGGTTGCCTCATCAATATCTGGCTTCGGCCGAGAACCATGTACGGCGAAGACTGAGAACGGACCACGAGATAGGCAATTGCCCTCTGCGGAGAGCTGCTCTATCTCCTCGAGAGCCTCGTGTACGTCGACTTGTTTGAATGGCGACTCGTCATCATAGATTGCTGGATTGCCTATCGCGCGTCGGATGTTTTGCTCGCGTGCTGGATTGTCTGGATTCCAGACCAATCTGACGCCATAGCCCTGGCAGTCGAACCCGCCCCTCAAACACCTGGCGCAAGCAGGACGCGCTTCATCGCACTTGACATGGCGTGAACGACATGTCCAACAGCCGGAGAATGTCTTACTGTGCTTGATGGGAGGTCGGTTCCTGGTCGCTTTCCGCCCTGGCTGCTGACCCGGCTTCATCTGCAGGCAGGATGCATATTGTTGTTCACAATCGGTCGAGTCGCATAAGACGTTCACTTCGTTGCCTAGACACTTTCGTCCATCGCCAGAAGCTAGTTCAAGGGTCCGCTGCAGTCTACACTTTCTATTGCAGCACATACACAGCAAAAAGCTGGGATCGATGGGGCACGCGCCGAGGGTGTCACTCGTCGAATTACTCCGCATTATATGGATGGCCGGCCGGAAAAGCCTTTTTCCGCTCCCCCACCTTTGATCGACGTCATGGCGGCATCTCTCGCTGCTCAGCCATGCGCCGTGCTAAGCCTCACTGGCCTGTCTCAAAAGTGCAGTCACGCAACCAGACAATGAGATCCTTCGTCTCCGGAACACCCTGCCCTTCTCACTGACACTTGGTTGCCCTGATGCCTGGTCCGTGTTGGATCCATGTCGGTCCGCATTCAGTTTGATCAGCCCGAACAAAGTTGCTATACCAATCTCGACTTCGTCTCGGGCAACGTTATCCTTATCCTCCCGCAAGATGCGACCATCGCTGCGGTCACCGTCAAGCTCGAAGGCGAGAGCAAGACGCGACTCGCCGCCCCAAAGTTTCCTGACAATGAACGCTCAGATAAAAAGAGGAGTGAGCTAGAGGTACACAAGGTTGGTGAGGGAGCTGTCTCGAGACTGTCACCTCCGCTCATGCACAAGGCTGCAGCTTCTGTACAAGGTCGTTACCGTGTTTCCAGCACCTGAGCTTTTGGAGAATAGTAGCGGCTCGGCGTTCACGCTGCTGGCTGGCCAATATCTCTATCCTTTCAAATTCAAGGTGGGCCATGCCTACTCTCCCTGTTGCCAAAGGTGATGTTTAATGTGGCGGACAGTTCCCGTTCAATAATGATTGTCAGAAGAACCCCAGTACCTTTAAAGACCTGAAGCTCGGCCATGTGAATGTGCAGTTCGCGCCGGAGACGTTGAAGCATGTGAAGAAGACTCTGCCGCCGTCACTGAGCGGATTTCCAGGGGAGGCGGAAATAAGATACTATGTCAAGGCAACTATTGTCCGGCCAAAGTTCTTCCAGGAGAACATCAGAACAGTATGCCCTTGCTGGGCCGAGCTGTGGTGCAGGTACTGATTCTCGTTTTTCCAGATAGCCGATATCAAGTTCTTACCTATTGAGCCCCCGCGGCCGCCAACCCGTCACGAGGAGACCTTTGCACGGCGGAAAAGACAATTCCAAAGATACCCTGCCGAGCCACAGAAGAAAGCACTCTTCGGCAGGAAGTCATCGACACCATTATCCGCTGAGGACGAGCCGCCTGCTTTCCAAGTTGACGCACGCCTTCCGAGTCCCGCCATCATTACATGTAATGAGCCTCTGCCAATGCGGATCCTGGTAGAAAAGCTCAACGACAGTGCGGCAACTGCCTACCTCAAAATGCTCCAGATCGAGCTTATAGGATACACTCAAGTGCGAGCTCACGACTTAGACAGGACTGAAACATTGACTTGGGTTCTCATGTCCCAGGCCAACATGAACATGCCTCTTGGAAACCCGACAGACAAAGGCTGCAAGCAGTGGAAACTGCCGTCTCGGCTGTGGGATGACATCCCCATCCCAAACACCGTTTGCCCTTCCTTTGATACCTGCAACATCTCTCGGCGGTATGAGCTGGAAATTCGTGTCGGGCTCGCACATGGCATGGCCGGCGGCGTCCGACCAGAACTCATCGTCCTGCCGTTGCGCTTGCCGGTGTTGGTGTACTCTGGAATTGCTCCGCCGCCGAAGCTTCTGGAAGCAATGGCGAGCAGCCCGCGTCCCCAACCCCAACCTGCGCCGTCAGGTTTGTTTACACCGCAAAGGCCGTCGGCGGCGAACGGGTTACCTTCTCCATCCGACACACCCCTGGACACACCATTGGAGACACCATCGACACCAATCTCCGAAATAAATTCTTATCCGGCGCAAATTGGTTCTTACCACCCTGCGCAGGAGTCCGATATCCCCGATGTCGCCCCTCCGTCGTATGAGGACGCCATGGCTGAGGATATAGCACCTGTGGATGGTCCACGTCGAGATTATCAAGTCCCATCAGAGCCCGAAGTTCAACGGCCAGGCTTCAATCCTGATTCAAAAGGGAGTGGACTTGGTAGGAGAGTTAGCGAACGGCTGTTTCCGAGCAGTGCAACGTCGACCCCTACGAGGACAGTATCGATGGCGAGCAGCATGCAGGGCCTGACTATCGCTGAGGATGATAATCCAGGCTCTCCGAGCTCTCCAAGCTCTCCGCCAACAGAAAACCTGGGAAAGATGGCGAGCTGGAGGAGGAGCTTTAGTGGGAAGAAGGAATAGGGGGGAGTCCTGTGATCTAGGCACAAAACGTCAACCCAGGAAGTCAACAAGCGAGGAGTTGGACATAGGCCGCATTTGAACTTAGTACACTGAAAATCCCGCAATTCTGAAGGGTCATGGATGGAGCATCGGGTACCTTCGTACGTCTTGAACCCTGTCCTCGCATGAATCATATTTAGATGGGGCGAATGAGCCTGGACAACGCCTGGAAGTGGACTCGCCTTGTCGCGGGCCAAGATCCGTGTGCGCTCGAAACTGACTGACGTCACGCCGTGACGCGAAGATGAACAGCTATTGGAGCCTGTTCTCTTTGATGTCGATTAATGCTTCGTTCGTCCTTCCACCACTGCTATAACCAAAATTGTGCGCTGCCATTAAAGACAATATTCTCGAGCCCCTGGCTTGCCAATCCGTGGTCTCTACATCAGATGGTCGACTCTTCGACGATTCTTTGTCGCCGGTGTTAATGCAAGGTTGAACTGGTAACATGGACTTCATGAAGGACAAGGTAAGAATTGTTCGGGTTTGAACATTTCCGTTTGAGCTAGATCCTCCGCATTATCCCCCGAACTACAATACAAGTAGTTGTTCTATGCCCCCCAGTCGCTCAGTGGCTCTTTGATTTTACTACGTTCGCCCATGTTCTGGCTGCCGCAGTCAGTCAAACATAACCGGGGAAGTTCATGTGACTAACGCGCTTTCAAGAACACAGGTTCTGGCGGCCATCGCAACCCCCAGTCAAGCTCGTTCGTCGCCATCGCAGCAGCTCTAATCCCCTCAGCAATTACTGCTGCCATTTTCCTGGTTGCATTTTCATCTCTACGCTGGAGGTATCGAAACATTTACACGCCAAGGACCTATTTCCGGACAATCAATCGCAAGTCAGTATTCCACTTCCCCTGAGTATTCCCGGTTGACAGTCCACAGGGATCGGACCCCCTCGTCCAGCCACGCACTCGTGTCTTGGTACCATGACTTCCGCGTCCTCGATGACAAATTTGTTCTGCGCCATTCCTCGCTGGAGGCATATCTCTTTTTGAGGTTTCTTCGCATGGTTGTCCTGATCTGCGTGGTGGGCTGCTGCTTGACTTGGCCCATACTCTTCGCTGTGAATGCTACCGGAGGTGGCGGAGCTACACAACTCGACAGGATATCGTTGAGCAATGTCGCCGACAGGAAACGCCTCTACGCACACGCTATCGTAGCATGGTTGTTCTTTGGTGTGTAGAACACAGTCCCGCCCTCATTTACCTGCTGACTCGCCCCTAGGTTTCATCGTCCTGCTCATTACAAGAGAGCGGATATTCGTCATCGGGCTCCGTCAAGCATACCAGACAATTCCTTTGAATGCAAGCCGACTCTCCTCTCGAGTGGTGTTGTATCTCAGTGCTCCGACTGAAGCACTCAAAGAAGAGAACCTTCGTCAGTTCTTCGGAGAGCACGCCGTCAGGTCATGGGTCGTTTCCGATTACAGCCATGTGGAAAAGATCGTCGGCAAGAGAAACAGCAAAGTTGACCACCTGGAAGGCTTGGAGCTGCAGCTTTTGAAGAATGCGAACAAGACCAAAGAGAACGGTACAGCTAGCAGTCAGTCGGCAGATCACCGGCCGACACACAAAACCAAATACCTTGCTGGAGACGAGGTCGACAGTATTTCCCGGACCCGCCAGGAACTTAAGGACATTCTGACTGACCTGGACCGGGTTCGACAAGCCGACGCAAGCGGTCCTAATAGGCATACAGGGGCTATATTCGTCGAGTTCAAGGATCAACGCAGTGCGCATCAGGCTTTCCAGTTGGTGCAGCATCCATCTCCGCTTACCTTGCAGCCAAGGTACGTCGGGGTTCAACCCCGGGAGCTCAACTGGCAGAATCTCAACCTCGATCCAGCCCTTCGGATCACGTATTCGTACCTGGCCGTGGCACTTGCAGTAGCGATCATCGTCTTCTGGTCCATTCCAGTCGGACTCATCGGGACCATTTCCAATATCAATTACTTGACGGACAAAATCAAGTTCTTACGGTTCATCAACAACCTACCGGGTCCAGTTCTCGGGTTGCTCACAGGGCTGGTGCCACCTTTGCTTCTCAGCACTGTGGTGTCTTACGTGCCATATTTCCTCAAATACGTGGCCAATCTATCAGGTCAGCCGACGACGTTCGAAACCTCCAAATGGGCTCAGCAATGGTATTTTGCGTTTCAAGTGGTGCAGGTCTTCCTCATCACAACCTTTTCGTCAGGCGCGGCCGCGGTTGCTACCAAGATTGCGAACCAACCAACATCAGTACCGACTCTCCTTGCTAAAAATCTCCCGAAGGCTTCGAATTTCTACCTGACCTATTTTGTCATCCAAGGGCTGGGGACAGCATCGAAACAGCTCCTCAATTACAGCGATCTGTTCTCCTTTCTGTTCTTCTACAAAGTGCTGAGCAAGACGCCGAGACAGAAGTTCAACACATACACGCAGATGAAGGGAATCAGTTGGTTCAATGTGTATCCTAAATTCACCAACCTGGCCGTTATCGCAATAGCTTACTCGTGCGTCGCACCGCTTGTGCTGGGGTTCGCAGGCACTGGCGTGTTCCTCTTGTACCTGAGTTACCGCTACAACTTGCTGTATGTGGTTCAAGTCAAGACTGAAACACGAGGCGAGAGCTATTCCCGAAGTCTGCAGCATCTGATGACGGGTGTCTATCTCGCTGAGCTGTGTCTGATCGGTCTTTTTGGAGCTAAGAAGGCTCCTGGCCCTTCAGCTCTTACAACGGCCTTATTGGTCGCCACAGCGCTCCATCATTACACCGTGAACAAATATCTCAACCCTCTTGAGAACTATGTGCCACTCGACGCATTCTCGGACGAAGATGAGGAAAGACCGTTGCTTAGAGGTGATGAGGACGTTGACGGACCGCACAGGACACAGGTCGAACGCTCACGGATCCACAGACTGGGTTCGGGGAAAGTACCGGCCATTTTACTTGACCCACTAGCCACCTTTCTTGAGCCACGTATCTTTGCTTCTCAGGAAGCTCTTCGACCATGGCTGCAGGATCCCGAAGGTGAATCAGAAGAGACGATCACGTACACCGACGAGCAGATTGAAAATGCATATTTGAACCCGGCCATTACGTCAAAGACGCCGAAAATATGGCTACCCAGAGACAGAAAAGGGCTGTCCAAGACTGAGGTCGAAACCAATGAGAAAGAAGGCTTGCCCAGTACGGATGAAGGCGCTGAACTCGATTCCTCCAACAGCATTCAATGGAATTATGAGGATTTCAGCACAGTGCCTATTTTCAAAGAAGCGACTCGTTATTGAGCCGGATGGTTCTTGCAGGCCCTGCTGGTCATATGAAGGGCACGCAGCTGTCATTTCAGAACAGATGTACGATCACCTGGGAGATCCGGGAGCAGGAGAACGAGTCCGTTCTCTAGCCCAAACTTCGAAACATCTCCGCTGATGCGGAGTCCCATGACTCCTAGAGTTTGTCTTGTGGTGGCTACTGTACCTGGGTTGTTCAGTCCTGCCTAACAAGGCTTCTGGGAGCAATGCACTCACACGTGCGTAGCATGATCCCGCTGGAGATGTTGAGTATCTCCTCAGTCAGAATCCGTCCCTTCAGCCAATTGTCCCGAGCGACAGCATAGATGGCGGCCCGTCCTGGACAATGCAGTGGTTTCAAATGGGATTGGCGCATATCTAAGGTCTTTCGGTTCGAGCTGAAGAAGTCTTGGTCCTGATGCGGCCTTCCTGCGCCAAGCCCGGTTGCTCGTCGAAGCTGTCGACTTGTGGTTCGGCCATGCCAGATGCTCAGCCCTTCCGGAATGGAAGTGCAATTCCAATTGGTCCGGAGGACTCCAATGAGGGCCATCGGCTACAATATATCCTTTCCAGTTCAAATCGCATTACCGGTTTCATGCTGAGTGGTCACCCGGGTGTACTACCACCGTTTGAAGGCTGGCTGAGCCTTTTGTAACATTTGCCTTTCCCACGGCACCTTGAGAAACCCCCAGAACCCTTCGCCACCAACCCCGGGCAGTTATTTCCCAATAGGTTGGTTCGTGCCGACGTCGCCAGTCGATCCTACATCCGGTTGGATGTTTCTCCACTGCCGACTCAGTCTGGCTTTCACAGCCCTCTCTAGATTCACCGTGTATCTTCGTGCTGTGAGCTCGGTTGCTAAGTCTGCAGATGACCGGTTGGAAAGCAACAACTACTGCCAGTCGGTGAGGCCGTCAGTGCCAAGGAAGCATACTAGGAACCGTGTCAGAGGCGGTAATTATGTAGTGATCGAGGTATAAGTTTGGATGCTTTTCAGACCGTCTCCATGGCAGCAGCATTGTCATCGCCATCTTCCATCAGGTCGATACGGCCCTACCCCCCTCTCAATCACCCAGAGCGCTCAATAGGAATAGGCATATCGCTACGAACCATCTTGTTCCAAACAAACACCAGCACAAGTAAAGCACACCACCCACCGTTCCTTATAATGTCCACCACCGCCGCAACAAAGAGACCTTCCATCATCTCCCGCATCTCTTCACTGGCTGCCATGCGCCCGAGCGCTTCCTCTTTCCTGCCGACAACATCGTCAACCACCCCAAGAGTCTGCCGCGACTACACCCGCCACACCAAGGACGGGCAAAGGCCACAACCTCACCCCGACATACCCCTGCAGGAGTAGCTCGCCTTCAAGCATCAAATCCTCGACCCAGTCCGAGTCGGCGTCGACATCAACGTCAATGTCCGACATTTGCCAGTCGACGCCCGCGACTTCAAGCTCCACCCGCGCAAAGGACAGCAAGGGCCATGACTTTAACTGCAGGACATATGAGGACGCTATCACGCTTACGGGATTATTATCCATGGTTCTGAGCGTTTGTATGGACGGTATGGGTTACTGTACGTGTATGTCGTGTCCCCTGCGCCTAGCGGGTGGTAAGAGACTTGGCCAACATGAACGTGAGGTGTGCGTGGCGTCAGGGTAGACAGACGTTTTGATGTTAGGAAGGCAAATTCCGGAGTCCTTGGTCTCGCTGCGTGCAGATTGCTACATATGTGTTCAGACTCACCGGTTTCATTCTTGGTTCTTCACTTGATCCTTGGTCCTTGGTCCTTGATACCTAGTATTGGGTTCTAGCCCTCGCGTTGATATTACTTATATGATACGGTGCCAAAGTTTGGTGTAAGAGAAAGGGAGTCAACCTGGGTCGGGTCGGGTCTGGTCAGGTTCGGTAGCGTTTCGCCGCATCGAAGCGTAAAGTTACACAGTGTTTAAGTACTCGGCAACGAGTGGATATCACATCAGTACGTATTCGTAGCCAGCAACCTAATTTGCAACGATCAACTCTATTGCTCTATCACGATCATCATTTCCAGCGTCATCATACCGTATTGTTCATCATCGTGGACATCGTAGCTCATTCGGCACTCTATTTGCAATGAAGTCAGCGTTCCCCATCCCCGTGACACAAAAGATACGAAAGAGAGACCGCTTGCTCGACTTGTTCCTTCCTTGCTCGCTGCGTAACGACATTGGCGCCGTCCGCCAGCCGGTGGCCACGGCGTCAATCAAGTCCGAAACGCGACTTCCCTTCCCTTCCCTTCCTCTGCAATTGACATCCCTCACGCCGAGGGTGACCGTCAGTGCCAGTGCCAGTGCCAACGCGCCTAACGCTCACAAACTCACAGAACGCCCGCCGGCTCAACCGCCCGGAACTAATCCCCCTCCATTCAAGGAGTCTTGCCGTTAGCCTGTAGCAACGGCTGTCCCTCCTCGTCCATGACGACCTTGACATCACGGTCGGTAGTGGTGGCGGCGCCGTCAACGCGCTGCTTTCCACCGCCGTTGGCGCGGAGCCACTCCTGCACCACGCCGCGGTAGTCGGGCGCCATGTAGGGGCTGAACACCTCGGCAAAGATGTTGGCCTTGCGCCAGTACGGCAGGCCGAGGTCCTGCAGCAGGGAGTCCATGTAGGGGACCTGATCGAAGACCAAGTCCGGGAAAAAGCGGCCGTGGCCGTACGGCGCGCGGTGCCGGGCGTACTGGGCCAGCAGGGCCGTTTCGTCAAAGACGGTGGCCGGGTCGGGACGCAGGGTGAGGGCGTCGTTCAGGTACGCGTAGGCCCACAGGCATTGGAGTTCCATGCGCGGCGTGTTGGCCAGGTTGCTGAACATGGAGACGAAGGCGAGGGAATGGTCGCCCGCCTGCGTGAGCCCGGGGGGTGCGATCGCCCGGTACAGGCGGAAGGGCGTGTAGTTGGCTTCCTTGTCCATGCCCGGGTTGAAGGGCTGGATGTCGCTCGAGGTCGGGCTTTTAAATGGCCCGGCGAGGAGGCGCGGGAAGGACGCGCCGATGGTAGCGTCGGCTTTGGCGTTGAGCGCGTCCCAGAATTGGTGCTGCGACGTCGTGTAGGTGCTGGACGGGACGCCGAGGGCCGAGTGGCTTGTCTCGGGGAGGAACTTGACCGTGGGCTTGGCGGAGAAGCCGGTGGCCGTGACGATGGCGTCGGCCTTGATGGCCACACCGGACTGGAAGGTGATGGTGTGGTCGGACAGCTGGGCAATGTCTTCACGGTGCACGCGCACTTGGCCGGTCTTGACCATGTCGTAGATGTCCTTCTCGTAACTGTAGATGCCCGAGGCCGTGCCGTACCAGAAGGGACTCTGCTCCGGTTCCAGCACCTTGGTCCGCTCGTCTTTGCGCATGCCGCAGTCCTCGAGCGTGGCCTTGTGCAGGTTGATCCAGAATTTCTGCGCAATCGTCTTGCCGATGCGGGTGAAGTGGAGGAAGTGACGGATCCAGCCGAAGCCGTCGTTCCACAGGTTCGGGCTGAAGAACGACACGATCCGTCGGGCGGGCAGCTTCTCGCGCACGGCCTGCAGCGGGCCCATCGTGCGTGCTGGAAAGACCCATTCCGGCCCTTTGCCTGATTTGCGGATGATCCATTCCACCTTCTTGCCTGCCTTGCCTGCCAGGTGGACTGTGTCGTAGGCGGATTTCCCCCCTCCGAGCACGGCGACGGTTTCAACTTTCGCGTTGTCGGTGAGCGCGGTGCCTTGCATGCCCAGCTCGGCAGAGTGCATGATCGGACCGCCGAACTCTTCGGAGCCACTCAGCTGGGGCTGGTTTGGGGCATTGGTGACGCCGGTCGCGACGATCAGCTTGCGCGTGTGAATTTCTGTGCCAGCGCGGAGTTTGACGTTCCAGCCTCTGAGGTCTTTGAGCTTGGAAATTTCGGCGACATGCGATTCGAAGTCGACCAGGCTCAAAAGACCGAATTGTTCGGCGTAGGCTCGGATATACTGGTGCATCGCTTCGCCGGAGACATGTTGACCTGCCGGGACGCCAAAGCCATCGTGCATGGGAAAGTCGGAGAAGTCGATGCCGCCTCGAATATTGTTCGTTTTCAGGCCCGGGTAGATCTTCTCTTTCGACCAGACGCCGCCAACGGTTTTATTCTTGGTGGGCCCAGCATGTCAGTATCGTTGTCATTTGACGGGCGGCTCGTTTCGCTGGCCACAAGGACCTACCGAGTCGAGGATTTTGACCCGCGCATCAGGTTCACACTCGCGTATCGTCTTTGCAGCACATAGCCCCGATGGCCCTTGAAAGCGGTAAGCCTATTGTGCACGCACGGGTCCGACATGGATTTCATTGTCATACCAGCACCGACTATCAGGTAGTCATACATCTCCCCAGCCGACATGTCCAACACCGGTGCCGAAATGTCGTTGCGCTCTTGGTTGTTGAAAAGCTCAGCACAGGTGCAAGAGAGCGACCAAGTCTTCCACGGCCATCTTGTAGGCAGAAGCTGTATGCAGTAGTCGGGCTACCAAAGTGATGGATTGTCACTTAGGTCTGGCAGTGAGCAGTGGCGTCGGCATCGTTCCAATCAGGTCCAGCCGCCAACAGGTGACTTGTTCATCTTCGCGCAGTGCTGGGAATCCTGTGAAGTCCCGGCGCGTGTCGGATTGGCCGGAGTAAGCCGCAGATCGGTAAGCTGATGTTGAAGCGCAGTCAAAAGGCAGTCGATTGTTGGCCGGTCGTCTGTGGCCTTCCAAGAGCGCCCGGCTCTCACGGTCCATGTCTTCAGGTCGCGTGCATTGATTTGGTGGGGTTTCGCCTATCGAAGCCACATGGTTGGATACCCAGACATCTGCAACCACGTTGCCTCGAAACCACGTTGACTGGAGGTTCATGTATCGGCACCGAGTTCGACACGACCGCCAGGTCTGGCCTGATCGGCCGATTGTATCCGAAGGATCGGCGGCGTCACATTGTCTGGAATGCCCAGTCAGAGACCGACAAGGTGGCGTGGCAAGGGAGCCAGGGCTTACATTATGCTTACCGGGTACTCTCTCGTGTCGACCTCAGCCGCAGATGGTCTCCATCTCGTCTCACCACTCGCGGCTTTCCAGCTCCTGCTCTAGTGGCGTTGAGCGACTGCCGTATTCGGTGTTCAGGACGTTGAATTCCGAGGCTTACTTAAGAGCCCGATGCCCTCCTGCAAAGAGGGTTCGAAGGTTTGAAGGTTTGTAGGTGTGGGGAGTTGTCCTGTGTGAACACGGCTGTTGTGAGCCTGTGAAAGAGGCGGCGCACATGAAGGACAAACATCCGACACATGGTTCAGGACCAGTTCTCCCCTGTGTATGCAGTACGCAGTACGCAGTACAGGCTGCCTGCGCCGTGCAAACATGACAAACGTGCCGGGCACGCGATAGATGGGCAGACGGACGGCGTGGGCTTCCGGGCTGCGGGCTGCGGGCTGCGGGCTGCGGGCTGCGGGCTGGTCGCTTGTTAGGCGAAGCCCCAAAGCGACTTCGACAGTCCTGTATTGACTCCCTAAGCAATTAATTACTGCCCCCACCAGATTCCGCAAGACCGGTCGCGAGCATGTCAGCCACCATCCTCCAACATGATTGCACAGAGCTATCTCGGCAACAGCGCGCTCACATCTGCCAGGCATAGTCACGTCGAGGCATAGTCACGTCGAGGCATAGTCACGCCCCAAGATGCAAGCTTCCGTTCTCGACGACGTTGTGATCATCTGGTACTGTATGTGAGTCGAGGCCGCCGGACTTTTGAGCGCGAATGCCGTCCACCAGACGCTGACATTTAATGCATTCCCGGCTTGCTCGATTCACCCCTTCTGTCAGGCAACTTGACCTTTACCGGAGAATGTCGGTTGTGCCCGTCTCGACCCCGGATACAGCATACCGCATACAGCATACAGCACACGCTCAAGGCTTCAGAATGACGAGAGCGACGCGGCGCTGAAAATGAATATCCAATACATACATACATCTCCAGCTTGTCGAAACGTAATACACCAGAACTGCAGACCAAGAGGGAAGCCCCTCAGCGACCACTTTCGCAAGAGCGGCACTACATATCGGAGTCGACCCAATCCCGCGCTGGGGCCAAGTCAAGCAAATTGTCGACTTGGGGTTTTTCCGAGATAGAGATAGTATCCCGGAGCGTGTCAGTTTGCGACAACATCTCTGCGCGACATCATCACGTGGGAAGAACGAGGATGGGAACGAACACGTATCAGAGTCTTTACATTACGAAACTGAGCAAGCACACGGGGACACCGCACTGTTGAGTCCTACAGTCTACAGAGGACTGAATGCCGAATACCGACCCCGATGCCCCTGCCACTGCTATGGCTACTTACCACGACCACTGCTTTTCCGGGAGAGCAGTGATCTACCTTCCCCCTTCCTTTCCACTGTTCATAAGAGTCTAACTAGAGTCTAGAGTCGTCAGGTTTCCCCCTTTGCACACCCAACTCAGTCAGAGGATACTCAGTTCGTCAATAGTCCATTCCTCTCACACAGGGATGTTTGAACAAAGTACTCCGTACATATCACGCACTGTTCGGATCTGTAACGGTGCGCTGTGCGCCATGACCACTGAAAGAACCTTATACACGAAACGGTGCATTACAGGACAGTGCAGTACTCCGTACTCGGTACATGAATGCTTTGTACTCGTAAGTTATGACAATCAATCACTGTGGATCATTCTCGTCCGCAGACGAACCACGAATTCATCCATCCATTACGACTAGCGGTACCACCACTTTACCCGATCGCCACGGCAGTCTCGACAGCGGCTTTCTCATTGCCAAGAATGACTTCCCTGTGAGTGACGTTGCCGTGTTCATGCTCCTTCTCACTGCCTTCACTTCCATCCTCCTTTGCAGCCATGGCCACGGCGGCGACCGATCCCACGCATCTGTACGTCCGGAATTTGCGAGCAGGGAGGCGGGCTTCGAACTGTGAGGGGGAAAGAAGTCAGCAAATGGAACGATACACGGAATCTTCTTTGGTGTTGTGTTTTTCCTCTTCTGGATATTCTTGCAAACACTGACTTGTCACTCACCATTTCGTCAATCTCCTCGAACGTCCGGTTCTGCACCTCAGGTAGGTAGAGCCACGTCCACAGTGCGCCGAGAAGACACGACGGGAACCAGATGTACCCGTACTTGGGGCCCCAGTTGAGCGAGTCGGGGTTAATGAAATAGGGGGCTGTGAAGGTCGCGAGCCAGGCACCCAAGAAGCCGATCGAGGCTGCCAAGCCGAACGTGTAGGATCGAAGGCGCTGGGAGGGGAATTCACCACCGCAAAGCCATGCGTATGTCGCGACCATGCCGTTGTAGCCGACGATGTAGACAACCGAGACGCCGACGATGACTTTTCCGGTCGACGTGCTGGCGCCTTGCTTGTCATAGACGATTGCGACGATCAGCTGCGTGATACCGCAGAGACACATGCCGACCGTGAGGAAGACGCGTCGGCGACCCCATCTGGTGATGACGGCGCTGTTGATCAGGATGGCGACGACGCCCACGGCAACGAGAATGCAGGAGTTTTCGAACGCCGAGCCGACTTTGGCCATCTCGAAGAAATACGTGCCGTATGCTGTGCACATATATCAGTTGGGGATCCATGCATGAGGGACCTCTTTGGGTACTCACAGATCATGTACATGGCACCAGAGGCGGCTTGGAGAGACACGGCACCAACGGCGAGGAGCGTTCGTCGCCTGTCTACCGGGTTTCTGATCATGTCGAGAACTGCTGCACTCTTGGCCAAAGCATGCTCGGCTTCGATGGCCTCGGTGATCTGGGTGACCTCATCGTCGACAGTGTCGGGATAAGGTCTAAGCCAGTTGAGCGCTTTGCGGGCCCTTTCGGTCTTGCCCTGAAGAAGATACCACCGAGGGCTCTCGGGAATGAATAGCAATCCGATAGATAGGAAGACTGGAACGATGTAGATGATTGCCAGGGAAACAATGTATTGGTTTTTCCCGTCGAGCTTGACCGTGAAGTTGTCGATGACCGTCCCGACCAAAGTACCGATTGACGTCCAGGACTGGAACAAGCCAATGACCAAACCTCGGTATTTCGCGGGGGCACATTCTTGAAGGTAGAGCTGGGAGAATGTCATGAGCATGCCGTTCGCAATACCGATCAGGAAACGGGCGAAATAAAGTGCTCCAATGCTCGTCGTGACCATCATGACAATGTTGGCGACAACGCAGAGCAGAGCGGCAATCCAGATCGACATTTTGCGGCCGAGGAATTTCGCAATTGGACCGGCGGTCGAGGAGCTAATGAAAGCTCCGAGGATCATCAGCGATGAGATGAGCTGCTGTCGTGTGTGATCGATGTTGTAACCAATCGGCGAGACAGACGTGGGAACCTTGTGGCCAAAGACCTAGGAATTGTCAGAACTCGTCGTCGTGTTGACCTCCAGCACCGTGCAACCATACCTCCAAGAAGCCAGGCATGGCCTGGAGACCACCAATAATGCCAAAGTCGACACCATACTGGAATGGACACATGCTGACCAGAGTACATGCTACCATGCACTTCCAGTGGGCTTTCAGCGTGTCAGGCCGTGAGGTCGCCATGATGGACGGTTTCGTGATTGCTGACAGGTCCAAGGCAGAGGCTCAGGTGAGGTCGAAGGTGATATCGAACTGCCCGAGACGGACGATTGATATATCACACCGTTGGTCCCAGCAGCCGACATGTTCAAAGCTGGTTGGGATGAAATGACCGGCGGCGACCAGTACGATTCTGGCATCGGCATGAGGAGAGAGCAAATAGCCCCACGACAGAGGCAAAATGAGAGCGCATCGCGTGTCTGTGATTGGCAGGAACTCTGTCGCAAAGCACCTAGACTGTTGGCATGACTAGGAATGTCCGGGGTAATGCTGGAGCGAGCTAAGCCAAACGTCGACAATGACCCACCGGCTGATAATGGGCAGTCGATGTTGACCAGGCTTGGCCCAGCCTCCGAGACTTGCGCTTCAACCAGCCTCGCTCGGACAAGATGGGCGGGCAAGAGCGTTGATCCATTGCCTCATCAGAGACAGACTGGTGATCTCCATCTTCGTTGTTGATGCAGATGTCAAGCTTTTAGCCGTGGGCAACGGCTGGGTGATTCCCGCCGTCTCCTCACACGACCTAATGTGAAGTGACAGAACAATGGCATAGTTTTGAGTGTCTGGAGTATTCTACAAGGTCCCTTAGGAAAGTCGTAAGCACTCGCTGTGATTGAGTTTCGCCTGCGTGATCGAGGAACCTCGCATTGGAAGCGCCGGTAGGAACGCACTTCCGAAAAGCTTGTCCTCGTACGTGAAGACGAGCTCTGTGGCCAAACTTCGCGTGTATTCCTTCTGAAAGCAGCAGTTTCGAGCTGCTCCAGGATCTCCACGATTTGATCGTATGATCTGCAGATCTCGAGATTGATCCTTTCGACATGCCCATCGCTGCTGGCAGTCTTCTCCGCAATGCTGGAGCCCCTGTGCCCAGTTGTTGGGGAGTCGGCCATTTGTTTGTAGCCGACGTGCGGGGGCAGGACGGCTTCGGCTCTGGCGCCTTTCCCAAACAACCAGTTGGATGAGCTGCGAAGCTGCAAATTCATTTTCCTAAAACGGCGACTCCGACTGTAGTGCAAGCCACAAGCATGTCCGAAAGGAGATGCACGTGTTGTCCCCGGAATCCCGGTGTTGAGCTAGGCAAGCCGAGAACGTCGTGGAGGTGTCGCGTAAACTGTTTCCCCATACGCCTACAGAAAGGCTCAATGTCGGTATGTCTCAAGTGCCTGGTACTTTCCCCAGCCTTTCGGGGACCAGGCACCCACTAGGGCCGGATAAGTTTCGATCACGGCAAGGTGTACGGAGTACAGCATCCAGCATTTGCCATAGCTATATTGGTTCAAACCGGATTATAGGGTATCATCTGACTGGATAGTCACAGAATCCACACCAAGTTGGAGATCTTGTCGACCATGTTCAACAGTCATCGCCACGGAAGCGGTTGTCTTCCTGCGTTGACTTATACCTCTCACAAGCGTACAGTCTTTCTGAATACCGAGTGCCCTACAGAATTGACCGGAATTACAGGACGGCTGGCTGCCATGGTCCGGCTCAGAACTGTCGTAAATCTCGGAAGAAAATATCAAATCGTCGCGCCTCCGTCTGATGCATTGATGCAAGCTAGGGCCCAGCAAGTGTGGGGAGTAGGTAATGGAAATCGGAAGACTCTGGGACGGAATGTATGGATCCCAGCACGAACGTTGGGTGTAGGTTGCGGCTTCTCACTTTAGCTCGCAGACAGGTGAGGCGGCTCTAGAAGGTCCTGACCCCTTGCCGATGTGCCATGAGGGCATTCCCCATTTGCGGCCAAGTGCGATTGACATTTCCCAGAACTGGAGCACGACTCGGCTGCCTGGGCTTGGGCGATCCCTCTTGGTCGAGTAGGGTCGTCAGCGATCCGTGTACCGTCCCGGCCTTCGAGGGTCTCTTGGTGCGGATCTGAAATCTAGACTCGTCGGTGCACAGTCTGGTCAACCAGGCTCTTCGACACTGCTTTGGTGGACCAATGCAGGTCTAGGCTTCAGTTTATCATCAATGCTCTTTGGACCTGACTTATTATTCTGCACCGAAAGCCCAGACTGTGGCATGCGCCATGCCTCACGGCACCGGGCGGTCCCCCAAAGACTTGGATCTTCGGCGGTCAAGCAGAGATGTCGCCGTTGATGTCGAGAATTGAGAGGAAGTCACTGGCTTCAGGGTTTGGGGCGGATGCCTCTTGTCAGAGCTGATACCTCACCAGCAGAGCAGGCTCAGGCTGATACTTCGCCGTGCACATCTTACCAACTATCAGCTTGCCAATATAGATGACCTTGCAATTGGGACAGCCGGTTCGACGACGCTAGACCGTGGTAGGGAGAATCATCGCTCAGTAAAAGGGAGGGTCACTTGCCCGGAACAGAAACTGAACTCGTCTTGGGCACCTAAATTGTGCACTTATCAGACCTGCTGGTGGCGCAGTGCCTTAGGTACTGCTATCAAAGTGCGGTGGGCTTGGCCATTGAACGAGGTCGAGAATCCGGTGTCTGTTACTGTCGTGACCTTGAGCCCGTCAAGGCATTGTCATGTAGAGGAGCAGCTGGCAACCCCGCAACGCGACTGAGCACCGACGACTCCCGCGCGCCAAGACTGTGCTCGGCACCATCCCGAATGCAGACTAGCGGGAATCTCTCAGGGACTGAGCTTCATGCCTTCTCAATCAACACTTAATTAGTTTACACTACGGAGTACTCGCTCCGGCAAACCGAAGAGTGCGTTCGAGCCCGCAGCTTGCTTGCAGTAGAGAAACCTGTCTATTGGCAAAGTCCTTTCTGGTTCCTCCACGGACTACACTGATCAACGCCGGTATTCTCCACAGTCACCCTGTCCTCCCGCATCGCGACAACCTTCGAGCAACCTTGCAAGGACAACAGACGAGATCTCTTTCAGAGCTGCGGAGTACAATTGAATTTCTATCACACAATCCTCACTCACTGGCAACATCCTTCAATTTATGATCGTGAATAGGTGATTTGGTTCTCTCTTGGTCCGCGACCAGACTCGGGCTGGGGCATGTTCGAGTGTGGACAGTGCTGCCGGAGCTCTCAAAAGTCCCTCCTGAACAACTAACCCCGCAGATACTTCATCAAGAGGCCCAAACGCACGTGGACCCTATAGGAAGACGTAAGGCTGCGGTTTCTGTGGCGGATACTTCACGAAAAGGACAGCAGCAGTGAGCTCTGAGACCGTAGCGGCCAACACCGCTTTTCCAACCTGCATTCCGCACCACCGTCGGCAAGCCCTTGAAGGTCACGAGGAGCCTTTGTTCCGGAACAGCACAAGAATGATCAAGTTGGGTGGCATAAATCCACCGAGCGATCTCATGGATAGCACGACGTAAATAACAGTGAGATCCGCGGCAATAGTACATAGTCAATGATCTTCAACGGTCCAGCCAACAGCGGGAACATGTTGTTTGCTGTGGACCGACGTAGCATGATCTCAAATTCAGATTCTTTCTTGGGAGACCGCGAGCGCTGCTGAGCATACACTTGCTGACTGCGTGGACGGAGACGTACGATACGTCAATGAAGGAGTATGTGAGTCTATTGTGCTTGTAAGTCTTTGCAGGAATAACACCGCAATGCCGGCTAATCATGGCAAAGACGCCATGCAAAGGGTCGCCGCACCCACGCGATCGACGCTTTGCCCGTTGAAACCACTGCGCCGCCCCAGATGCGGTCCTGCAGTAGCGGAAAGCTTACGAGGTAACTACTGCGGACTGTGCGTAAATGACCCTACACGCATCAGGCGTGAGCGACCGAGTACACGTGCCCGAAGGCGGCGAACACGCAACGGCTGACCACGGGGCTGGAGTGGGCCGTCGTCGGCCCCCGCGATAACACTGGGTCCCAATGCCATGAGAATCTTTCGGCCGTGGAGTCTCGATTTTGAGCGAGCGAAGCTCATCCCGCGACTCGGCCAGATGAAGGTTCCAAGAGACACTGAAAGTCTGTTACGAACTCACTTCCGCGCAAGCGAGGGCGGCCGTTTATCTGACCTCGTCTCATTCGTTTCGAGCTCCGGGGTTGAGAATGCACAGTTGAACACCCCGTGGTTACGCACAAAGTACAGACTGTGTCGCACCATCGCCGGGGAAAGCTGTGCACCGACTGTAGCGTTACAAAGTACGCATACCAATTCGGGCCAAGGTTGCAGTTCAGGATGCAGGTCCACCAGGCTGTATCTGTACTCGTCATCTCGAGCATTCCGGGGATCCCCTGGCAAGTCGTTATGATCGGCGGGTTGGCTCTCAGCCACTGTTTCAGGTACCAACCCTTTGTCGACGAACCTTCAGCGTCGTGACCGCCGTATGTAGTTGATCGACGATTTTAAGCTAGCCTGTAGATGAAATGATAGATATTGATAATAACGTATGCACATAGATATTAGACAGTGTTTGTAGTATGTACAATCGAGGCGCTGCCCCGGTTCGCTCATTCACTGTTGTCTCTGGGCGCGTTCAGACGTATCGTGGCCGTTCAACTCATCTCCTCGTTCTCCCAGCTATAATTCTTACAAAGAACTGCTCGTGGTCAAGCCAGGCATCGTGCAGTAAGTCTCATCCATGTCATTAGAACTCTGAGACACGGACAGTTGTGGTCTTCGTGATGGCGCCGTGGACAGGTCTTGCAGTCCACTGACTGTCGGTGCTGACGGCGTGGAACTCGTCTTCTAACATGATCTTGTCACTGTTGTCATCACCCGCAGTCACCGTGCTGGTAAAGCCTCCCAGTTTTGTGCCGGCTCCGCGACGCAGGTCCCCTAGCTCCGTCGACTGCCGTGAGCCAAATTGATAGTACTGACTTGCTGGTTTGCGGGCAGAACGCTTATCGGTCTTGCTTTTGCCGTACGCGAGCCCGTCAGGATCGTAATACTGGCCGGGGTTGCGGCTGTTGTTCGAAGTGAATCTTGCCGTTGCGCCTAGGATCTTCGCAAAAAGCGGTCGTAGTGTAGGCAACGACGCTGCAAGAATTCCAATGTTGAACTCAATATTGTTCCACATGAAGAACGAATCATGGTATGTCCAGTCCGGATCTTCGAGCGCATGTGCCTGCTTGACTGTTTTGATGATACTCGAGATGCATGCGAAGATTCCCAAGCTCAGAACGAAACACAAGGTGAGCTTCGTACGCAGATTTGCCTGGAGCTGCCACACGACCGGGATCGGCAGGAGCGCGAACAGCACATCGGTCGCAATGTTGACGCTGCTGTTGAAGATGCCAATGTTGGTAAATGTAGTGTTACTGAAGCACTTCGCCTGGCCAGTCGCGCGTAGTGCGAGGTTCCAATTGGCGTCGACCTTTGTGCCGCAGTTGAAAATCAACGTTCCCGCACAGGAGATGGTAAAGGCGACAAGGAAGACGATGCAACCCATCAGGAAATGTTGGTAGATTCTGCCCTGCACGAATCTGCGCAGGAAGAATGCGATTGAGATCTTGACCAGACTGATTCCAATCATGATGATGATCGAGTGGAAAAACCGCCAGTGTAAAAAGAGGCCAAAATCGTCTGGGCTAACGAGCGCTGGATGTCTCCCCAAGGCGCCGGCTTTGCTTTCTCCCACAAAGCAGGTAATGACGCCAATTTCGCAGATCTGGATGATTTCAGTGATTGTTAGTCTGAATCGCGCCAGAATTGTAGGTTCAGGAACTCACCGCAGCAGCGAGCATGATGTAGTCGTCCGCCCCCAGGCTCTTCAGCATAAATATCCTCACGTAAAGCCTGAGTAAAACTGTGAGGACTGCTGCGCCGCAAAAGGCGCCATGTATGGCCAAGAGAGCGCCTGAGTTATTTGAATTTTGGTACTGCACTGGTGCAGCAGTAGTTTGCCGTTCAAGAAGCTGAAGGAGTTCCGGGATGACCATGGTATTGATGGGAAGCGCAATCACTTCACATGATCCGGAAGTGCTGGTGACAGGCGAGCTGTAACGCTCCGACCGTGTTCGCTGCGAAATATTGGCGAAGGAGTCTTCGACAGTGTCGGCTGTCTCGAATTGTTGTTATGACCGGGCCCTAACTACCTGTTATGAACTTCCTTGATATGAGTCTCCATCCCCTCTTGCACAAGTTTCAACAAATGCTGAGCTCCTAGCAGACAAGGAGCGGATACGGATCCTTAGCGTCCATTATCCTTACTCCAAGCCCGCTGGTAGATCCCACAAGCGGCTTTGGGTAAGGTCATGTCGCAGATTTTGCTGGTGGTACGGATTTCGCGCCTCGTCTGCCATTTAGTTGAGCGCTAATTCTTAACTGCTTACCTACGTGGACAACCTGGCCTCGGCGCTGCTAGCCATAACAAACCCCGGTGTTGAGTAGCGCCTGCAGAGTAACTACCAATGCTTCGACCCTCAAAGCCGAGGCTGTTTCAATGAGATTAATACCGATTGCAGGACTTCCAACATGGCTAAAGTGTTCGACGGTTTCCTCCGGGAGAGACTGCGTTAGACTGTACACAGTACAAGAAGGCTTTTGGCAGGACCAGCACGATGGGGGCGCCGAAATTGGAAGTGCTTTTCGGTGAACAACCTGCATTGGGACATGTCGTTACCACCAGGATTTGCACTTTTAGCCGGTGCTGGGGTAAGGGACCCGCAGTCTTGCTCCTAGACAAGGATCATGCCGGAATCTATTGTGGAAAACCAGGCTGGAGGTGCTGTAACCCAGTAAGTACAGGAACTGAGAGCACCGGGGTACCTGTAGACTTGTACTCCTAGCTTCACAAACCCTGACTCGCAAACGAAGGAAATGCAGGGAAGCCAAGGATGCCCCAGCCCTCGATGCACGACGCCGAGAGCTGGCCCCTGAGACGACTCGCACATGCAGCCGCTTGATGCTCATACCATGGTTGGATTTCAGAGCTTATCGCAGAGGCGTCCGCGCTATTCGGATATGATGAAGAAACTGGCTTTGGTCGTCGTTATTAGGAATGGATGCCGCAGCAGGCACAGTCGGGCAGAGTGACAGGCAAAGGACGGACTAACGAGCAAAGGAATCGACAAAAATTGAGTTGTGTACTCCGTACGTAAGGTGATGGGGACTGGGGTCAAAATTAGGCTTTGGCGCCAACGCCTCTAAGCTTCCCTAGCCCTTTTCCAGGCTAGCCTAAATTTAATCCCCTCAGCCTAAGCAGCCATCGTGTGGAGTGCTGCGCCGGTTCCCCGATCACGTCAAGCATCCTGCTCTTTCTCACCACCGCAACCAGCACGAACAACTGCCCTTCCTGGTGTCGCTCTCTAACCTGAGCTGATCATTGCGCAGAGCTTCATCCACATTAGAGGTCGTCAACTCAGCCTCCCCGCCTCCTTCCAGTCACATCTAGCGTGGATGCACTATTGAAACCCCCAGATCCTGGGCTTCGAGGGCTTTCGAACATAGACCGACCCTTGTCGCATTGTGGGTGCGTACCGTTACATGAAAGCTTGTCACCTCACCAATTCTATTGAGTACGGAGAACAGATATGCCGAAATCAGCCGATCCGATACGCTCTCAGAACCGAAATGATCGGCATGCGGTTCGAAAATGAGAAGACTCCATCACACTGCATGGTTTCACCGCAGTCTCTGTACACGACCAATCTCATCACGACTGTCGAGCTAAGCTCCCCTTGAGTGGACGGTTATTTAACCAGCTAACTGACTGGACTCATCGGCGAATCTCGGTAGGTGCTCGCTTGGGCTACTGACGAACATTGCGGCAGTCGCTAGATGTCTGCGATGCCTCCTACACGCGTCTCTCGAGGGACTATCGATTCCCTAATGCTCTGTCAAATCCACCTCGCTCTCCTGCCTGGGATCTCACGTGGCTAGATAACAACCTCGTGGCAGTTATGGGGGCGCGGATGGGAGGTTTATAAAGCGACCGAAGATCCCAGTGATCAGCGTGGCACTTCCCTGTCAAACAATTCGTCTTCGCGACACAGCGATATCTTTTGGTGTGATCCTGGCTTCAGGCATCTACCTTCCACTCCCTTGTTTTCTTTAAGAGACCTTTAATTTCTCATTTTGATCTTATTCAGAATCAGTTCCAACCATGCATCTTCAACTCCTTGTGCCAGCCCTACTGGCCGTGTCGGCGGCACACGCCGCTCCAGCGCCTGCGGACCATGGCTTTTCCGAACGGGATGCCTCCGTTTCAGCCGCTTCTTCGGCGTTCTGGTCACCTGCGTCGACGATCCAGACGGATATCATGGCCGCGAAAGGTCTTGTCAACCTCGCCTTTTATGAGCTCACGAATCCACCGAGCGGGGGCTGCAATCTGCTCAACGCAGCAGTCCGCCGAGAGTGGTCTACCCTCTCCAAGGACGAACGAAAAGCGTACATAGCCGCCGAGTTGTGTTTGCAATCCAAGCCGACCAAGGACCCCAGCTTTGCACCAGGGGCCAGATCTCGATATGATGACTTTGTGGCAGTCCATATCAACAGTACTCTGTTCATCCACGGGACTGCCAACTTCTTGGCGTGGCATCGCTACTTTACATGGGCATTTGAACAAGCCCTTCGAAACGAGTGTGGCTACACAGGGTACCAACCGTATTGGAACTGGGGAAAGTATGCCTTCGACCCTCTTCACTCGCCTCTCTTCGACGGCAGCGACTCTAGCATGTCCGGAAATGGGCAGTACGCACCACACGGGCCGACAAATGCTCTGCCTACAGGACTGAACCCCATTCCTCCTGGGCAAGGGGGTGGCTGTGTCAATACCGGCCCATTCGCAAACTACGTTGTCAACCTGGGCCCTGTCGCTCCGACTTTGGATGTTCCAGGCATTATCGACTATTCAAGCCCGGACCCTCTCGCATATAACCCCCGCTGCCTCCGCCGAGATATCTCATCGTGGGTCTCGTCAAACTGGACCAAGGACTCTGACTCGTTCGACCTGATCTCAAACTACAATGACATCCTCTCCTTCCAGAACCGCATGCAGGGCGACTTTGGAAGTGGCTTCTATGGCGTCCACACGGCAGGTCACTTCACCACTGGAGGTGACCCGGGTGGTGACCTCTTCGCTTCGCCAGCCGAGCCGACTTTCTTCCTGCACCACGCACAGATTGATCGCACGTGGTGGATCTGGCAGAACCAAGATCCGAAAAACAGGAAGAGTGCTTTCGCTGGTGGCACCTCGACTCTGGACCCGGTCAACAGCCCTCCTGGAAAGCTGACTGATCCTATTACCATGGGGTCGCTGGCGCCGACGATCCAGAACAAGGACGCGCTATGGACCACGGGCGGGCCATTCTGCTACATTTACGTCTGATGAAGGGGAGGGTGCGAATTTCTTCGGTACATGATGACCATTCTGAGCACGCAATAGAAATATGTAGGACCGCACCAGTCGAATACTGTAGCATAATGTCTAATGTCAACATCCTTGAAGTCAGCCTCAACCTCGAATGTGTCTGGGACCCTCTTCGGCCCCGTTTCGCGACACGAGGCTGACACGCGAGCCGAGAGCGCGTCTGTCTTCGCACCACGACCCGCAACCGAGGCGAGAACCTATTGCAGAGCGTAGACGGCTGGCGCCGCACAATTCTCCGAGAGGCTGAAACCGCAAGGCTGACATTGAGAGCAGCGCCTATTTGAACGGAGGATGTAACAGCACGGCACTGCCTCCTCGCGAGCCCGCACAACCACCCCATTGCAGATCTGACGTATCACCCCGTCGTGTGAAGTCTCTTTCGCAAAAATAGGGAGCAGCGAAACACAGCTTCTGGGGTTGGTGAAAAACGGGCGCCTTGATCTTGAGATCAACAGCACTGCCACCTCCCGATCTTGCAGCAGACATGATGTTTCACAACCAGACCTCAAGATCTCTTCTCTACCACCCAGCTATTTCAACGCATTGCTTGGTCTCGGACTGCACTTGATTTAATGCTGCAACTTTTCAATTCTTGTGGAACATCTTCACTGTTGCATAACCCTGACCGCCGCACTCTCATCATCCTCAGGACTCCATCGATAGTCAGGTGAAAGTGACCGCCACCCCCTCCCCCCCCCCCCCCCCGGGGGCAAAATGTTCGACCCCATAGACTGGTTCATGCTCATGTGCTGCTGGTGCTGTGACCGTAAAGATAAGGATGAAGAAGAATACGAGGTCTCCGAGCGCGAGCGCGCCCGCCAACAACTCAAAGCCGACCTGACCGACGGGGCCGCCACGCCACACGAACAACCGAAGAAGCCGCCCCAACTGGCCCACGCGCCGCCAGAACTGCAATGATGCGCCGAGCGCCCTTCATCAACGGCTGAACATCGGAATGGTCGAGTCGGTGTATACATCCCTGGTGTCGGGAGAAGACACTGGTGAAGCCGCCCAGATAAGCACTCAAAACATCTTGCTCACTTACTCTCTACATATGTAGAGACCGATCACTCCTCTGCGAAACTCCCACCCGGCGGCTCCTCCTCATACTGCTCCACACCCTCCGGAATGTCCACGACCGCAGATTTCGTCCAAATGTGGATGGCCTTCCTCATCATCTCCTTACTCAACCCTTCCAGACAACCTGCCTTGACGCTCAACATGGCCGCTGGCTTGACCGTGTCCTCGCGGCTCTCCCCATCCTGAACGTCCTGAGCAGACATGGACACATGTACCAGACGACTCCCGCATTTCGTGCAAAAATACCCGTCTGTGCGCCCTGTGGAGTTGGCCCGACTGTACATGCCTATGGCGTCGGCAGTGGGTGCATTCTGCCGAATGTCAAAATACGGAAAGATGGCAGTCATGCCGTACGTGGAGGACGACTGGTGGCGACATTCCGTGCAATGGCATATGTACAGCGCGAGAGGCGCGGCGAGGGGCGTCACGAAGCGGATCTGTCCGCATTGGCAGCGTGCTTCCATGTCGATGTCGACCGAACGGAAGGATGGCAGTGGTGTGCGAAGCTGTAATCGAACCTGTTTCCTGTCTTCCTCCTCAGTCCCGTCGACTTTGTGCTGTATCTAGGGAATGTGATGTGCTCGTGGGCTGAACTCGGTACAGTGGACAGTAGTGGTGATAGCGAGGACGTCACAGATACAGTACGAGTACTTTGTAGCTTCAAGTCACACTGTGCTCGTCCTTCCTGTAGCTACGTGGGATGTATTGCAGTGCACACAGTGGTGTCGACCTTTGACGTGGTGGACAACGGACAACGCTTCTGCAGATACGAGTACGAACACGAACGCCCTTCCCAGCCCCTCCCCCTCTTCACCGGCCCTCCTCTCATCTCCACCACAGTGACCGATGAGAGTCTGCGGACATCTCAATCATCTACCCAGTATTCGGATGTTCGCGCCCGTCGTCTCCGCATCCACACGCATCCCATCCCATCCCATCCCACGCCTCAAGCGGCCAGGCCACGAACGGGCTCCCAGACTCCTAGGCTTCCAGGCTCCTAGTGCGTGACGATCGCGCGATCGTCATGCCACCTACCGCAATGGCACTCTCAGCGTGCTGCATCGAGACAGATTCGGGCTTTACTACCACATAATCCGCACCCCTTCGCCGACCACGCTCAAATCTGGCGACCCGCGGCTCTTTTTAGGGCACGGTTGCCCATGCTGCGCATTGAGGGATGAACAATTAGGTCCTCTGCGTTGCAGCGCCCGGCGTCCAGCGTCCAGCCTCGGCGGTGCTCATATTGGACCATGTTGGGCACCATGCGCCCAATGCACGCGTTAATTACTGGTAGTTAGCTGCGAGCTACTCCGTACGAGTAACGACTTCATTGAGCTGCTAACAAATCAAGTGGGGTAACTAGCTGCTAGGTGGCCGTGGCCGTTGAGGCTTGGGCGCTATTCAGCCTGTCCTCCAGCCCGCCAGCCAGTCAACCACTCAACCAGGACAGTTGTTCGTTTACCAGAAAGTTCCACTACGCCCTAGTGGGTAGGACACGCTGTCAAACAACGATAATCCGTACAGCGCCTTGATTGGGTGATTATGGAAGCTCCAAGCCGTGACCACCCCTGCGTGCTTCCGCGGTGCCTTCTCACACTGTCCATGGTATACATATGGACGTGGAGGCCCCGGGACGGCCTCACCCCGCACACCACACAGTACACGCTACATTTCTTTCGCGGACTTCAACTTGAACTTCAAAGCTACCGTACTCATCTCTTCTCCTGTCCTGCAATCCATACACGGAACTTAACGTACATAACGTGGTCGAGGACCCGGTATCGGTTCCCAACGGATCATCCCGACCATGCCGACGGCAGTCACGGATCTGCTCCCGTCGAGACAAAGGCACGACACCCATCGCTAGCGATCGTAGTTCATTAGCAGGCTATTTAGCGTTGGCCTAAAAAAAAAGGTGTCACCGGCGAAATGCCCAATTTCAACCCCTACACCGCCGATACGCCCAGCACCGAATCCTCAAGCGACAGCTTCGACACCTCCGAGGACGAACAACAATATGCTCCCGCACAAATTCGGAAGTCGCGGTCTCGCCAGCTGATAAACTCGCCGCGTCGACCCTCCAGCTCAGCATTTGCCTATCCCGTGCCCAAACCCATCTCGGCGTGTCTGGTCGACCCGTTCTACACGCTCCCGATCGAGGTGGACACGACGACGAACAAGCTCCTCCATTTCTACAGCCAAGACAGCTACTGGGCGACGGCGTACGCGTTGTCCCCGAAGATCAAGCCCTCGATTAAAGGCTCGTGGGAGTACCAGGCCGGGGCATGCCTCTCGCACTTCCACATCTTGATGGCGCGGTCGGCGCTGCATCAGCTGCGCATGAATGAGAAGTGGGGCGGCGAGAAAGCGAGGCGCGAGCTCGAGTATGCGGCGTTGAAGCACCAGACCGAGGCGATCACGCTTCTGCGCGAGAACGTGTCGCGGGGCCAGAATGCCGATTTGAAATTGATCCTCACGAGTATCATTTCGCTGGCGACGTTTGAACAACGGTACGGAGACCGCGAACGGGCGGTGCTCCATTTCCGGACCGGCCGGGATATCATTCGCCAGATCGGCATGCAAGATAACGGGTTGAACGATCGGCTGAGGGAGGAACAGGCACTCTGGTTCGAAGGCATCTATCGCGATCCGGAGGCGAGCTGGATGTGGGGAAAAGAAGACGCGAATGAGCGGTTAGGATGGTTGAAGACGCTGCTGGGAGAGGTCGATCGCATGTGGAGGGATCGCCAGCTGTTGCCATTACGGGACAAAGCGCAGAGCCGCGTGCCGGCCGACAGCAGATTACGCGAGTTCATGTTCAGAGAAACCACAGGCCGCAGCGTGAGCGTGTATGGCGACATTGACGAGTTTGTGGCCCAGCAGCGGTGTATTTTGGTCTTCGTCTGCATCATGTGCGCGATATACGAAGAGCTGGGCGACAGCAGCGGCGGCCTCAAGACGGTCTCGAAAGCCATGGCCTTGAACGTGGCAATCCGCGCGTATGCGGCCTTCCTCGAGGATCTGCTGGTCGAGCATGCTTTGGGCCCCGACCAGGCCGTCGCGGATCTGCTCTGGATGATGTGTCAGAATTATCGCGATGTGAAGGTTCACCTTGTGGCTGCTGGGCCGGCGGTGCCCAAGGGAGCGCTGCAGCGACTGGATCTCAAGGACTGCCATTGGCGAGCGAGTGGCATTGCCAATGTGGTCAAATACCTGCCGGAGAAAAGGCAGTCAAGTCTTCGCAACATGTTGTTGGATTTCATTGATGGCAAGCCCTATACCGGCAAGGTGCGGGTCAATGAGTTTGAATTCAGTTATGCTGGCTTGTGACGTTCCAAGGGGCGAAAGGCGTCCATGTGCATGGCGAGGCGTCAACGAGTGTTCGACGCCTCGTTGTTCCGTAGACCGAAGTATCTAAAATACGGGTAGATCATGGCGAACAGAAAGACCAAGGAGCCAAGCTTGCCACATAGTCTTGGACTGGACGCTTCCAAGGAGGAAAAGGATCCACAAGATCGTGCGGTGACGCGAACCATGCGGGACAATATGCAGATGGGATGAATTTCTGACAGCCGCATGCGGTCACAAAAAGGATTGGGCGGTCGCACGTCGGATATCGCGTGCGTGTTGTATGGAAGGAAGACCCTGTCATTGTCTTGTTGATCTCGTGGACCAAGGATCCACGCGAACACGAGGCTTGGCCGACCATCTCAGCAGAACATGGCACACGAGATCCAAAAGGGGTATTTGAGGCGTGCTGCAGTCTTCGCGGGCGAGACCAGCGGATCCAGCGACTGCGGCTCGGAATTTACTGGGTACAAGTGGTGAGCCATGCTCAGAACTACCACACCACAGCAAGCGACCTGGACCGCAATCGCTGTTTCCACGATTCCCAATGGCAATAGTCTGGGACTGGCACAACCGGGATCCCGCATATCGGGCACGGCCAGGAAATGCGGGAAACGGTCTGAAATTCGGTTGGCTGGCAAACGGATTCGTGTCTTTTGGATTTCAAGAGCCAAGGAATTCGAAAAAGCTTGGTGCCAGCCAAAGGCAACACTCGTACGGAGTACGGAGTATGTACTGAGCAAAACCGACTGCTGGGCAACTTCTCACGGTTGCAGATCCAAAGCACTAGTGTGCCAGCCTATCCTCGGCTGTCCTCGGTCCCACACTTGACACCAGTACGAAGTACAGACGATGCTCGACCTTGCAGATCCACAGAATGGCTGACCAGCCGAGCCAGCCTGTCGCCGAGCCCTCAGTCAATAACTGTACAGGCCAAGCAGTCCTTGTCCCATGGAGTCGTGCTCAATTCGTTCCGGACGGACAGGGACATTGGATGTCCGGCTGCTCTCCGTCTCAGGATCTGTGTATATTAAGCGGCGGTCCCCTCGAGCATCATGGAGCAAGTTCATCATCATCCTTCGAGAACTGCGTGGCTTTGCTTTGGTTCAACGACCCTACTGTGCCAGACTCTTCTTGCTTTACTTCTTAGACAGCCATGGGCCAGGCCGTTCGTTCGAGTCCAGACCCGACCAACCTTCCATCAGACTTGGAGACTGTGCCACACTCTTCTTCAACCGTCGCCGCAATGACTGCGCCTACCATTGCCCATCATGCATTCCCGCTCCATCATACTCTTGCTTGGCCTCTGGATGTCTATAGTGTCGACACCGTCGAGAGAGAAAGATATGTCACGCCTACCCAGACGACGCCTGAGACCGAGGTACACCACTTTCCTGTCCTGACCAAGCCGTTCGACACTGGCATGGGTATGACTGGTGAAGGAGTGACTCCGCCTGCACAGGAGGATGTGGTCTCCAACTTTCCCCCACACCTGTAAGTAGGCAATGCTGTTGCCGGGTGGTGTGCTGGGGACTGACAGTGAACAAAGCTTGACCATCCCGCCGGCCCCAGCTGGCGACATGCCCGGCCATCCAATCTTAGCACTTGGCGATGGACCTCACCAAAACGGACAGGAACCGAGGGTTTCAGCGGCGCGGACAACAATCGCAAGGACCAGATCATCTGGAGGGAGCAAGTTGGAGCAGTGGTACACCAGTCCCACTGTGACGGACCCATTCCACCTGATCAGGCTTGAGCCTCACAACATCACCTGGCAGGTTCGACGTGAGGTCAACTCCAAGCCCGACCATCATGTTGACGATGGTACAAGTTCGGCAGACCAGTCATCCGTCCAAGAGGATACCCAGAGCGACCATGCTGGAGATGATGTGGAGACGCAGCCCACCTCGAAGATGTCGTTTTGACCGTGCCACAGGGGCCAGTCGATAGACAGGTTCGCATTGCATGGCGTCTCAGCTGGCCTAACGTCGCTGCCGTGTCCAAAAAGTCAGGAGACATGCTTGCAGCCTGAGGCTGTAGTACCAATTGACTCAAGGAGATCTGACACCCGTGCCTATGATGTTACGCTGCTGGCTGTGGCTCGAAGAAGCCGATACACGTGTCGAGCCAGAGCATGGAGTCCGGCTTACTTGCGAAGGGGAGCAACTGTGTGGAATCATGTCCTTAGTGGGTTTATTGGGGAAAGGGAGTAGAAGTGCAGAGAGTCATGATGATGCATGTTGCTATGTACCTGACGTCTTCAGACCGTCGGAGATAAACTTTCAACCACCCCTGATCTTGGGCCCTTCTCCGGCCTGTCGTATCACCCGGATCATTGTTCCTTGTCTTCCGCAGGGATGGATCCGGCAGCTGAGTGGACCTTCTCCACGCTGCCGGTAGCCGACGGTGATATCCGACTTTTCCTCGGCGGCGCGTTATCTTGGAACTGCGCACCCACCTGTGCAGCGCGCTGTGTCGGTGTTACTTTTCGCCGGATTGCATTCTCCAACTCCAGCCTCGTGTAATTAGTCGTAGCCTTGCTGGCCAGTGCGCATCCATGGGACTCTCCCGAATTAACAACATATCTGTACGGAGTATTTCTGGCCCAGACACGAAGTTGCCTGTACACTGAGATGGAGGCCACGTCAAGATAGACTCTTCAATTCACCTGTCGATATGGCTGACAGTGCGATATCGCAAGCGTTCTCCCTCGCGGGATGGACATTCTTGCCTGCCGTGAGTTAGTCCAATCCTCCCTGCGAGGGCCACACATATTAACAATGTCACAGTACGCCACTAACATCTTGCAAACCGTCTACTATCGGGTGACCATTCCTGCCGGGCAGCGACATCCGCAACCGGGAGAGCCGCTCTTTGCATATCACCATCGACGGATTCGAGTCTTCGTCCTGTCACTGTACCTCGTCTATACCCTCGCTCAGGCGCTGTATGATATCACGTTGGCTGGCGATTTTTACACACTGCTCGGCGTGACGCCATGGTCAGGCGAGAAGGAGGTCAAAAGCCGTTTCAGGAGACTCGCAGCGAAATACCACCCTGACAAATTACACGAGAATGGGCAGCCGTTCCCTGGCGCCGACGCAGTGTTTGTTCGCTACAAGCTGGCGCACGATACCATATTGGACCCTGCAAAGCGGTTCGCATATGACCGATTCGGGCCGGTCATTGTGCAGGTACAGCATCCAGGACTGAAGAGCATCAAAGATTATGTCTATGCTGGCCTGCGCTCAAAGGTTCCCGAGTACCTGTCCAATGCAGGGGTTCTTGTGCTGTTGAACTACATCTGGCTGCCGAAATGGGGGCAGTTCTGGCGGTATTTTGCAGTCGCCTGTATGGCGTTCCTCGAGCTATACTTCCTCACACACGTCTGGGAGCCCCCGAAACTTGCATTGCTCTGGGCCTCGACAGCCCAGAAGCTGCTGCCAGACCTGCTGCCGCCTCACCTACTACCCTTTCAGGTATTGGGCTTGGCCAGGCGGATGTCCATGTCCATGAACATATTCATCTCCCAGCTTGCACCACCCAAAGCAAGAGACCCGGCCATGCGTGATAGGCAAACACAACAGCAGATTGCACACCTTGCTCAGGCAGCCAGCCGGCTGGACGCAGAGACAGGAGGGTTGCTTCACTTAGCCATGAGTCCGTTCCGGGGAGAGGGCGAAAAGGCGGAGGTTTTGAGGTCTGGGATGAAGGAATCCTTGGTGACAAGTGCCTTGAGGAGACACCCTGAAGTAAGAGCGGCTGTGCAACGAGTCTTGGACCGCAGGAGGGGAGCGGCGATCATGCAGGAACGCGGCCAGTCGGTCTTGCAATAGCACAACAAACACAGAATTTTACTGAAGCCATCTCTCAAGAAACCCAGCTAGTTGCGCTGTCACCGTCTATTCTTACTCCTGCTGTGACCCTCGTCCGAGTTGCGCGCATCCCGTTGGTGCTGTCCTCTGCCCCACCTTGACTCGAGCCTTCAGGTGTGGTTTCGACGGTCTTCCTCCTCTGAGAATCTACTTGCGGGCGATGAACCAAGTGTTTGGTGTCACGAAGGCGGCAGGACGTCAGTGACCGATCTGGGGGCCTGGTGAAGAACGAGGTTGGGCCAATCATTGACTGATCGCATTGCCGGCGAACTGAGTGCGACGTTGGATTGACCTTGGCCGATCTTCTCCACCATTGAACGCGACTCTCCTGCTCGCAACCTGGTTATCGCACTTCACTTACCAACCACTGTCCCGACCTTCGTCTGACTGGCTGTCGATATCTTCCGCCATGTTCTCGATATGTCCTTACCTATTAACACGACCGCACTTAGATTTCAATCCTTCTGCGATAACAATGACCCTCCCGCGCGGCCAAACACAAGCATGGACACGCGCACTGGCCGCATTCCGGACCACGACAACACCCCGATCATGACCCCAGCCAATGACCCGCGGCCCTCGAGTAGTGACGGGAAATTGCAATGTTGCTGTGGACGGCTAGATTGCGCCTACCTCGAGAACAACAGCACTATACTTGGTGGCATAGAAAGGGATCTTGAGACGGCCGCCAGACTTGGTCAGGTACGTGCACCATCACATGAGTCGGCGTGTCGGAAGATGTTGTGTTTTGCTGTTTGCCTGTGATTGCTCTTGGGCGCGATACAATGCCGCGACGATGCAGTGACTTCTGGGAAGGAACATTCAAGAGTCACGAAATACAGTCTGCATTCTTCTTGCCTCCCGCTCATGAGCTACCCCCACTGGCGCCCTGAATCAACACGACAAGATGGAGACTACCTTGCCCTTAGCACATCGTCATAGCACAGTGGACACTATGCAGACAAGTAGCGGGCTAACGTTCGCTCTCCAGGCCCTCCTGACTCGCCATGAATCCTATGTCAGTGAATCGCAACAAGAACACCAACGTTTCACAGCCTATATCAACGACCTCGAAAGAGAGAGAACACATCTGCAAACGGCAAATGAGAAGATAGTGGAGGAAAATCGACAACTCTTGAATCAGCTTGAAGTCGCCAATACTTCGCTCCAGGACAGCGATAGCCATGTCAGGAGCCTGGAGGCATTGCTCCGCGACTGCGAGGTGGAATGCAGACGGCTGAACGGTCTCAATCGACGGACAGAAGAGCTGGAACTCCAGATACTGGAATTGGAGAAGGAACGAATAACACTATCCCGGCAGTCAGACGATGCGAAGGAGGAATCCAAAAGCACAATCAGGCGGTGGAAGGAAAGCGAGACGAGAGTCCGGCAGCTCGAAAGTGAACTCCAAAGAATCGAATGGGACGCCAAAAAGGACAAAGAACGATATGAGGAGATCATCGCCAGACTGCAGAGAGAGCGCGTGCTTGAGAGAGAACTAGGCGGTGCCGAGGGCCGACTCAAAGGTGCCGCTGCGCTACGAGGTCTCAACGCAAAAGAGAGCGGCACCAATGTTGTCAGCCATTTTGTACGCGACATCCTTCAAGACAATGCGAACTTACAAGCTGGAATTGTCGAGCTGCGCGAACTGCTTCAAGCTTCAAACGAAGAGGTACAGAACCTCAGGGAGCAGATTCTGCAGCATCAACCTGTGGAAAGTGGCGACATCCAGGACCTTTCCAGGTCAGTTCCTTTGAGTGAACAGATTGATTGGGCAGAACCGTCTCCAAAGGTGCAGCAGTCAGTTCATGTCCATCATCACTACCATGCGAAACTCGGCAAGAGAGAGCGGGCACCGACTATACGAAGAAGCTCTCGAAAACGCGCGGTCATCGGACCCAGCATGCTTCCGTCTACCCCGGAGTCGTCTGCGCCTTCAACACCACTCGTCGGACCCCATCGTTTCGTCTCAAGCCCGATTCTACCCACAAGCCTTCACCAGCCGCAGCCATTGCGAAATCGATGGTCGGTGCAGTCGACCGCAACAGCATCATCCATGGCGTCCAGTTTTCCTAGCTCTCCGAGGTCGTACTATGAGCAACCAAACTCTATCTTCGACCGGCTCGAAGCAGGCGAGGAGTCGTCTAGACCCACAAGCCCAGAGTCTGCGGGCTTCGCGACCTCACCGCTGAAGTTTGATGACACACCTGGCTTCGGCAAGTTGGATTATTCGACAGCGGAGGAAGCCCGGGTTGCGCCCGACCACGAAGCTGTCGAGCATGACATCTCACAGCCTGAGGCCAAGTCCGAGGCCGACACACGGAGCCGAGAAACAGGCCAGGAGCCAGGCTCTCAGGAACTGACCCCGAAACCTTCACAGATACTCGTTGCGCACGATAAGATAGAGAGTCACATCCATCCTGAACCGCCAGACCCTGGCACCTCGGACGAGCAACCACCAACTACGACAGACCCAGAGCCCCCGAATATTATTGTCGAGCAAGATCCTAAGGAACAAGCGGACGCTCTCGAGCAAGCATTCGCGGATGATCTACCTGCTTCCTTGGCCTCATACGACGGGCCCGGGCGCATCACCGGACCAAGTCTCCGACGCACAGCTTCTAATGACTCTCTTGTCTCTATCTCCGGCATGGACATACACATCGCCAAACGACCGAGCTCTTCAACGTCACAATCGTCCAGCCTTCTCAAAGGCAACAAAGCCTATTTTGCCCTCCCGCCTTCTGCGGCTCGCAGATTGCCGTCAGCTCAACCACTTGCCACTGTGACAGAATATACAGCTTCGAGCTCGGTGAGATCTTTCAGCTCAAACTCCTTGACTGTGCCTTCGGCCGAACTTTCACTGCCACCGCGGAGTGTAAGCTCGAGTGTTGCCGCTTTGAGCGGCCTTGCTGGTCTTCCACCTTCACAGCACGAAAATCAACGGTCGTCGACGTCAAGCGGGTTTACTGGACTCGTTGGTGGTTGGGTCCGAGGCAAGTGGGGCATCGCGCCTGTAAAGTCGAGTGCAGACTTGCGCTCCTCTGCGGCTTCAATATCGACATCTTCCTCCACTGAGTCACAACCACGAGGCCCGTCGTCGTTATCGCTTCCGAGTGGAAGACTACCAGGCATCAACCAGAAGGGGCCCATACCTGGACTGAGAGCACCCCAGAAGATTAAGGCGGTGCAGGTAACATTGGTGAACGAAGCGGGGCTCAAGGAGAGCTTAGCAGAGTAATCCAGGGGAACTCTCCGCCCTTCCAGGAACTGGTAGCAGTTCTTTGATCATAAAGCTTGACGACAGCATAGGTGTACATACTGGTGGTTGACGGGATTGTTTTGGGTGCATTAGCACGAGATGATACCCCTTGAGTTGGCTGAACGCGCATAGGTACATAGCAGCGGAGATCACGGCATCGAATTGAATAGTTGAAGGCCATATACGCTGGCACGTGGCTGGGTACGAGGTTGCCTCGTACGCCTCTTTACAACCCATGCCTCCCTGCCCTGCAATCTTAGCGTGGATGAAAGGAAAGGGTCAACCGCCTGTATCACGATCCAGTCGTCGCAGTGTGCTGTGGAAACCATGCTTGATCGAACGACTACAGACGCGTCTCGTAGCACAATATCTCGATCAGAGCTCTCTGGGACGAGGCGTCTTCCCATACCGCATCAGCTTGCCGTACCGGGGCAACAGCATATGAGTCGAGAACGAACCCTTCAGGGTCTTGCGACTGCCGGACGTTATCCTGCCGACATCTACAATCATTCCTACAGATATTGACAGCTTTGAATCCCCAGCGTCGCCCCTCCATTACAGGTTGGCCTGCAGGACGTCCTGTTCGCTGTGGATCTGACTCTTGCTTAACATCTTGCCCCTCCTCATCAACTCCGCAGTCTTGGTCATGATGGGATCCATCATCATACTGGCCATTGCAACCACTGTATCGCCTTTGCAGTAGAATGCGGCGAATTTGTTGTTGTCGGGTTCACCCTTGAGCAGCAGCTCATCCCATCCATTCGGCGTGGCGCCACAATATCTCAACTGTGATCCCAGTGCAGACCAGAAGATAGGGGTGAAGGGCTTAGGTTTACTGCCCGGCTGCGCGATCAGTTGGCCGACAGTGCGACCCATGTTCTGCGCGACATTCCAATGCTCGATGCGTATCGGGGTGCCATTTCCTCCGGGACCGTGGTAGGGATAGGTTGCGATATCGCCAAGTGCCCAGACGTCCTGCAACCCCTTGACGGCAAAGTTTTCGTCCACGGCTATGCTGCCGTCCTTCTTGAGGTTCACTTTGTGATTCCCCTTCAAGTACGATGTCTCTGGGCCGACGCCGATACCCAAGATAACCAGGTCAGCCTCGAGTGTGGGGCCGTCCTTCAGCTTTACAGCCCCTACGGAACTCAAGCCGACAGCGTTCGCGACTTTCGATGCCGGCAGAGCAGCTTCGACGCCAGAATTCATGTAGAACTTGGCTCCGTTCTTCTCCAACATCCGCTGGAAAATCTTTCCCACTTCCGTGCCCATTACTCGTTCAAGCGGAGCGGATTCCATACCCACAATGCTCACGTCGTTCTCCTTGGCAAGGGCATTCCCAACTTCCATACCAATAAAGGATGAGCCAATGATGACGATCTTCTTACCCTTGTCTCCCACCGCATTCATGATATTCTGTACGTCACTGACTTTCCGGAGCAGGAATATATTGCCCAGTTCATTGTTCTTGAATCCAGGGAGGGGTAGTTGACGCGGTGTGCCGCCCGTGGCTAAAATGAGCTTTGTGTATGGGTACGACTTGTCCAACTTTGTACTGACTGTCTTGCCGTCGAAATCCACCGAGGTCACCGTGTCCGAGACGAAGTCTATTGAGCCTTCCTTGTACCACTCCTCGGGCTGCAGGTAAAGCTTTGTTGGGTCAGTGATGAGGGCCTTGGAGAGCTTCGTGCGGTCGATGGGTAGGCCTTCGTGGGTGATGACCGTGATGTGACCTTGGTAGCCGAGTTCTCGGAGTTTGAGGAGGGCTCCAAATGTGCCGGAGCCGCTGGGAGCTGCGTCAGCCGGTTGCTCATATCTCAGATCAAATGATAGTGTGGCTCACCCTCCGACAATAATCAGCTTGTCCTGGGAAGAGGGTGTGGTTTTGATGTTGACCGTTTTCTTTCCGCCCTTGATGTCTGCCTCTTTGCCCTTGATGTAGACACCGCCCTCCTTCTCAACCACGTCGAATTTGTTCAGCGCTAGAGGTGCAGGGGCGTCTTCGACATCGCCGCTCTTGACATTGAAACAAGCTGTGTCGCTTATCAGCGCTTCGTGTCTTCTTGACCTCGTTTCGGTGCTTACCTCCGTGCCATGGACAGGTCAGTCTACCCTCTGGCGTGAGGACGCCGTTCTTCAAAGGTGCGCCAAAGTGCGTGCAATTGGCATTGAGTGCGTGCACCTGGCCATTGACATTGCACAGGAGGACCTTCCCGCCTTCTATCCCCTCGACTTCGTATTCGGCCTTGTCCAGGTCTTTCAGATCGAGCTTGTCGACACCCTTCAGCTTGAACTCTTGAGCCATCTTGATGGTCTGTGCGGAGAAGGCTCTGGCGCCGTGGTTACTAAACAGAGTTGATACGTCGAGACGGACTACAGTGCTTGGAGGAATAAATCGGCTCGAAAAACGTGGTTTACACGAAGTAGAAGTGAAAGATCCGGCCAAGAAGCGGGTGGAGGACCGCGTAAACATGAAATCTGACGGCGACAAGAGAGAGCCGTTTCAGCCAGGAGACCAAACTGGTTGCAGCCGAAAACCACCACAGCCACGGTGATAAGACAAGCACTGAGAAGACGAGTAGGAGTTCGATGTATGATGCGTGCAAGGGCAGAGGTGAGCACTGGTGGCACTGGTCCTCCTTCGCACTCCCCCTCTGCGGAGAGACTCCATTGGGATGAGAAGTGTCTTGCGTCATCGTTTGTCGTTGCATGCCCAGGGCGGGTACTGCCGCTCAAAATCCTCCAATCAGCCGACGGTGATTGTTAACACGCCATGCTTGCCTTCTTGATACGAGGTACGAGTACAAAAATAGCCTGATCAGATCCATATTGGGGTTGTCGGTGGGTGTTCATTACGAGTCCCCAGTACGGAGTACTCGTACGAGTATCATGGGAAGTACTCGTCCCTAATATGCAAGTCTATGCCTCGGCGGCGCCGGCCCGGATAATCTTGACGCAACACTTCCTTCGCGACTTATCGACCGCCCAACGCTCCGCTCATCACCACATCACTCAGGCCCGGGGATTTCGATCGGCTTCGCTCCTGTGCACGTTCGAATTTTGCCCGCTCTTCCTGCACGACGTTCTCTTCGGCTTCCGCATCTAGCAGAGTGCCATGGATTTGCAAAGACCACTTATTTCTGTCATGTGCTGGAACGGCTTCAGTATCCACGACCCGGAATTTCAGCGTCGACTTGATCTTGGCCCCGTCCGCGTCTGCAAAGTATCCGCCGTCTTCACCGAGGGGTATCTGAGAGGTTGACTCTTCCACAAACGTTGCCTCTGTTTCCTGCGTATCCTGCTCCTGTGGACCGTCTCCACCATCTTCGTCACGTAATCGGCCCTTTCTGCCTTTCTTGCGGCCTTGTGCCTCTTCTCTAGTCGGGCCGTTCCACTTCCAACCCTCCGGTATTCGTGTCTTTCCCACAGCTGTCTGAAAGTAGTTGTAACTCACCAGCCCCACGAATCCTTCTGAGGTAACATTGGTCCAACCGTAGAGCTCGTCCCCTTTCTGGGGTCGGAAAACCAAGAATGTCACCGTGAGCCATGCCCAACAGACGCCAAACTCGTCCGCTGTTCCTGCGAGGATTTCGGTGAGCGCCTCAACGTCACCGCTTCGTGGTGGTAGGAGAGGTAGATTGAGGCCCGAGTTAGGTTTTGCGGAGAGGACGGGGGCGGAGAAGCCAAGGACGATGCCTTGCGCAGGCGGGAAATATGTGAGTATTAAAGGTGCCAGGTGTGTTGCGAGTAGCGAGGAGGTGCTGGACTCGAGGGAAACTGCAGGTATGGGGAGGTAGAGCGATGATCGTGTCGAGTAGAATGAGCTGGGGTCTCCGGATTCAAGCAGCCTCAGGACATCTTCCTCATTCAAGCTTTCTTCTGCGCCATCTGCAACGCTTTTCAGTGACTGCGCATCTGCTGGTTGATCTGGTTCTTCCTCCCGCGCAGGCGCATCGGGTAGTTCGATGTCCCGTGAAGATTGCGTTTGTGCACCAGGCGTTGCTATTTCGCCGCTGTCTTTTGGCTTCTTATTCTTCTTGTTCTTCTTCTTCTCTATGCTCTCTTGTGACTGGTGGGATCCGGTGGCTGAAGGCTTCACCCCGTCTTCTGTCCTGGACCTCTTTTTCTTCTTCGAGGATCCTCTATCATCGGCGTCGTGCTTGCGCTTCTTTGTCGTGCTCAAGGTGTCGGCACTCTTGTCTGTTTTTGGGGCCGCATGATGCCTGTTTTTCTCCTGCACTGACATGGTTGGACTTTCCACGGCCTGAAGCTCCCACTGAATGTGATCGGAACGATCGCTCACTCGCGCATTCTCGTCGAAATTTCTTGACGGAATGCGGAGCACGGGATTTATTTCCGCCGATAGCCGGCTTGGCAGCGCGTGCCTGACTCCCGGCGTCATCTCGAGCACCTCCCCCACCATTTCACCCAAGTTGAGTCCAGCCTGCACGCCCTGCACCTGCTATCACGCATGGAGTGATTACTATGCTTTTGGATTGGAGGGAGAGCTGTACGCCATAATAAATGATTGGCCCGTTAATTCGAGAACCTAAGCCGCTATGGTGCAAACAGTGACAGTGCAGGCTTCAACCTCTCCTAAGCATTGTTCACCAGCTGCTGAAAATGGACGCCGGGAATATGTCTGATGAAGACTCGTCCGGTGCCACACCTGAGTTCGATAAGTTGTGTAACATTTGTGCAGGTCTATTTGATGAGGACACTATCTGGCCAGAGGCTCAATATCGGCCTCATCATGAAAGCAGGCTGTCACTTGTTCAGCTTGATGCTTAGTCGGATACCTCCCAAAGATATCCTCCATTTGGAAGAAGAACTTGAAGACTCATCTCCGACATGTTCTCCTTAGATTGAAGTCAACATTCGTGGCGTCGAGGCTCTCCCGCTTTGGGTGGCTGCTCGCAATCCTCGAATCCGTCGAAAATGGTGGGATACATGTAAGATGGCTGGGTGGGAATTACAAGATTTCGGATCCGGACACTGAGACATGACTATAGCTGTCCCAGTTCCAGCAGGGTATTCCTCTAAGCGATCTTCCCAGAACTTTCCGAGACGAAATTTTTGTGACCACACAGCTCGACCTTCATTTTCTGTGGATTGATGCCCTGTGGTGAGTCCCCCATATTCGAAGGATTCTCCAGCTTCACAAATTGAATAGTTTTTGATGCTTTACCTTTCTGTCTACTCATGGTGCCAAAATATGCTTTAGCATTATTCAAGCTTGGGTCGACGATGCAGACTGGATACAGGAGGCTTCCACGATCGGAGATGTCTACGTCAACTCCCATATTACTATCGCAGCAACCACGTCTCGCAACTCGGAAGGCGGCCTGCTCCACGGAAGAAATCCACTCTCGGTATGGCCCTGTAGACTCACGGCGACATGGAAGTGTTTTCAAGCTGGTGAATTGATCATCTCTACCCCTGAGTGGGCTGATGAGACAGATCTCAAACCGCTTGCAAGTCGATCCTGGGCATTTCAAGAATGGCTGTTCTCGAAGCGACTCTTACGTTTTGGCAAAGACCAAGTGCGTTGGCAGTGCTTCTGCTTAGCTGCGTCTGAAGTCTACCACGGCGGTGGTAGCGGCGATGATGGCGGTCTCGATGCATATGGAATCCCGACGAAAGGCATCATTGTACGTTTGGCAAAAGATCCTCGGAGAGCGGCTGATCTGTGGTTCCAAATCCGAGAAGATTATTTGCAAAAGGCACTTACCAATGCGACTGACAAACTTCCAGCTCTGACCGGTATCGCGCGCATGGTATACAGGATTCTCAATCCCCCGAAGACGACTACCTCGCCGGGATCTGGAAACCACATTTGCTTCAAAGAGTCGCTATGGCGGAGCGCGCATCACACCCCCGCGTCAGCTGGGACAGATACTTTGTACATTGCACCGTCGTGGTCATGGGTCTGTCTCGTCGTTGAGTAGTTGCTGAATTGAAGCGATGCGCCAACAAGCAGGAAATCTGCAGGGCGAGTCACCCCGCTCCGGGACTAGGGTGACGCCGCCCTGTGCTCACACCGGCTCAACTTCGGCTCATCCCGACCGGGGTTTGAACTGAGGTCGTCGCGCCCGTGACTCAGGCTCGTCAGGGCGTTTGAGGAATACCAATGATAATATGCTCCAGGCTCGTCGGCAGCACGTGAAATCTGGAAAGATTGGGACAATAACAAGAGACAACTGGTCTTTGCCACCTGCGAGCGCTCGGCAGAAGTCAACGTGTAATGGTATGGTGCAGACAGCTACATCCTAGGTAAGTGACCAATGCGAAATACTCAGACAGTGATGGTGATGACTTTCGCCGAAATTGGTGATCTGGACCGATTTCGCCGAAATCGTCGAGCATTGTCCAATGGGCAAATACGGAGCATACCGGGGGTCATCAAATATGTTGAACTGGGTGACCAATCTGGGTTTGCCCTACCCTTAACTTCAGGCTTGTTCTGGTCGACAGTTACCAAGGTCTGGACGCCCTGCACCTCTTTGCTTTGGCTTGAGGAAGCCAACTGCGTTCGCCCGATGGATGCGAAGTTGTTACGAGAGTCCGAGCCCTTGTCAGATGGGAATGAATGACGGACTGTGCGATCTCTTATAGATTCTCAAGACCGGGCAATCCTGCAAAGCATTCCAATATACCTAGTACCTAGTACCTAGTATCTATCTCAACAGAGCCATCGATCCTTTCAGCCGCAGATAAATCTAACACGAATGACGCTCGGTTGGAATTCTGTTGGTCAACTCCAACCACAACAATCAAGACTTATTGACGATTCCTTGCGGGGTGATCAGTGCAGTAAAAGGCGATGCCCGGGGTGCCAGGGTCTCACACATGCCTAATGAAGAGAATGATGCCCACCAGGCCTGAAATTGCGGGGGCCAGTCAGAGAACCGCGTCCCCAAATCTGTAGCTTGTAGATCCACGAATAGAGTCGGGACTATGCACGAGGCACCTCGGCAGCCTAATGCGCCTCTAGCAGTGCCTGCCAAGCTCTGTTCCCCAGGCGCTCCAGAGGCCAGAGGCCATGGGACCCCAGCTCGCCCAGATACAGTATTAATAAGGCAGTCGACACCGTAGACCTTGATTTGGCTACCTTTGCTCTTGCCTTCGATGACGGTTGCGGCTTCGGCTTCGGCTTGATCGCGTCGCACAGTTCAGAGAACTCAGTCAACCTCGCAAACCAAACGTCAATCGACTTGAAGTCCTCATTTCCGCAATGATGGAGCAGACCTCAAGTCGTACGTACCGTCGACAGAAGCGTAAGATGGCCTGCAGGTATTGCAATACTCGCCACATTCGATGCAAGACCCCAGAGGACGCCGACCCGAATGACAAGCCCGCTGGCCGAACCCGCCAGCGTCGGTGTCAAGCTTGCTTAGATGCCAACGAGGAGTGCGAGCTCGAAAAGCCCACAAATGCAAAGTAGGGACATTTCTTGCCCAGCCCCCATCATCAGAAAATGCAATGCGCAAGTGCTAAGACTCGGGTATTTCAGTGGTTCTTCCAGATCGCTCAAAGCCCGTCAGGCGGAGACGCGCAAAACAAACCCACGACAGTCTTCCGCGATTCCGGAACTGTCGCCCACACGACCAACAGATCAGCAAACGGACTCCAGTCCGCAGAACGATGCTTCCAGGCTGCCAAGAGTGGACTCGGCTCACGCGCCCTCCGCCAGCAGGAACCTGGCCCACGAAGGCTCAGAGATGCTTCTGGTCCGGCTGACGGACATACGAGACAACGATCAAGTTGAACCCCGTACCAAAGTGACCAACAAGGTCGTTTATTTCGGGGACGAGTCCATTTGGTTTTATAGCCTTCGAGAGGCTCGGAACAGCAAGTCCAGATGTTCTGTAAGTCCACAGTCTTTTAGCGCACAATCGGTGGACAGGAACATCCACTATAAGGTGCCTCAGACACTAGATGATCAGCCTCGAGATGTGCCGGAGGACGATGCTGGCCTAAAGCAAGAAGAAATCCATTTACTCCAGCATAAAGGGGCATTTTCTCTGCCGCCTCTGGGCATCCAGAGGGGACTTCTTGACGCATACTTTTCATGGCTTCATCCTCTACAGCCGATCATCGACAAACAACAATTCCTTTGTGTCTTCAACTCAGGTCAGGCACCCATAATTCTCCTCCAAGCACTGTTATTTGCCGGCACAACCTGCTGTGACGAGAGTGTCATCTTGAAATATTGGCCAAGTCGCCGATCTGCTCAAGCTGCTCTATACAAGCGGACCAAGGCTCTTTACGACGCCGACCAGGAACAGAATCGTGTCACCATTGTTCAAGTTCTGTTCTTGATGTGTTTCTGGTGGGGCAGTCCTACGGACAACAAAGACTTTAGTCACTGGCTGGCGGCATCCATACATCTGGCGCAAGTGATGGGCATGCATCGATCGTATGAGCACATCCACAGTTTGACGATGAATTCAAAACTAAATCCTGAACAGAACAAAACACTCTCAGCTGTCCATCAAAGATCGAAAACTCTGGAAACGGATCTGGTGGACCTTATATGTAGGCACAAGCCAAGCACCGCCACTGCGTTCATGACACCTCAGTCGTTGACGTACACAGGTCCGGGATCATTTCGACGCTGCATCAGTCGGCCGTCCAATGATGATCGACGACGACGATTGCGATGTTGAACCGTTGCGCGAGACTGATTTCGAACACGGAGAAGACGAGAAGCCGCCACTCGGAGCGGGTCACTGCATTGAAATGACGAAATTGGCCGCTCTGAGTATGCGTTCAACTCTCTTGCCAAAAGCGAATTGGGCTGATCTCAATAGTTGGTCGAGCAGTTCGAGCCGTCCGCGACGGGCAAAAGAATAAAGACCTGGCCGACTCTTGGAAAACGATCGACAACGACCTTTCCGGGTGGGAAAAGCAGCTACCGGAGCAGTTCCGGTACCACGAGGGAGAGCGCAGTCCACAATTGAAGTTGTTTGCATCCATGCTCACGTTGGGCCTGCAGTATGTGGGATCCGCTGCATCATACCTCTATGAAACCCCTAACCCTCTCACTAACGAATGTGCCAGTTTTTGCAGGATTATACTGCACCGAAAAATCTTCTTGGACTCGAAACCTAAAGCCGATTCCATCTCCATGGCCCCAGCATCTGCGAACGCTGTGACACGAGTCGTCGAGGAGCTAGTCACCGAAGGTCTCCTACCGCGTACACAAGTACATTTGTATGTTGAAAGACGCTGTGTGCAGTGCTTCTGTGCATCTCTTTGCACCCGCTGACATTTGATCGTTCTAGGATAGCAGTTATTTTCGCCTCTTTTACAATCCACGTTATTTCTATGGAACAGAGTCTAGGGGCACGAAGGCGAGTGTTGCAACACAGAGCCGAGCTCTGTCTCTTAGGACTGGGCGAATTTCGTGACTATTGGCCTTTTGTGGATTGGATGTACCGTCTGTTCAGTAATTTGTTGCCCAGGCTGGGGCTTGAAGACGGTTCATCTGAGGCATCCGACAACAGGGAGCTGTGGAACAACCAGCCTCGCCCGGAAAATATGATTCTGCAGGATGACCTGATGGACAGCACCCCCGAGGTTCCTCACGATAATCAGCCGACGATATCTCTACCCATGTTCGACCAGAATGCAAACTCGACGGCCGATGTCCAGCCAGAATTTGGCGCTCGGCAGCAGTTCATGTCCGGCATGTTTACATCGGAGAACTTTTTGGATCCTTTTATGCCTCTTGACAATCTCGAATGGTATGATTCGAACACGGCGAGTTTAGCCTACCTGGGCGGAAGCGGAAATACCATGCAATGGACTGGCGATCCACCATCAGCGGCGGAAAAAACATCGCTCTCCTGAGTAGATCATTATGTCTTGGCTAATCCATTGAAGAGACTTCGTTCCCACGCCCCAGGCTTACTTGTGCTCTACCCTTAGGACCAACCTAGATCAGGTGAAAGCGATACAGCATCCCACTGTAACCCCTGAACAGAGCCTTACCAGTAGAGCCAGAGTTCTAGGTCAAAGGTACGTTTTGTGGCACATTCAAATAGGTATATAGTGTAATAGGGCTGATGAAGCTGTGGGTTGGCAAGGCTGCCGTTTCCCTGTACGGAGTACATGTGTACGGAAACAATCTAGCGTTCTGATCGGTGGAGCTTTAGCGCAAGGCTGCCGCTCCTTTCCTTTTGTTTTGCCTGTAGCTTTCGACAGTTCATAGAGAGGACAGACAATACACACAACTCAGCGGCAGACATCCTTTGAGATGTAGTGTATTTGAGTGTGAGAGAGGCAGTGCCTGCCGCCGCAGAGAGGTATATCTGTTGGCCATGAAGCCTCATCCCAGTTCCAATAGCTATAAATTCAAGATGTTCACTTCATCAGTGAATATCGCGAAGCCGAGAACATGGCTACGGAAACATCTGATACCACGTGTTGCCCACGAGGCGACATTCCATCCTGATTGACTGGGCCTCTTTGCGCGCGCGCATGTTCCGTTCTCATCGTGTCACGGTTTCTCAGCAGAGAAGTTATCCCTTTCATTTTTCCACATACCAAGCCAGGTCATTCGCCTTCTGCAACTCATACTGCAGGAATCCGTTGCCCAGAAATCGAAATCGGTTCTTGGTTCTCGGCTCAATGTCGAAATCTTCCGGGCGCAGATCTTGAATGAGCCGCTTGAAAAGCAAGGCACTTCCCGCAAACGTCGCCGTCACTCGCCCGTCGATCGTGTTGTTCTTGTACCAGCTCCGACACGCCCCGGTCCAGGTCAGTATCTGGTGGATCTGGTCGGAGTAGACGATGAAATCATCCACGACGCTCTGCTTGGGGACGACCGCATTGATGTCTTCCGACGCAATCTTCCTCATCCATTTGATCATGTACTCGGCACTCCACCCCAGACTTTCCATCAAGGAGCCGTGGCCGATCAGTGCGTTCGGACCGGTGAACATGAAGTAGTTGGGCATGTCGGGCGAGGCGAGCGATAAGTATGATGAGGGTTCCTTGGCCCATTTGTCTGCAAGACTCACTTTGCCACGGCCAACAACAGGGTATTGAGGACGATACGAGACATCGAATCCGGTGGCGCAAACCACTTTTTGGGAGTGGCTTTGATTAGCTTGCTGATGACTCGGGGGGGTTGCGCGTGGAGTCAAGCGATCCTGCCGGACATTGAAAAGGAAACTTACCGACATCGACCTTGTAAACCTGACCATCAGTTGTGTGAACGCTGTCGGCATCAATCTTGGTGATGGGACTTTGAGTGACTCCAACATTCTCACGCAAGAAAGCTTCAAGGTATCCCTCTCCGGGAGTAATTCTTCGACACCCTAGCTCCCATTTTGGAATGAGCTTTTCGCACAGTTCGGGATTGTTCTCCAACTTGGCCGCCATTTCTTGTCGGGCAAGATCATAAATCTGCTTGTTGAGTTCCGAATTCTTGACGAACTGTGGTTTGTTTATTAGTCCGTCGTTAAGTACCGAGTACCCGGGCTGTGGTTGATGACTATACGTACCATCTTAAAACCGTCGTTGATACTGTGAATGATCTTCTTCCGGTATTGATGATGCTTCTGAGGGTCTTGGAGGAAAGCTCGTTTTTCCTCCTCCGTGTACTCCGGATTATACGCCGGGTCGTCTTTGCCCAGGAGCGATGCAGGGCTCATGGTGCTGACCACCCAGGTTGGGCCCCGTTGAAAACTCGTCACTTTCGTCCCTGGTAGCTTAGCCAACTGAGGCAGAATTTGAATCCCAGAGGAACCATTACCGATCACGGCGATGCGCTTGTTGCTGTAGTCGTAATCGTGGTCCCAGCTGGCCGAATGGACCTTTTTGCCCCGAAAGTCTTGCAATCCAGGAATCAACGGCCAATTCCAGGTGCTGGGGGAAACTGATCAGCCTTGCCCTTTCCACTTTCCACGCGACGGCGAACCCATTTTGGATGGATCAAGGGTGCCGGTAGCTTACTTTAAAAACCCCTGGGCTGAGATCAGGATGTCGGCATAGTCTTCGATGACCGTGTTGTTATGCTCGACCATGACCCGCCACTGGCCGCGATCTTCTTGCCAGTACGCACCGGTGACACGATGGTTGTATTTGATATCACGCTCCAGATTCCATTTCTGAGCCGTTTTCTTCATATACGCCCAAATTTCTGGGCCAGTCGAGAAGAAGCGACTCCAGCCAGGATTAGGGTCGAACGGAAATGCCTTTTGCTTGTTAGCCGTTTGCCATATGCACCCTTTTCAGCTCCTTTGGTGGTTCGAGAACCGTACATACATAGATGTGTGAAGGGACATCGCAGACCACTCCTGGGTAGGTATTCACCAGCCAAGTTCCTCCTAGTTCGGACCTCGCTTCATAGATGGTGTGATCAATCACATCGCTCAAGTCGCTGTGTTGATGCTGCAACTTGTGGGCCAGAGTGAGCCCCGAATACCCAGCACCAATTGTCACCACCCGAAGCTTTCGGGATGTGTATGCTGGTACATCGTTCAAACCGGTGCTCACTTCTTCTAAATGCTGGGCATCGCCAGCATGTGCACTAGGGTCAGGAGTTGTGTCGGTTGAGATATCGACGGCATTGGCAACACCATTGGTCGCGCCATTGGTCAAGCCATCGACGATGCGTTTGGCGGCATATGTTCGGTGAGTGTTTACCTCACTAGAGCCCGCCATGGCGATATATCTGACGGGCGTTTTTGAACAACAGTGGGATTGTATCACGACAAAGATACAGATAGCACGTTGGCAACGATTGAGAAAGTGGCATCGGCTTTAGAGATAAACCCTCCCCCAAACTCGTCCCATGTTTGACATTCACACACAGCCTTGCCAACGGCTGAGCCAAAGAATGCGATGCGGACATCAGCCCGTCAGTCCTGCCTCGGAGTCGAGTCTCGAACTCGCCAAACGGTAAAATCGTGTGTTTTGCTCGAGAGTGGCGTGTTTCAACTCGGTCCAGCTCGCAACATGATTTCGGCGAAATCGGCCAACCACTGCAGTTACTCAACGCTTGTTTGCCCTAGTAGGAGAGAGTGGTAGGGTAGAAGCCATCTTGAAGTTGGTTTCGAGCTGAGGCTCTTCATCGCCGAAAATCGATCGTCCAGACTTTGGTCTGGACAGGTCCCTAGCACATTCTACGCTCCGGGGAGTGCGGCGAGAGCTCATGACGCCAGGGGTGTCAATTAGAGATAACGGTCTTGGGACAATTCTGTTGGAAGTGGTCAACTATTGTCAACTCGTTCTGCAATTCCCAGGACCATATAGAGGCTGCATTGGTTCCGTTAAGGTTAGATCTCAAGCATTTGAAAAGCTCACCACCGGCGGCGCATAGTCCCAACCGGCCATGGGTTCCATCAGCGAAAATCTCGAATACGATGCCGTCCTCATCGGCGCCGGTTTCGGGGGCTATACTATGCTTCCCAAGCTGCGTAATCTGGGGCTTCGCGCAAAGATTTTCGAGCGAGGTTCGGGATCTGGAGGTGTCTGGTCAGTCCCTTCTGCCGAGGAGATGAGAAAACGATGGTCCCCTTGACTGACACGTAACGTATTGCAGGCATTGGAATCAGTGTAAGTGGACAGATCCTAGTAGTGGATCAGACCCAACAGCGAGCTGATCATGGGTCTAGACCCTGGTGCTCGCGTTGATAGCGACTCGCCGGCTTATCAGTTCTTCGACAAGGAGATTTGGGAGGATTTCGCCTTCTCCGAACGCTTTCCTGGATTCCGCGAGCTGCAGAAATACTTCCAACACGTCGAGAACAAGTGGGACCTACGAAAGGACATCGAGTATCACAAAAATGTCATCTATGCGTTCTGGGACTCAGACAGTCGACGATGGAGGGTGCGTTGTTCGGACGGAACCGAAACAAAATGTCAATGGTTGTTCGCAAACGTGGGCTTTGCGGCCAAAGAGTCAGTCACCGGCTCTCTCTGAATCTCCTCTTCCTCTTCACTCTGCAGCACGACTAAGGAAGAGACAGGTATATGCCGGATCTCAAAGGCTCTGCCGATTTTCAAGGCGAGATGTATCACACGGCACATTGGCCGCACCATGAAGTCAGTCTTCGAGACAGAAGAATTGCCGTCATTGGAACAGGAGCGAGTGGCATTCAGGTGATTCAAGAGGCGGGAAAGGTCTGCAAGCATCTCACAGTGTGTCAACGCACGCCCAATTTCTGGTAAGGTGCTGTCTCTATCTCGTCGGATGCAGTCTGACACATGGCACTGATTAGCCTCCCCATGCAACAGCGTGGCCTAGATGCCAGAGAAGAGCAGAAAAAGAAAGATGACGGGACTTACGAAGCCGCTTTCAAAGCGTGCGAGAAGACCGATGCCGGTGTTCCATACCAAAACAACGGACGCAAGACCTTCGACGACACGAGTGAACAGCGTGAAGCCTTCTGGAACTCTCTCATCCAAGACGGCGGCTTCAAATTCTGGGTCGCCGGCTATGCGGACATGAATGTCGACCAGAAAGCCAACGACGCCGCCTACGACTTTTGGCGGCGCATGGTACTGAAACGCATCAAAGATCCGGAGAAGGCCCGGCTATTGGCACCGGAGGTCCCACCGCATCCGTTCGGTGCGAAGCGTCCATCCCTGGAGCAGGACTATTTCGAGGTCGTCAGCCAGGAGAACGTGGACATCCTCGATTTGAACGAGTTCCCCATCGAAGAGATCAACGCCACGGGCATTCGTACCGCGGCAGGGCAGGTCGATGTCGACCTGATCGTTCTGGCAACGGGGTTTGATGGTTTGACGGGCGGTTTCATGGATATCGACCTTCGGGGCGTGGACGGACAGACCCTCAAGCAGCACTGGAGCGACGGAGTCAAGACTTCGGTGGGCGTGGCCGTGCCCGGGTTTCCGAACATGTTCTTTCTCTTCGGACCGCAAGCACCGTCGACATTTTCGTATGGAGGTCCCTGTTGTTGCTCCTAGGTACTTCCATCGTCAGCTAACATTTGATCTCCAGCAATGGTCCATCTTGTATCCAATTCCAAGGCCGATGGTTCGAAAAGCTGATCAAACGAGCGCTGGCCGAGGGCATGGAAACCATCGAGGCGACAGAAGAATCGGCCAATGACTGGGTTCGAAAGATTCGCGAGAGGTGGGAGGCAACGCTTCTCCCCCAGGGCAAGATAAGTCTACTCTTTCCTGGTGATATCTCCGTTCCGTTGCTGACGTCTCTCCACAGCTGGTGGACCGGTGCCAATATCCCGGGCAAGAAAGTGCAACCTCTCAGTTGGGTAGGGGGTCTGCCCTCATACATGCAAATGCTGGATGAGACGTTGGACAACAATTACCAGGGCTGGATCGTAGGACGCGAGGAGGCATCTAAGCATGGCAGTGTGTTGGAGAGATAAAGCATGCTTTATTTTCTGGCCGGTGCGTTCTTTGGTCCCCTTTGAAGCTCCAGTCTCAGGTGAAGCGATGTGCTCAATGGAATGGAGCTCACATTGAAGACATCACACGAGTCCGACCAGAGTCTCAATTGCGAAGGAAAATGAGACCATGTAGATGGAACTCTAAACATTTAATTCTAGGCGATACTAGGTCTTTCAAGACACTCCCCCTCATGTGTTGCACGCTCGGACCCAAGCACCGTCGACCGGCAGTTCTACTCCACTGACATAACTTGCCCGTTCACTTACCAACCACACCGCCGCTTCCGCCACTTCTTCTGGGTTACCCATCCGTCTAAATGGGATGAGATTGACGAGTTTGTGGTAATCTGCACCGGCTGCCTTGGCCTGTGCCACGAGAGGTGTGTCGATGAAACCGGGGCAGATGGCGTTGACTCGAATCCCATCTGTCGCATAAGCCACCGCATCCGTCCTTGTTAGCCCCAAGACCCCGGCTTTCGAGGCAGGATAAGCTCCGGCCGTTGGGTGAGCCGTGATGCCGAAGATACTGCTGATGTTCACAATGGCACCTCGCTGGGTAGGTATTGCTTCGGAGTGATTGCGAGTTTTGAGCGTGGCGGGTTGCTTGAGGAACTGGCGGATCTGCGCCCGTTCGCACAACCACAATCCTCGAAGGTTGACGTTGATGACTCGATCGAATGCTTCCGTCTCCATTTCGTGCGTCCGTAGCCGGGGTTTACTGGTCACGCCCGCACTATTGATACAATAGTGAATGGCTCCAAATTTAGAAACCCCGGCTTCCACCATCTGCTCGACGTCGGGTTCTTTGCTCATATCACCACGGAAGAGAACCGTTTCCACCGTCGTGTCGATGTCTTTCAGTTCCTGCGAGACCTGCTCGAGGCCATCTTGAGTCAAATCCGAGAGTACGAGCCTCGTACATCCTTCGGCGACGAGAATTTTCGCACAGGCTCGCCCGATTCCCGAGGCAGCTCCTGTGACAAGGCCGACGCTTTTGTTCCGGTCAGTACCAATGCTTTGTTTCGTGTAGACTAGGCCGCGTCCTTACCCTGTCATCAACATGGGTGCCATTACTGCGACACGACGTGTTGAACAAGGCGCTGATCAACGGAGACAGAGTGTCGTATGTAGGAGAGCGATCAACAAGGAGGCCGCGATAGCCAGGAAGCAACTGTAAACCAGTTCAAGGTTGTTGAATGCCTCGGGCTGTCTCTGGTAGAGTATTACAAAGGGTACTTTAAGTCCCGTACCTTGTACTCCGCACAGGGGCGTGCCGAGGTGCTTAAGCGGAGATATGAGGCACTAGTGCTAAACAGGACTAGTGCGTTACCCGGCATACCTGCCTGATGTGACACCGAGTCACAAACACGGCAATCACTGCATGATAATTTTCACTTCTTCACCACAATTTGTCCGGACCAACAATCTCGAGGTCGTTTATTATGAGGTACCTATATCTTTCAGTAATGTTTCGTGGTGACCTTTCACCGTGAAACCCAACCCTACAGTACTGTCAGTGGCATGAATCCCATTGTACGAGTACGTAGCTGGGAGGTGTCAATCCGAGTCACAAGACACCGGCCAGAGTGAAATTGGTGGTCGATCGTTTCGCCGAATTTGGCTCGACACAATCAGGTGAGCCAAAAAATGCCGGACCCGCACTTGGACGACCGTGAATCCAGTTTCACAGGGTTCAAGTGTGTTCAGGAGACCCTTGGGGGCTAACCTGCATGTTTCCCCGTGGATGCCCCGACTTGCCCATGCGGAAAAGTCTCCAAGTGTCAATACTAGGTACTTTCGCCGGAGATCCCGGATCAGCCTCGAATTTGGACCACCAGAGCTCTTTGGTCGTCTCTTGACCGTCGACGCAGAGACCTAGACCTCGGCGAACGTCACTGACCATCCAGTCCGGATGCTGATCCATTTCGGTCGTCCAAGGAAGGCTCTTGTCGCTCATTACTCTCGTTAGCACGTAACCAAGACCTTGCGTTGTTCTACGCGCAGGCATGGATTAGCGATAGCAGTGGCAGCCGGATTTCAACTTGAGACGCTCTTCTCTCAGCCTCACTTCCAAGCCTTTTGAAGGCGAGTCCATATTGCAATCAAAAACTACACTGGCCTTAACTTGCATTGCTGTATTTGCTGTGTTGGTACTTGGAATCATGACAGGACGCTTTCGCGATAAAGTGATATTCGTCACTGGGGGCACTTCTGGTCTCGGAGCACAAACATGCGAGCTCTTCTTAAATGAAGGCGCAATTGTCTTCGTCACGGACCTACAGGTACTGTCTCATCGTGCATTCAGATGTTCAGCATCCATTGGGATCAGATCAGGCTTACCCCAAGATCGTTCCAGTTCGCACCCAGACAGCGGTTGCTGGCAAGCTGCTGACGAGACTTGATCGAACAGGAACGGAACGCATCGCAGCGCTTTGGTCGAAATGCCCATTTCCACCAGTGCGACGTCTCGGGTTGGTAACCTCGTACCTAGCATTCTCACCATTCTCGACACTCTTATGGGCTCGTGGCTGGGTCTTTACACCACCACTCCTATGTGTGGATCATCGAACTTCCCATTGACAGATGTAATTCCATCAGATCCAGTGTCTTGCTTCGCCGCCGTTGATGCATGCATGCAAAAGCTTGGAAGGATCGACGTCCTGTTCCACAATGGTGCCATTCTGAGTCCGATAGTTCCCGTGGTCGACCACGACATTGACGTTTTCAACAAAGTCATCATGACCAATCTTTGTGGTGCGTTTTACCTGGCCAAAGCCGTAATCCCCCACATGAAATTGGTGGGAAAGGGAGTGATCGTCAATACTGCCAGTATTTCCGGCATTGGAGGAGATTACGGTCTTTCTTCCTACAATGCGGCCAAAGGAGGATTGATCAATCTCACGCGGACGATCGCCATGGACCATGCAAGAGACGGAATTCGTGCCGTGACCGTCTGTCCTGGGTTTATGGATACTCCCATGTCCGAAGGAACACTGCAAAACGAGAAGCTCCGGGAAGAATTGTTTGAGAGCATACCGATGAATCGCGCGGGGCATCCAATGGAGGTGGCTCAGTTGGTTCTGTTCCTTGCTTCCGATGAAGCATCTTATATCACTGGACATCGTAAGGAACCCCACCAAGAATTTGTCCTCATTCCGTTCTCTGCTGACCACATGCAGCTTTTGTTGTAGATGGAGGATGGATTGCTCGCAACCCCAGTCCAAACTGGTGTAAGTACATTGGAGGCACTGTGAAATGATCTCTCGTGTGCGACGAGGAACACGTGGTGGTTTCGCTCAGGATCCCAATGTCGGTAATGGCCCATGCTATCCCTCAGCTTGTTGAACTGGATTGTAGACGTGTTAGATGAATTGCATCCGGCCATGAAGTGATCCGAACCCCCGCTATCGAATGTGACCCGTTGACATCAGTGATGGCTTATCCTGCGCCTCGAGATCCAGTCCCCCGAAAAAAGAGAAGGTTACACTTTTCTCCCCTTGTAACATTCGTGCTTTGACTGGTGATCTGGGGCGGAACTGAAGGACGAGGACACATGCTGTCAAATTCGCCGAAAGGCAATGGCACTACTTCGTACTCTTGCCCCTGGGCCCTCATCATCTCCACATTTCCAGATCCCGTGCAATCACTATTGAGATTGAGGCTGCCAAAGCCTGATCTTGATGGAGATTGTAATTCTGCAAGTGCTCTTTCTTATACCTAGTATCTGGGAGGTCGTGATTCCATCGATACATCCATTATCTCAGGTATCATGTCGGGCGCAACGAGCAAGATGTACCAAGGACGCTCAGAAGGGATTTTCCACGGATTGCCTGTTCTAGATCCCGCTTTGAAGGGTCTGAGAGCCATCGTCGTGGGCGCAAGCGGTCAATCTGGCCAACCCGTGGTTGATGTGCTCAGTGCCAATCCGAATCGATGGGAGAAAGTCTACGCGTTGTCAAGGAGGCCGCCAACCACAGATGCGGAGAGCGTCGAACATGTACCGGTGGATCTGCTGTGGGAGCCTGAGAAGGTCGCCAGTATCTTACGCAAACACAAAGTCCAAGCGTACGTTGCTCCAGGTGAAAAGCTGGAGATCGCCCGGGAGCAGACATTGACCGTTTCTGACATTTCCTCTTCTCCAGGGATTATGTTTTCTACTTTGGCTATGTACAAGTTGCGAGGCTAGATACTGAGTCGGAAGTATTTGGTCATCCCGATCACTTGGCCGAAATCAACGGTGAGACAATCGGTCTGGGTGGTACGGTCGACAAATCGTCTCACTCGCTGATCGCGCATCGTGTATACAGGACGGCTCTTTGAGAATTTCCTTCTCGCCTTGGATCAAGCCAATGTTCAACCCAAACGTATCGTCCTCCAGACCGGAGGCAAGAATTATGGTGTTCACCAAGGCCCCGTCAATGTACCACTTACCGAGGGCGCGGCGAGGGTGGAACTGGGACCCAACTTCTACTACACTCAGGAAGATTTACTGGCGAAGTACATTACGACACACCCTGGAGCGAGCTGCAATGTCACCATGCCGCAATGGATCCTGGCAGCCGTCGCCGGGACCGACATGACCATCTTCTACCCGCTGGCAGTATACGCTTCCATTCAGCGAAAGCTCCTCCAACCTCTGAAATATCCCGGTGACCTGACATCCTGGGACAACAACCATCCCATTTCCTCCGGATTCATCCTCGGGACATTTTATGAGTGGCTGGTCGTGACCGAAGGTACCGCAGGCGAGTCTTTCAACATCACTGACGGATCGGAATTTACGTTTGGGAAACTCTGGCCCATACTGGCCTCGTGGTTTGGCTTGGATTGGATGTCGCCTAAAGAAAATGGCAGCTACCACGAGGTAGAGCTGCCATTCGTGCCCCGGGGGTACATCTACCTATCCATCATCTCCGGCGTTTCTCGGACTGTGCTGATCATGAATGCGACGACAGATACGGTCCCAAAGGCAAGCTTCGGTCCACATTCAACTTCATCGAGTGGGCAAAGGAGCCGGCAACTCGACAAGCTTGGGTCGAATTGAAAGAAGAACACCAGCTCAACACCGACCCACTGCAGAACCCGGAGAAAACATTTGCGTTCCTGCAGTTTGCGCTCGAGCTCACTTGGTCCTGGCAGACTAGGTAATGACCCTTTCTTTTCGACATCTGGCCTCTCTGGCCAGCTGAAGAAGAGGCAATGCTAACCCGATGCTGATAGTATGAGCAAAGCTCGCAAGTTTGGCTGGCACGGGTACGTGGATTCGATCGAGTCGATACACTCGGTCTTCCAGAAATTCACGGATATGAAAATGATCCCGCCTTTCTGAAGTAGAGGCTGGTGGTATTGGGCAATCATTTCACCTCTCATATGCAGGAATGACGGGATGGGTTCCTATTGGGAGTTGTTGTTTGGGCTTATATCAGATCTTGTAAAGTACTAGTACCTGGTACCTGGTACATGGCCACTGGTTGGAGCATAAGACCACTGGCCGGTGACTCTGCGCAAATTCATCAAAGATCGTGAGTCGTCGTGTCTGAGTTTGACGGTTTGGAAATCGAGGAGAACTGGCTTCTGTTTCTGCACCAGCTCAAAGTCATTACTGTCCGTTTATGCCATGGAAAGGCATCTCCCGGGAAGCCCCTCGGCCTTGGGTAAGTCGCCCATTTTCGCCGGGACACTCAAGCTTCGCCGAATCGTGCGTCGGCACGACTGAAGAACTTCACCAGGCTTGTGCGTGTCAGAAACATCAGGTCCATCGAGTGATCTTGATATAAAGAAATCTCACAATGGAAGCTGTGCAATGTACACCTTTCCTTGGAGCCGATATTGGATCGTCGTGACATGATTCGATACCTCCCGCAAGCCACGCATTGTTGACGGACGAACGCACGAGAACAGCAAATCGATCAACATGAGACGCGTCCTTTTAACTGGTGGTTCGGGCTTCATCGCTGCACATGTACTGGACTATCTCATCCAAAGAGGCTACAGTGTGGTGACGACGGTGCGGTCCACGTCCAAGGCTGAGAAGATCAGAGCCGCATACCCCAAGATCGGTAAGGACCGACTGGACTTTGCGATTGTGGAAGACATCGCGCAAGACAATGCCTTTGACGACGCCGTTGTGTCAAACCCGCCCTTCGAAGCGGTGATTCATACGGCCAGTCCATTTCACTTCAACGTGACCGACGTTCAACGAGATCTCCTGGATCCGGCAATCAAAGGCACAACGGGCATTCTCAAATCCATCATCCAAAAAGCACCCACGGTTAAGCAAGTCGTCATTACTTCGTCCTTTGCCTCGGTCGTCAACCCTTTCCAAGGCTCGTGGCCAGGGCACACCTACACCGAACAAGATTGGAATCCCATCACTCTCGAGCAGGCCTCGGAAAACGTGGCCAACGGCTACCGGGCCAGTAAGACATTCGCCGAGAAAGCTGCGTGGGAATTCTTGCAGCAAGAAAACCCCTCCTTCTCGTTAACGACTCTCTGTCCACCGCAAGTATTGGGACCCGTGATCAGCCACCTCAGCAGCCTCGACAATCTCAACACCAGCAACCAAGTCATCCGCGATCTGGTCCAGGGGAAATTCAAAGCCAAGATCCCGCCCAACCCCACCTTTACGTGGGTCGACGTGCGTGACCTCGCCCTCTGCCATGTCCTGGCACTGGAGAAGGCCGGAGCGGCAAATGAGCGCTTTCTGGTTACTGCGGGCTATTTCTGCAATGCGGAGCTGGTGGACATCGTTCGGGAGCATCACGTTCAATCAGGAGATCGACTGCCTGCCGAGGGAAGTGATGGCGGTGGATATCCAGAAGGCGGGTTCTACAAGGTCGATAATTCCAAAGTCGTCAAGATCCTGGGAGTATCGTGGAGGAACCTGTCAGACACGGTGATGGACACGGTCAAGTCACTGCAAAACTTCCAAACGTAACAGGACGTAGGCAGGTCACCGGAGAGATATATACATTCTCTCTGGGAGCAGAGGGTGCACCCTGACTCGTGAAGTACCTACTACCAGGTAGTATTGCGATTACTTGACCAAATGCCCTGGACCAATTCAACAGTACCGTATGCCCCATTAGATCTTGCTTGCCTGCATGATAATTACTGTATTCTCCAAATCTCCTTTCCGACTGACTGTAACAGGATCATTGACAAAGTCTCACGAAGTCTGCTATAGTGCAACGGCTTTACAGACTGGCTCACCAGAAGGCCAGAAGACGGCCAGAAGGAGACCCTCTGGTAGTCTCGCTCAAGCAACCTCCACATGTCAGGCGCAATAGTACCTTGGATGAAGCAATCTGTCGGCTCGCCTCAAAAGCTACAAATCACAAGGCTACATCCCTTCCTCCACAGCCCCGGTTGTGGCCGGATCCTAGGGACTCGTGACACAAATTGGCCGGGAACTGAGGAGGAACAATGTTCGCCGCCGTCGGGTCCGATCGACAAAGGGTTGGTGGCTCTTCGCGACATACAGAAACCACAATGTAGAAAGGGGGAACCGGCTGATGCGCCACCTTTTTTCTCGACGCCCACACGTTCCCTGTTCAGAGCGTCTCCCACGCCAGACGATCCACAGTTGAGCAGCCGACGACAAGTTTACAGACTGATGGCAACATCCGGCCCACCGGAATCTGGAACAAGAGAAGAAAGCCTTCCCGTCATCCCCTTTTGGCTTCAGCAATTTCGGCGAATGTTGTGCATTGCCTCCTCAGGGCATCCATACGAGGTACCTCGTACTCTACAAGTCTGTCCGTGTCAATGTACGCTACAAGTGGAGGACGGAATGAGCTCGCACCCGGCCGGGGAATCTTCCCTATTCTCCATCATACGTCCCCGTTCCCCAGAATTCCCCCTTGCTGGATAGACTCTGACCATCGAATGGGCATCGATTTCCCCACGATTGACGTTAGCGTCTACTTATGGTAACCTCTCCTCGAGGTATCGCGTCCCGCCAAATCAGATACACCTACTACTTAAATCCAGCACTCCTTGGTCTACCACGAGTTCCTCTGTTGACCTGTATCGTCGGTACAGGCCCTCGTATTGCTGGCTTGTTCACCACGTCTCAAATCAGTCTGACAATATGGCCGACGAAAAGATGGAAGCTCAGAAGGTGGAACACGTCCCGGTCCCTGAGCAATTCTTCCAGGGTATGTTGCTCCAGAGCTTCTCGTTGACATGCTCATGTTTCCTGGCTGATGTTTACCATGACTACCGTATCAGCTGAGCCTGCCTGGTCCAAATACATACCCGGGGGATATTCGCGGTCAAGATGCCTGAAACTCTCGGGTATGCCCATGGTGGTCTGCATTCTGGTCCTCGCCGGGACGTGTCTGCTTTTTTTCGGCTATGACGCTGCTGTGATGAGTCTGGTCAATATCAATCCAGACTATCTGGAGCACATGGACTCCGCCGGAGGAACCTCACACGATGCGGCACGAATCGGTGGCATTGTGAGCTTCTGGTTTCTCGGCTTTCTCGTCGGTAGGGACCCTCCTCTAAGATCCAACACTCACCCGCGTGGGATCCTGAAATATACTGACAATCGTCACTGCATAGGTGCCCTCATGGCTGGTGGCTACGCCGACAAGGTTGGGCGACTCAAATCCATTCAACTCGGCTGCGTCTGGGGCATCTTTGGCGCGTGTCTCCTGGCTTCGGCTGAGAATTTCTCCTGGATGGTCTGTGGACGCATCATCAGCGGAATCGGGTGCGGCCACCTCAACACCATCGCGCCGATCTGGACGTCCGAGCTTGCAGACTACAACTTGCGAGGCGCGTACGTGTCTGTGCAGTTTACCATGTGTGTTGCGGGGGCGACGATGTAAGCCCCGGAAAAAAATGTCACTGAATCGAAAGGGTGATACTTACTGATATTGATCAGGACATACTGGATGGAATATGCCGCGCTCAAGACGCAGTCTCTTCAATTTGCCTGGCGGTTCCCACAGGCCTTCCAAATGGTATTTTTGCTCTTCATCGTCGTCGTCGCCAATTTCCTGCCCGAGACGCCCCGTTATTTGGCCAAGACAGGCCGAGTGGAAGAGGCTCGAGAGATCCTCGGTCGTTGCCGCCTTCGGCCTTCCGCACAGGCGATTGAGCAAGAGTTGGCGGAGATCCAGGAGGCCATCCGGATCGAGGCGACATCCTCGGCTCATGGATTCATTTCCATGATCTGGAAAAAGGATGCTCTCCATACCCGTCGCCGCGTCGGCCTCGCCATGGGGATTCAAGCGATGGAGAAGCTCTGTGGCCCGGACGCCATCGCAGCCTATGGACCCATCATCTTCGGTCTCAGTGGATGTGAGTACCTCGCACCTTATTTCACGTCGAATACATGACCCAAGTGACTGACCGGATTGTTACTGCCTGGGCTTTTAGTCAAGGGCAATCTGCCAATGCTGCTGGCCGGGTTCAACTTCATCTCCTATACCTGCAGCGTGCCGATCGGCATGTACTTTGTCGAAAGAGCCGGACGAAGGAAACTCATGTTGATTGGTCTGTTGGTCATGGGTGGCTCTCTGCTCATCGCAGGCCCCCTGGCCAGAGAGGCCATCAACACGCCCGAAACCGACATGACCAAGAAAAGGGCATATGGTGCCGCGGTGGTGGCCTTTGTCTTTCTGTACACCTGTGGCTTCGGCAGTACATGGATCACTTGCTGGTAAGTCCAACTCGGTCCTCTGCTCCCTTGCGCCCCCGACCACTGGGCTCGGCGCACTTTCGACTACTAGTACCAGTCCGAGTCCGATTTTGCTTACATTCCTTTGTCAAATAGCTGGGTCTACCCGACCGAGGTGTTTCCTCTGGCCACACGAGCCAAGGGCGTCTCGTTGTCCATGGTGTCATTTGCCGCCTTTGGCGCCATCATCAACGAGGTGATCCCCTATGTCATCAGCGCCGTGGGATGGTGGGTCTTCATCATGTTCGCCGTCATGAACTTCCTCCAACTCATCCCCGTGTGGCTGTTCTACGTCGAGACGGCCGATCGGCACCTCGAGGATCTGGACATTCTCTTTGCGAGTGACAGTCCCTTGGCCTATCGGATGGAACGCGAATTCGCCGAAAAGAAGCGTGCACTTGGCTTCCACCCAGATGCAAATGCACCACCGGAGATTGTGCACACCGCTTGAGGTGCTGGTGTGGCGGCCAGCCAGCCAGGAGTACGACCTTCACTTCCTGGCAAGACACCGACGACACCAAAAGTCGAGGGACCAAGGTCTTCTACAACGATTGGGCACCCGTCAGCCTCGTTGACTCTGGTGTCGGTACACGGAAACACAGAACAGGGGCTGCACATTGAACACTCAATCCACAGTCCCGGCGTGCCACTGTCAGGCGCGAGAAGGCGGTAGAGACGCATTCAAAGGGCATGGCCAATACCTAGTACTCTCGAATATGAGACCCGCGGCATGTATGTACCGGTACCTGATACGAGGTACTTTGCGGGAGTAGAATTGTAATACATACAATGATTTGCCCCGAAATGGAAAATCGCTGATGGTTCCTCCGGGTCCGCGTTGTGCCAGCTCCAAGGAACTGGAAGCGTTCACCCACTGCTCACTGTCAAATGCAAAATGACGTCTAGATGCTCGAGCGGTCCAGCACAGAGGCATCCGAGTCTGTCGTCTCGGATATCTAAACAAGGGCTCGGGCTCAGGTTGGTCCAATTCGGCGAAAAAGGAGAAAGGTAATTGTATATCTCTTGCATGACAATTACGAACCAACTGCGAGAGAGTCATGATTCTCTATGGAACAAACTTAGTCGACTTGACTGATACCTGCCTGGACTTTTCAACTCAGATTCATCCTAGGGGTGAGTCCGGCGTATAATTCTTGCCTCTGAATGACCATGACTTGTACCCCTCGCGCGATATCTCACAGTTCCGATCCTGTAGAGCGCCGGGTGCTGAGACAGGACGACGAGGACATGGAGATCCCACCAGAGGGATGGGCAGGTGTGGTAGTGCGTGTGAAATCGTCACCATCTGTTGGAAGCTGCAACTACAACCAGAAGAACTTACAGAGACGGGGTGTGACAGAAAAATGAAGGTCCCGATTTCTTTGTTTCCGGGGAGAAGGTTCCAATTCCCAGCATCGGTCGGTCGAACTACTGAGTCCACAGTGTCTGTGCCATCTTCGATGACGGATATTGATAGCGATGTTTGCCAGGGCCTTTTGAAGTTCTCATCAAGCTCAATGTTGGGGCTCAAAGCTGGTGACTGGGCTGGTTTCCCCGGGGGAGGCGCTGGTACCGGAGTTCATGGTGTTCAGCTGGCATGTGCCATGGGCATAAGACTCGTGGTACTGGATACAGGAGAGGATCGCCAAACGCTGGCACTCAGTCTTGGTGCTGAGGAGTTTGTTGACTTTCTGAAGGAGCGAGACCCGGTCAAGGGGATCTTGGAAATCACCGATGGAGGTGCTCACGGGGTGTTTGTCAGTGGTATGGACTGTGAGAGAATCTACAACACCTTTCGCATCCCGCTGACTTTGGCAGCTGTACAATCCTATCCGGTCTCGCTTGATTATCTCGGCTCACGTCGCGGCGGCGTGGTCATGTGGTACGTAAGACGTTGCGCAACTCTCACCTCTCACCTCTCACCGCTCGAGAAGAAGCGAAGAACAAGGTATTGACTAGGACCAGTGTTGGGCTTCCCCCGAAGGGCAGCTACCACATCGACGCAGCCCCCGCCCGGCTTTGGTTGAGAAACCAGTCAATCAAGGGCATGTTATCGAGCGGTCGCGTTGATCTAGCCGAGACATTGAAATTTGCGAGACGAGGTGAGGCACGAAAGAAGGACGGGCGAAGCCCCTGTAATTGTGCTGATTCTTGGTGACAGGAAAGCTCCAACTGGAGCCGACGGTGGTTGGGAGGAGCAAGTTCAATGAAGCTGTTCAAAAGCTAAAGAACGGACGAGTCGTAGGGTAAGTACCGTGATTCGACACGCGCACAAGTGTGTTGTCGCCCACTAATGTGGATGGGTGAAGGCGAATGGTTGTAGACTTCAATCTGCCCTGATCGTGGAGGGATCGAGGTAGGGTCGACTCCTCCAAAAGTCAACGGTCGAAGCAATGTTTGAAGCATCGTAACAGATACGAAGAGGGAGCCCATCGAGCTGCCTCGGTTTTGCTGCTGTCATAAACCTCCTACACTCCCAATAAGCAAGTGTGGGTGGTTTGATGGACCGGAAATCACTCTTTCCCCCTTTCTAGTTCCCATCTCTCCAATCTTCCCACACACATTTCGCCGAATGCTCTTCCACGATGAGGATTTCTGAGCAATGGCTCAATTGCGGACAGAAGCCAAGTCAAATCTACCTCAGCTACTTGAAGCCTCTGTCAGTTTGGCGTGGGCGCTCCCAGTCCCCATCCTCTCCCCATCCTCCTGCTCAGACACGACGACCACAAACCCCTTTTCTTTTAAACGTCAATTCCTGATTCCTGGTGGTGGAAGACTCTACCTAGTATGGACCTCCGCACAATATGTTCCAGATACGCACTCTGCATAAGCGTGCAGAAGTTTGAACAGCTGCCAAATTACGTTCACAATGACGTCCTTTACGACTCGAAGCCACCCATGACCGCCCACGAATTTGGCCAAATGCTTGATGGTCTGATTCGTGACTGGGTCGATTTCCGTCTTGACGTGGACATGTTGGTTGTGGAGCCGAGTGGCGCCTCGTCGCATCTAAATGGCATGGTTTCTGCAAGATTCAGACTGAGCCATGAAACCCCAAGCGAAAAAGCGGCAGAGGGCCGTGTGGTCTTCTACGAACACGTATTTTTCAATTTCCAGGAAGGCAAGATCGCCCAGGAGGAGACAAATGCTAGAGTGAAGCTTTTCCATATTTGCGAGCCTCGTTGCTCAATCCTACCTTATATATCCAACTTTGGCGGTCAGATTCTGTGACTGAACGAACCAAGCGCCGGATTCTAGATTGGAGCACAGCACCTGCTAGACTCTCTCACGCACACATCTCAACGTCGATGCAAATCGATTTTCGGAGACCGGGGCGCATATCTGTCCGCCTTGTTTGGGCATAACGATTTGATCTTCCTCGACGTGTGCACCTAACTGGTAGCCATCCGCTTCAGCGAAAGCCTATTCGTCCTCGAGCGTCCGCTGCCGACGCATGGCTGCCGGATGGTGTGAGCTCTCAGCGCTGGGGGACACGCGGTGTGAGAGGCGAGAGGCGAGAGAATCGACCGCCCGCCCACACTGCAACGGACCGGGCTGGAGAAGAACCATGCGAGAATCTCGGAGCAGGTAGACCAGGACTTGGGATCGTTTGGGAAAGGGAGGGGGGGTCCCCCATTTTGTACGGTGCGAGGAAACATAAAGGTCCGAAGAAAGGAAGAGTCGAACGCGAGAGGACGCCGGTGTGGGCCACGGATTCCCATGGCGGCGGCGGCGGCGGCGCGCATATTGAATCAGCAGACGGGTACAGATTGAGCAGTCTATGATGTGCTCAGTGTACGAAATGCATGAGATAAGTGAGAGGACGCTGGACGACCTATTCTCCTACTGCGCCTAAGAACCTGGTAGCGCTTGGGCCAGCCATGGCCCGATGTGTATGCGATGAATTGAACTTCAGAAACCCCGTTGCTACCTCTATCTTGAATGGATCATGAAACTGTAATCGACACTTCGGCACAACACTCGCATTTTCTAGTCGACTCACAATATCGCCTCTAGCTCTCCACCTCCGGGCTCTGGACGCCGGAAGTGGCCGACTGAATGCTTACTGTCGCTGTCAATTTTAGGTGCTTTATCGAATCGCCACTGTCCTCGCGAAAGCGATGTCATCTTGTTGGAAGTATAAGTTGACCGGGATCTGCTTTCGATGCCCGCATGCGTGGTAGATGTCCAATGGCGGTTGTGCTTGACTTGCGACAAGCATTCCAGCTCTCGACGACTTCCCACAGGGGCAGCAAACCACTGCATGAGACCGCTCACACCACCGCAAAATGGGTCGAACCGAAGGAGGACTGGTTTCGCACCGCTGCGGGGAGCTCCCGGACACTCTGATCCCTGCCTCTTCGAGAGACCCAGTCTGCGCTCAACAAGAAAGGTACGCGCCAGCTTCGCATTGGATGAATGCGATCAAGCAACTGTGTGGAATCGAGGGCCGTCCCGTAGTTGACATCGCCGTCAACCTAACCGTCCAGAGAAGTACCGGCCACTCATCAGCGGAAGCCTGCAGGGTCCTTTGAACCAATGACTCCACCAATTCGTCTTGTCCACGCTCGTTTTAGAGAGCAGTCGTCCCCGGCTGAGGTCTTTCTTCATCGGCATTGATATTGAATGCTCTGACCTGCCCATGGTGGTAGTTGAAGGTCTTCGATGCACCTTACGAGTACAGTCAATACCATCCGCTAGCATCCAGGGTCTGGGGTGGAGGAGGGGAACGGAGCCAGCTTCGGACTATTTGCTTTGGCATTCGACAAGCTTTGTCGGGGGTTTGATGGATGTGGTTCGACCACAGCCGCGGATCAAAGCCAGATGAGGTGAGATGCTCGGAAGCGAGCCGTGACGGCTGTCCGCCGAAGTGACAGCTGGCATGGACGAATAGCCCATCGCAGCCTTGCAGGGCTGGCTAGGGGATCCCGGCTTGCTGAGACGATCACGGAGTTTAGCATCGTCGGGGATGGATGAAACAGCTGAGCAAACCATGATCGTGCACAGCGAGCGGAAGTCGCCCCAGTTTCACTTTGCTGCCCGCAACAGCGAGTTCGGGGCCTGCCAGTTTCGGCGTTAGTGATTGCAGTGAGAGTCGGAGAGATATCACATGCTGCTTGTAGCGGAGGAAGACGCCATGGTGAACATGTTGTTAGTCGCTTTGACACACGAACCCGCCATCCTGGATGTCTACAGGAGACGCTTGTCAAGAGCCCTTAGCACGGAGGCTGTCTTTCGGATAATTTCGAGTTGCCATGGTTGCTTCGGAAGCGCTGCAGAATGGATTTCATCCTTCCGGTCGATCCTCTCAATTCTCCCAGTCATCCAGGAACCGTGATGAACGAGTGAGAACAGATGCGAACCAAGGTGGCCACAGGGCATCCATGCCGAGCGTCGAACGCGGGCGCAAGCATGGTGAGCGTCCCTTGGCCGCGCTGACAAAACGAACAGGTCAGCAATGGACGATGGCTGGTAGACGACGAACATGGTTCATGCTCAACAAGCAGGAGCGAGGAAGCGAGGAAGCATCTCGCAAACCCCTAAATCCCTTCCGAAGCCCCCACCAACCACCTCCTCTGGGGTTTTGGGTCGACGGTGGAGCCATAGTCGCTAACTTTACTCGCATCATGCATGCGAGTGAGCCACTTGTGCTGATGTCGTTCAGGCACTTCCGAATTCCGGACGCCCAATCACCCCAGATGTGACAGTGCAGTCATCTGGCAGAACTCCCCGAGACCCTGACGATCAGAAAAACTCCCGGTGCAGACCGTTCCTACCATTCCACGATGTCGAGAAGTGAGCCTGCTGGAGTGTGCGGATGAGGTTTCCAAGCGAGTCTGTAAAATCGTGGCATTTCATCATCGTCGATAGGGGAGACCCTGTCGAGACTGGGGCATATCGATAGCCTTCAGATCGGCAACCATGGCTATCCACTGAGCTGGCAGTGCGGAAATTGGAAAAGCCACGGAGCAAAAAGTTGGGGAAAATTCTAGCGACGGTCGGATATAGAGTCACGCACGAAATAGGCTTAAGCAGGCACGGGCAGAAAACAGATAGAAGGAGCGCCCGGGAGTTAGCCCAGGCATGCCCGCGGGCTCATTCAGGCACACCCGTGCATCTTGCACCCCTGCACCGACCACTGCACCTGGCATGCACAGGCATCTTCGTCGGGTTGCCTGGGTTTGCCTGGCGACGCAGAGCGTCATGGTTGTATGGCGCGCTTCTCGCTGCTATTTTCGAGCCAGCTCACCGGTGACGCGGACGAGCACGAGTACAGTACCAGGGACTTGCAGACTGCGCAGTACGGCGCACATGCAGCTGGTTCGTCCGGGCTCCATTCTCGCGTGCCCACGATTATCCCTTCCCAATCGACTGGCACACAAGTCCTGGCTAAATAAGCCGCTGAGCCTTTTGAGGCTTGCCAAAAATGTGCCTGGAGCCGCTTCTGCCTTCGTATATTGCACGCCGAACTCCACCATGATTGATATCCCATGCCAATGCAGACGTCTTCTCATCTCAGAGCCCGTGTTTTTGCTCCATGCCTGTCCCTGGTCCCTGTCAGAACTGCAGACTTTTTGACTTTCCATCCACAATCCAGCATCCCACTTCGTCCCATCCCAGCTCGACATTGGCGGCTTCCATCCTCAAGACTTCCCGCCCGTCTCTGCCTACCCAATCATGGATCCGATGTCTCAGCTCTTCTAAATGAGTCTCAATGTACCGAGTATCAAGGGGATCAATCCCAAACTCCTCCTTATCATTGTGGTCTAGATAGTTGCATTGTTGGCCTGACCTAGCACGCTGTTGCGAATTTATCCAAGCATTCCAGCACCGGCGGACGGACCTTCTCCCCTCTCAAACTGCGATACAACGTTTCCCCGGCCCCGCTAAGAATTCCCGGTAGACGCAGCGCAGACGATCTGGCGAGAGCAAACCAAACGTGACGGTCAGAAACGATCAAAGAAAGGCGGGACCTTGACGGAACACTCCCGGGCCTGGATACCAGCGGTGGAAGAAGAGACCTAGTATTGCAAGGGAACGATTGCTGCCGATCGCTCAGTCGGAGACTAAGGTCGACGGATGTCAAACGTATTGTTGCTCATCCCGCACAAAGACCTTGCTGACGATTCCATACAGGACTGGTCTGCCTGACTGCCTGCGTGGGTCCGGAACTATTCTAGAGACAGACTCGAGCACGAGACGTTATATCGCTCCGACCCCCCTTCGAAAGTCAAGAGGCATCCTTGACAAGAGCGGGTATCAGACTACAACGGACGAGCAAAGAGTCGATCGGCAAAGGAATGACACAGAGGCTGAGGGCACAAGGCTGAACACTGGCATATCCATCGGCACAGGGCTGGATGTGAAGACTGCATTGTGACCTATCAAGACCACCGTGGAAGCTCTGTGGTCGTGCAATTACATCGACAAGGACATAGACACCCCATATTTTGCGAGACCCTGCCATGGCTTCGAATCAAAGAGCCCCAATGGGACCTCCAGAAACTCCTGGCAGATATCTGCAACATCCTTCCCCAGGCCTTTTCCCAACACTTCAGCTGTCCCCGGACATTTATGCTCACCAGTTCTCGACGGGCCCGGCCACAGCGCCGGCCTATTCCAATCAAAGGTTCTTCTGGGATCCTTCAAATGTCGACTTCCACGACCCTTCATTCTGCCAGCCATATCAAGATCACTTCCAATTCAGCCCGGTGACACCGACTCCTCCGTTCACCTCCTCATCGACAGTCCTCCCCAGTCTTGTGGCCACAAATCCGGCTCTGGAAGAGCGGCCTTACGAGTTACCTGCCCTGCCCCGTTCAGCCAGTTACTCCCACAACGACACCTCTGCCTTCCCAGCTCCCTTCACAACGTCGCCGAGAGTTCCTGCGCCGCAGATGGAAAATCCAAGCATGTTCTTGAGCTCACCGGCACGAAGGTTTGGGACTGGTGACCCATATGCGAGCCGTTTCCCACCACACCTGGTCCCTGAACGGCCGGCTTACGCGCATCAGATTGAAGAGTCGAAGCGAGAAGAGGAAAGCAAGCGACTGCGACGAGGAGATTCAAGGAAGCCATCCATTACTCGCTCTGTTATGGAAGCCTTGAGACGCCCCGTCTCTCCGAAGAAGGATGGCCGACCGGGTCTGAAGAGAAGCTTGACAGACACAGGAGTGCGGAATGAACGCGGCTTCAAGCTGCCGAACCTAGGCAGCGTCGGAGGCCGCAATTCTCTCATTCCGCATGACCACAACATGCATAGACCGGGTCGCTCTTCACCGCTCAAGTTAACAGTCGACCCCGTCTCGCGGACGCTGAGCACCAGTAGGGACGCGCTGCGAGGGTCTATGTCTCTGGCCATTGACGAGAACGGTGTGGCCAAAACAGTCATCACAAAGGTCGCTGACGATATGGACCTAGATGGGACATCCGAGAGCGAGGTGGAATCTTTTGACGAAGAGGACTTTCACTTTCTTCACAGCCAAGGCAACTCTTTCGCGTACTGCGGGAACGATGAACCCACCCAGCCTCAGACGATCCGGCTGCATGGTCATTCCAAGACCGATTCCCACTCTACAACGGCCTCGGCCAGCTCTGCCAGGCAATCCTCGTATCAGGGTTCGTCGTCAAGCCTTACAAACACCAGGAGTTCCGACGGACAACAGGGTCGAAGGAAGCGGCCCGTTCTTGGCTCAAACGTTCATGATGATACGTTGATGGAAGAAGAGCCGAGTGGTAATGCCCAACAGGTCCTACGAGCAATCATACAGGACCGCTCTCGATCCACATCCTCGCATGGGGACAACAATCAGCTGCATTCCTCGCCTCCCCTGCACCAGGGCCAATATGCTTCATATAACGCATCGCCGACAACGATCACGGATCCGGATCTCGCCACACCGAGCACCGATATGGATGGTCTCGCAAGCAACCTGAGTCTCCGTTGCCTATGCAAGTCATCTACCCCGGACGGCTCGGTGCCCATGGTTCAATGGTAAGTCATCAAGCCTCTTCTGAACCTGTGGGTTTCGGACTGGCCTGTGTGTGGCCTGCCATTACGAGTACTGACCAGGCCATTTTAGCGACTCGTGTACCAAATGGTTACACAGTACCTGCGTGGGCATCGACCACCGGCGGAGGCCCGAGCCATACATCTGTGTTTTCTGCATGCAGACCCCTCTCCGCTCAGGCCATGCACCGTTACGTCCGTCGGCTTTGCCTTCGACCGCCAGCCCGCTGGCCCACAAATCAAAACGACATCGCTGATTGTGAGCCGTCATTGAAACGGCAGACCTTCGACTCTACCGCCATGTGTTGTGCCCTGCCTTCACATCGGTCCTGTGAGATCGAGCAATACCTGTCTGCAGGAACGCTTCCACGCGTCGATGCCTTGTCTATGTAGAGGGCGCTTGATGTAAGGGGTGGAGGCTGTCAATACATAGATACCCCTTTGCAATGACTGATTATGTCCCATAATGTCCGCACATACGAAACAATTGTTGGAACACGGAACTCGAGCGCCAGCAAAATACACAATCCCATTTGCGTCGACTTTCCAATTCCAGCTCTTTGCATGCCAGTGCGTCCTTTTCCAAACTCGGCTCCGTGCTCCAAAAGAATGTCGGCAGACGGTGACACAAGAAAGCTCATCCGGACTCGATTGTCTCAGATACCTGGCAATCTTCAGCCGGTCGCCCTTGGCACAAGGAGATCGTGAGGGTTAGTACTTGTATATAAGCGCATACCCGCGAGGAGTCGTTGCCACTGGTTGGCATTGATCTTCAGGTTCTCATCCAGCTTCTTCACGATCAGCCATGATGTGGGCCACGGGGATCATCACATTGCTATTTTTTGCGTCGTCTGCTTCGGCTGCTTACCTGGGACTTCTCGGCAGAGCCAACAGACTGTGTCCAGCTGTCGTTGATACCATCGCAGTGACATCGACCGTCAGCGTCACCGTTCCGGCCGTTACCGTCACTGTTGCGCCGACCCTTCCTCTGGCCTCGTCGGACCCGGCTGTCGCTGCGTGTCTGAGCGACGCCCAGGCAACGAGCATAGTTGGCCTCTGGAAGACCGTCCTCAGTCACGCAGACCGCAATGTCGCGGATTCCACAGCTCAACAGCTGATCACCGACGAGTTCCTAGGGACAAGCGATTCCATGAATTCACTCGCTGGAACTTCGGTAAGCCCTCTGATCTCCGTCCTTGAATCCGCAATCTGACCATGCCATCTGGTGCAAATAGTTGGGCAACGCCACGTTTTCCGGCAAAGACGCTTTCATCACGGCTACACTGAACGCACCACCCATCTCACTCCTTACCATACTGGACATCTTCCACGACTGCAGCCGCATTGCATTCTACTGGGCAGCCACCGGTGTGGCTTCAGGCGCCGAAGAGATCCGAGGCATTGACCTGCTATATCTGACGGACGACCGCAGTCAGATCAATATGGCCATGACCGAGTTCAACAGTCTGGCGTGGGCAAAGGACATTGGGTGGAAGATGCAGAGGACGGACGGGACGCAGTATTAGCGGTGCCAGCACGAGAAGTCTCAGCTTTCGTCCCATCGACTCTGCCGGGGGGGTTGTGGAAGAAGTCGGTGCTGGGTAGAAGGGAACTGCCAGGCTTTTATCATCCTCCAGTGTCCCGGCTAGACGGAACAGAGGGAAAGTGGAGCTGCGAAGGTCTTGCACAGGATCACTGAAGGACGCGGCTTCGCCTGTTGTCTTCCTGCATGGCGTAAGCGAGCTTGAAAGAATAAAGAAGCCTTCCCCCAGATCATCCTCGTCTTCTATACTCCGTACTTCGCTTCTTACGGTCACTCGACCTCCATCACGAGGCGGTTGTGACTTCGGCGCCCCGCCTCAGCCAGCTGGACCCTGGGCGCCGAGCGATGACCATGCAGGGATCTAGATCCTTCAAGTGGAATTGCGTGCTCGGGTGATGCCCTTGACCGCCGACATGGACAGGAATGTGACAGGCAGCCATGTTATTCTCGGCAAGACGGGCAACCGCATGTGACGAGATTCTCGCCTTGGGAAGCGCATTGGCACAAGCCACCGGGAATGTCGAGAACCTGCTCATCGTATGACCTTTCCATGCAAGATTGGCCGTGACCGGGCACTTCTAGCTGATCATCATTGGCGTACCAAGCACCAAGAACACCCCAGCCGACGCATCTGTTGTCCGTAAGGTGCCGTTCCAAGCCCTCACTGCCGTCTGTGGAAGCATCTGACCGCCATCGAAGTGAGTTTAGCTGAAGTCAGTCCCAACCTTCGCAACCTTCAGGCATCAGCACGCTCTCTTCAACCAACTCTGGTCTCATTCTTTATCTTGCGCTGCTTCGGCTGGTCCGGCGCGCAACTCAACCTCGACAGACGACAGCGTCGACCAACATGGCTACCGCTACCGTCACCGAATTCGTCACCCGAACGGTGAATGCTACCGCAGCCACCAGTTCCGCCGCGAACCGAGCAACGCCCCAAGGCGGTGTCTTCGAACATGTCAACCCGAGTCACTATGACCCTAAAAACCCCATCATCCTCTTCATCATCCAGGCCGCCATTGTCATTATCATGACCCGCATCATTCATTGGCCTTTGGCCTTACTCCGCCAACCCCGGGTCATTGCAGAGGTCCTCACGGGCATTCTTCTGGGCCCCTCGGTCATGGGCAGAATCCCTGGGTTCACGACTCACATCTTTCCCACCGAGTCCATGCCGGCGTTTACCTTGGCGGCAAACCTCGGCTTGGTGTTGTTCTTGTTCCTCGTCGGCCTGGAGGTGGACTTGCGGTTCTTGGCGAGCAACTGGCGGATTGCCCTGAGCGTGGGTGCGCTCGGCATGGCTATTCCTTTTGGACTCGGCTGTGCCATCGCATGGGGCCTGTATCGGGACTTCCGGAGCGACGCAGGCCTGGCTCCCATCAGCTTTGGTGTCTATATGCTCTTTATCGGCGTTGCCATGGCCATCACGGTAAGTTTGATCGTACTTGCCCGGTCTGCCCTTTGAAATCTACGGCTCCTCTGACAAGATCCAGGCTTTCCCGGTGTTGTGCCGTATCCTGACGTCGTTGAAACTGCTCGGGACGCCTGTCGGTGTGATCGTTCTCTCGGCAGGCGTGGGCAACGATGTCGTCGGCTGGATATTACTTGCCCTCTGCGTCGCCCTCGTCAACTCCGGCGCGGGTCTCACGGCTCTATGGATTCTGCTGGTGGCTGTAGGCTATATCCTCTTCCTGGTGTTTCTGGTCAAACCTATCATGATGTGGTTCCTGCGAAGGACCGGGAGCCTCGCCAATGGACCGACGCAGACGGTCGTGGCCCTCACCATCCTCCTTGTTCTGGCGTCGGCGTTCTTCACGGGCATAATCGGCATTCATCCCATCTTTGGCGCATTCATCATCGGCCTGCTGCTTCCCCACGAAGGAGGCTTCGCCATCAAGCTGACGGAGAAGATCGAGGATCTCGTCAGCGTCCTATTCCTCCCTCTCTACTTTGCCTTGTCCGGCCTGAGCACCAATCTGGGGCTCCTCAACAACGGCCTGACGTGGGGTTACGTCGTCGGTGTCTGCGCAATCGCCTTTTTCGCCAAAATTGCTGGTGGCACGTTGGCGGCGCGGCTGAATGGACTGGTCTGGCGCGAATCCTTCACCATTGGCGTACTCATGTCGTGCAAGGGTCTCGTCGAGTTGATCGTGCTGAACATCGGTCTGCAGGCCAAGATCCTGAGTACGCGTACGTTCACAATCTTTGTGGTAATGGCCCTGATCACCACCTTCGCGACCACGCCGCTCACCGTGTGGCTCTACCCACCATCCTACCAGCGGAAGCTCGAGCTTTGGAAACAAGGCAAGATCGACTGGGACGGGAACCCGATCCAGCGCGCCGACGACGATGACACCGATTCTGGCGAAGCGGACAAACTACGCAAGACCGACGTCGCCCGACGCATACTCGTCTACCTGCGTCTCGACGGCCTGCCCAGTCTGTTTACCATGGTGTCCCTGTTCGCGCAGAAGCCGGAACCAGCAGAACCGCCACACGTGCCTACAACCGCCACTGGGCACGGGCTAGACAACAACCCTCAAGACGAGCCGCCCGTGATGAAGAACGCCCACGCGCTCAGCTCGGTCGCGACGCTGCGTCGCCCGCTGCAAGTCCACGGCCTCCGACTCATGGAACTGACGGAGCGAAATTCCAGCGTGATGCGCGTGGCCGAGATTGAAGAGTTCGCCGGGCGCGACCCCGTCATCAAAGCGTTCGGCACGTTCGGCCAGTCGCGCGACATTGCGGTCGGCGGGCAGATCGCCGTCGTGCCCGACTATTCCTTCTCCGGGACGCTGATTTCACGGGCAAGAGACCTGGCCAGTGACTTGGTCCTGATTCCCTGGTCCGAAACGGGCACCCTGTCCGAGTATCCCAGCCTGTTTGACACCAAGCCGGGGGACCCGCTGGCGAACAAGCAGTTCTCCACGCTCGCGGCCGAAATGTTCGACAAGGCCAGGTCGTTATGCCACGTCGGCGTCGTGCTCGACAAGAGCATCCTGTGCACGCCGCCCGGCAACGGTGCCAATGCCGGTTACACTTCCGGTTCGAAGCCCGAATCGCCCGTGGCGGAACGGCCGAACCGTCAACTCAGCAGGACGCTCACGGGCATCAGTCTGGGCGGCGACTACATGAACTCCACCGTGCACTTCAAACTGCCAGACAGCGGACGATACCGACTGGTCGCACTATACCAACCCGATGGCGAGGACGACCTGTTTGGCGTGCGCCTGGGCCTTCAACTGGCCAAAAACGACCTCGTCGACCTGAAGATTCTATGCGTCCGCAGTGGTGATTCGGACGTCGACGTGGACCCGCCTGCCCACGACGACGACAAGAACCACCACCACCACGACCACCGCCGCCACCACGACGTGAATAAAGTGCGCTCACCCAAGACGCCGACAGACTACGAATTCGACGTATTACGATCAAGCATCTCGACCAGCGAATCGAGCGCCCGCGTCACGGTCCTCGACGTCGACGTCCCCGCGCTGGAAGCCCTCACGACCGCCCTATCCGAGCCCTCTTCGGCCGAAACGCTGCTCATCCTCGGTCGCGGATCGCACTACGCAGCAGCAGCCGCTGGACCCGCCGCGAGGGGAGGAGGAGGAGGAGGAGGAGGAGGAGATACGGGTGGCATGTCCGGGTCGGGTGTTCTGTCCCCGTCAGGCCCTTCGACTTTGTCCTCTTCCTCCTTTTCTCCGCGCGAGGACTCTCGCACCCTGGGACCCTTGGCCACGCGAGTCGTCAGGTTGATTCGAGACCGACAGATCGGCGCGAGCGTGCTGGTCGTGCAGGCGAAGAGGGACGTCGAAGCACATGCCGCCGAGGCGTTCGGTGGGTTTGGTGGGTTTGGTGGCCCGCCCAGCCTGAAGGATGGTAGGGGTTTAGCTCTGACGAGAAAGCTGACGCAAATGAGTGAGGATTAAGGGGAGCTATTTTATTGCTATATGGCTATAGTGATGGTGATGATGATGGTGATGATTGAACGGCAGGCCTCGATGCGACTTTATTATGATTGAGCATTGATCAAGGATCAAGGTCTGGATCAGGATTAATCACGCTAACGTGTAGGCTACTCTGTAATACGTGTGCGGGCGAGATACAGATTGAATTGGACTAGGTTAGAAAAAGGACGTGATGGGATAGGATGGGATAGGATAAAGACCACGAGGATTCTACAGAGCAAAGTAATGACAGTACAAGCAAGGACAACGGTACAAGTACATTAATCGATTTATTGATCAATCGAAGCGATGGGAATAATGCTCCAACAGTAAACGTCGCTTGAAGAGAAGACGATGAGCTTGTTTGCGTTCCATTACTGGCACCCAGGACTTGCTCGCTTTTTGCCTTCCCGCTCGCAGTGTTCTCCTCCCGTTCGTACCGGACTCTTGCGACCCCCCTTTTCCCACCTGTTCCGGCCTAATGTTTCGAGTAATGTTTCGAGCTTTCCAGGAAAGACCTGCTCACTTATTCTCGGGGCCAGAGAGTCCAACGCGTTGGCTATGAGATCAAGATACTAGGTAGCATTCCGAACCGGCGCATGTCTTTTCTTCGAGATCTCTCGCGGTCGTCTCTCCATCTTCACTAGTGGCGCATCTTCTACCGCTACAGTGCGGCCGGACCAAAAACAGGGACAGGGCAGCTCGATCCTCAACCTGTCAGGTCATCCATGACGTCTACCTCCCAACACGGATAACACCTGCGGCGATCAATTTCTGGATCTTAGAGCGAATACCGGGGTTCTTCATGTGCTCGTTCAGTGCCGCAGGATCGGATTTGGCTTGTTGGAGAATCGATTGCATGACCGGTTCGGAGAGGATTCGCACTGCAGACGACAGGTCAGTAACGATGGACATAGAAGGAACACCCTAAGAATGGTTGCAAAGGATCGAGAGAACTGGCTCTCCCAGGCAAGAAGTCGGATACTTACTTATTTCCGGATCCCTTTGGATTCTGGAGCTGGTCTCTTCCTCCGTCTCGCCCTCTCTAGCCTTATACATAGCCTCCAACGCCTTCTGTTGCTGCTGCTCGATTTCGCGGGCATTCTTGCCTTCGGTGTCGTGCTCCATCGCCTCCGTACACACGTCCAGGCACTTGTTGTATTCCTTCATGCCGAACAAGGCCTGTGCTTTGCGGAGGTAGGCTTTGATGAAAGTCGGATCTCGGCGGATGGCTTCGTCGCAGTCTTGGATCGCGGTCGGGAAGGCGAGGAGCTTGATCAGGGCGGCGGCGCGGTTGGAGTAACCCCTCGGATCGTCCGGCGCGCGCTTGGTGAGTTCCGTATATGCCTCGACGGCGCCGGGCCAGTCAGCGTTCTTGAATTTCTCGGCACCTAGTAAACGGGCTTCTTCTGCTTTTTCGGGGTCGATGTATGCGTCCTTTTCCGCTTTGATCTGTGCTTTCTCAGCGGCTTTGAATTTTGCCAGGATGTCGGGAGTTCGGTGTTCGGTCAGGGATTTCTGGTAGTTGATAATGGCCTTGGGTAAGTCGCCGAGTTTCTCGTACGCGGAGCCGATACGTCCGAACGCTTTGGCGATGATCTTGAAGTCGGCCAGCATCGAGCGGCCTTCTTCGATCGCCTTCTCGCAGGACTCGATGCAACCTTTGTAGTCGCCCTTTTCGAATTGGGCGGCGCCGAGGTTGGTGAGGTACGTGATATCTTTGTGGAGGTCCCAAGCTTTGGAGTAATGTTCGATTGCTTCGTCAAACTTGCGTTTTTTGTAGTTTTCTGTGCCAAGGGCTTTTTCTTTGTCGGCTTCCTCTTTGGCCCTTTTAGCCGCAATAGCTTCTTCGTCCTCCGGCTCGGGTTCGGGTTCTGGTTCGGGGGCTTTCGTCTCTGCTTGTGGAGGCGGTCTGGATTGAGGGCGAGCGTCAGGCATGGGGACGTCTTCTTCTGCTTCAGTCGGCCTTGCTGAGGATCCGTCTTCGGGTGGCATTCCCATCTGCATGTCGACGCCCAGTAGCACGCCCATAACCTCCAGGAATCGTGGGTCACCTAGCGCTTGGCCCATGTCCTGAGGGTTCTTCGCGAGTTGTTGCAGTTTGCCCATGAACTGCGGGTCTGCTAGATATCTCGCCGTCTTTGGATTCTGGGCCAGCTTCTGAATCAGTTGAGGGTCATTGAACATGTTTCCAAGTCCCCCCATCGGATCTGCGCCATCGGCACGTGCTTCGGCTTCGATGGCCCGATTGACCGCCTGCAGACCTTGCTGAGCTTGGGCGTTGGACGGGTCGAGTTTCAGGGCTTCTTCGAAAGCATCTTTGGCACCGACCAGATCACCCAGCCCGTGCTGGGCGGCGCCCTTTCTGCCCCAGCCTTTCGCCCAGTCAGGCTTGAGCTCTGTCGTCTTGTTTGCGTCGTCGAGAGCTGCTTGGTAGTCTTTGAGAGAGGCATATGCGCCGGATCGGTTGGAGTAGAGGACGTGGTTGGTCGGGTCTAGTTCGATGGCCTGAGAGAATTTGTCGCTTCAGACCATAGTCAGCAGCCGCGTTAGAAATGGTATTCATGTCCAACTTACACTGCGGTCTTGAAGTCTTTGGCCGCAAAGGCCTTGTTGCCCTCTGCCTTGAGAGCGTCGGCCATGTTCGCAACAAGGATGAGACTAAGTGTAGTGGCAGGTGATGAACAAGTGTCGAGCTACAGGTCGAGAGGAACGGTGGTGAGAAGCGTCGCTGTTAATGGTCTGCTGGTGAATTGAAAGTGAAAGTAAAGAGTTGGAGAAGCAGCCTGATGTACATCCAGCACCACGCGATGCGGGCAGCCACTTGCAGTGTCTAGAAAATTCGGCGCACAGACCACCTACGAGTAGCGCAGCCTTGCCAGCCTCGCCAGCCTCGCCAGCCTTGCCCGTCGCCGACCCCACTATTTACCTATTTCCCTAGCATCCGCCAAAATTTACGGGGATCCATAGTGGGCTGCATTTTCACACTCATATTTCATGCTGCAATATTCCTCCCACAACTACTCCGTACAAATCCTCTTTATCATGTTACGGTGACTCAAACCGCTCTGTTCAAACTCGCTATCACGTCTGGGTCGGCAGGTTTCTTGCATGGCCATGATGTTCACACATCTCTATCCTCATCGGTAGCACACACTCCTCCAAGCCATCTTTGAACATGGCTCCTCCGAAGAAGGCCACGGCCACGGCCTCGCCCACCCCAGGGCCATCGTCCGCTCCTGGTGGCCGGAACCTTGTCGGCGATGCCCTGTATGCCTGGGCCACCGAGAACTACGACCCGGGCTACGTCTTCTCGCAGCAAGAACTACTGAGCGCCCCGGTGATCCCAAACGCAGATGTCACTCTGCTCCTTCCCACCGTTGACTACCTGGTGAGGAAGTCCCTTTTTCGACTCCACGACAGAGCCGGAGGCGGCATAGGCTGGGAGCTGATCGACCTAGAAGTCGCAAAAAAGTATTGATCACACCATGAAACCACCTGCACTTGGGCCTGCTACAAGTGCTGACTAGATTATTCTGAACGCAGCTATGCCGGCCTCAGCCGCAACGAGCAGATTGTTCTCCAGGTCATCGAAGGCGCAAAGAACTCGGGAATATGGACAAAGCAGATCCAGACCAAGACCAACATCCACCAGAACACGGTCGAAAAGGTGTACAAGGCGCTGGAGTCCAGAAACCTGATCAAGCAGATGAAAAGCGTCGCTCACCCGCAGCGGAAGATGTACATATCGGCAAGCTTAATTCCCTCGGAAGATGCGACCGGTGGTTCATGGTTCTCCGAAGGTGTTCTTGATCAAGGCTTGATCGATACCATCTCCGACGTTATCGAGGCCTACGTCTCCACCAGCAGCTGGCAGGAGGTCATGCCGGACGAACACGAGGAGACCAGCTTTGGTCAAAAACGCAGGCGACCGTCCGACGGCTTTGAAGAATATGGCAACGACAAGGTCAAACTCACAAAAACTATCGATGGCCAGAACAAGGTCAAACCCGTCAAGCAGCACGGGCCCTCGAAAGCCTATAAGCCCTTCGAACCGGGGTACTTACGTTATCCTACTCTGCGCGATATCACACAGTACCTCCTCGAGGTCAAAGTCACCGCCTCGGCCCTGCCTCAAAACGCCATCGCCCAGCTGCTGCAAGTAATGATCTACGATGACCGGCTTTTCACCCTGTCCCGCGTAGCCCAAGCCACCGAAGTAGCTGATGACTTCACCAACAATACGGTAACAATGTACCGATGTTTCAAGACGCCGCTGGATCTGATCGAACAGCGTTCCATCGCCAAGCGCAAGATGAGCAGCGACGAAAAGATCCGTTTTGCCGCCTACCGTCATGAAGAACTGGAGGCCCTTGGCCCGGGAGGAGCGAGCGAGGTTCCCTGCATGAGGTGTCCTGTCTTCGACATCTGTGGCGAGGGGGGGCCTGTCAATGCGGTGACGTGCAAGTATTTTACGGAGTGGTATGACAGTCTTGAGCAGGCGGATAAGGAGAAAGAGCCAAAGGAGAAGAAAATCAAGGAGAGGGATAAAACCTTGGTGGATAAGGGGAAGGGCAAGGCGCAGGAGCTGCCCATGGCCACCCATGATCGAGGGCCAAGTATCGAGGTCGAGCTGGAGGAGGTGGAACCCTTATAGCATTGGGTCCTTCTTCTCTGGTCATGGCCTAGAGGCCTCTGCGAAGTCTGCAGAGAGAGAAAGCATCGCGACGGCGTTGGCAGATCTACGAATCGAGCGTGGGCTTGATCACTGAATCACTTAACAGGATCCGGCATGAGAGGAATGAACTCTGTACTTATCTCGCTGTAGCCCTGCAAAGATACCCCCACCTCCGCCTTTGTTTCCAGAGCGTCAGCGGCAGAGCCTAATAGATTTCATCGAGACACCGCGAAATCACTGCTTGAACTCGATCGGACGGCGTCTGAGGTCCATCGCTAGATACCAGCCGAAAGATCTCACTCCTTTCACAGCTGTACCTGTTGCATTGGCCGCTCTTGCTGAGTGGTCGGTCAAGGCTGTCGTACGCAGTTCCAAATGGGTGTCTCGGTGGTTGACAAAAGCCTGCCGCAAATTGTTCATCTGATTACTCGATCATAAAGACCCGAGCACTACTCTGTACTGCCAGAGATGGGAAGTCTGGAGCTGCTCGAAAAGAAATACTAATCAGACGGGCATGTTCGAGAATAATACAAGAGGGTCAAAGTCCCATCCACAGTTCGTTCTTCATGGCTCATGTTCGCCGGTTTTATCTCACTTGCTTGGAATCTAGTAAAGTCAACAATTACACATCTTGACCCATTCTGAATGATACTTCCAAATTAACTCGAATGGCGTCGATGCGGGAAGCGGCAACTCTGAATTTGATATTGTCGCCCAGAGCCTCCGCTGCAAAGATGCTGGTCTGACAGACACCACAGAGACCACCAACGCTGGAGGAGGAACACCTGGCGTCAGACAACGAGGACTTTTCTGTGCTGTATTCCGCGCACCCGCACACTCGCTGCTTCGGCCTTCAGGAACGAGCGCTGCGACTAAAATATGACAGGAGGCCGCAGTGTCGCCCATGCCGCCAAACAGGGCGTTCCATTCCAAATCATGGGTCTACCGCTACCGCCGTCAGCTTTGATGCAAGCGATTGGAAGCCCCCGCCGTTATGGCAGCTTTCGAGAACAAGGTCCACAGTCAAGATACTACTGTACCGTGGAGCACCCGAAACCGAAACCGAAGAGTCTTTGAAGACCGCCTTCGGTCTGGCAGGCCGCCTCGGAAGACCAAGGACACATCTCAATGCAGCCACTCGTCACCCCTGGTCATCTCTACACAAATTCCAACAGGGGACCATCAAATACTGCCCCTCTTGAGCTCCTTAGCTGCCCCTCGTCGCTGACAAGTGGTGACGCAAATCATACCAGCCAGGGCATCAATCGGCGAGACGAGCATGATACCCAGAACCAGACCGGCGGGGGCTTTTCCACGCTTCCGTGCATGACCATTCCAAATACTGGACTCCAGAGCAACAAGCTATCCTGTCGAGCCTATTTTGACATCTCTTTGGTTGCCTAAACGGGAACAGCGATGTAGGTTTATAACAAGTCCCTCCCCCTCCCCTACTATCGTGTTTCTTCCATCGCACAGCAAGATACGAAGCACGGCTCGACAACAGCGAATTCCCATCATCCACAAACAATCCTCCCATCATGCCTGAGTACAAGGGACACTGCCACTGTGGCCAGACCACCTGGACCGCCGAAATTCCAGAAGAGAAGCACATCCTCTGCCACTGCGGTGCCTGCAAACTCCAGGGTGGCGGCGAATTCACCCTCAACCAAATCATCCCAAAGAGCAACTTCCACCTGACCAAGGGAGATTTGAAGGTCTACACGTACAAGGGCGACTCTGGTAAGTCTCGTCTTGACAATGCGACGCCCAAAGTAGTGGTCGGCACCAAAGCTGACGGCGAGAAACGTGAACAGGAAACACTGTCGACTGCTTCATGTGTCCCAACTGCGGGAGCTCACCATATCACCACCAACATGTGATGGGTAAGTCGAAAGTTCCCCTAACCCCTTCCACGTCCTACTCGATGTATATGTCCACATCTCTTCACCCAAGTGGCTTCCTGCACCTGAACGACCTGCTCCGTCATGTCAAGCACAGTCCCTTTACTTACTCGAAGACAAACAGGCGATGACAAGATTGTCATCCGCACGGGCCTGCTTGAAGGCTCCGAGAAATGGGGCAAGCCCGCCGCCGAGATTTACGACAAGGAACGGCCATCCTGGCTGCCGCAGACGGGCGAAAACAGTTTCCCCGAAGTGCCTCCTTCATAGTTGAGACAAGCCAGAAGGGTCGAGTCGGGAGCGACAATCTGACATGCCATACGGACCTGCTGTAGGACAAGCCGGCATGCCAATCACCGGTGTCGAGGAGGGAAGCAAGCTGATCAAAGTGGAAATTATGCCGTGGTCGTACGTAGTTGGTCTACTGTATAGCCGAGAACATACGGAGTACGAACCGTGGAAATACATCAGATCGTTCACTTGTACAGAGACTAGAGACTGGAGACTGGAGCCCATGCTCAGTGCATCGCGCCGCCGAGAACGTACCCTTTGTTTGTCGCTCCTCGAATAACGAGGTCGCTTTCACCCATTCTCCGGTACAGTACATGCACAATATTCGAGCATCGTAACGCATCGAGCTCATCAAGGATAGCATTAAGTATTCGATACAGTACAACACGCATCCCCTATACTCTTCTCTATTCATTCCCTATCCACATCCCTATCCACATCCCTATCCACATCCCTATCCACATCATTTGCCTACCTATCCCTACCTTCCTACCTGCTATCCCTCGCCGCGTTTCATCTTCATAGTCAATAGCCCATAGCCCATAGCCCATAGCCCATAGCTCAAGGCCCAAGGCCCAAGGCCCAGCCCCCGGCCTCGTCTATAGCCTCATCGCCCGTATCGCCCTACCCACTACTAACAGGCGGAATAATCCCCACCTCATCCCCCTCTCGTATCAGCATATCGAGGCCCTCGCCTTCGCTCGTGCTCTCGCTCTCGCCCCGGCCTCGTGACTTATCTCCCCCTTTCGCTTGTTCCCCGCCCACACTTTCCCGGTTCTCGTCCCGTCCCACGTCCCTACCCAACTCGAACTCGACCAACCCATCCGGGTCAAAATCGACGTACTCCAGATTGACAGTGACGGCGCTACTCCGCAAAATCTGCTTGGTCATGCCCGGAAACCGGCTTTCCAGCGTCCGGAACACGCCGCGCAGGGTCGTCGGCGCCGGGAGCGTCAGCGTCTCCTGGTCGCCCGCGAACGTGCTGGCCGAGGCGAAGAGGAGGAGGGTGAATGTGCCGGTGGACGCGGACGCGGACGCGGACACGGACGCAGACATGATGACTGTGTGTAATGTGCGTGCGTGTGTGCGTGTGCTTGCCTTGCTCGTGGTTGTCGGCGTGGTCGTGGGCGTGGTACTACCGCCACTGCTCCTCCTCCTGTGTCTGCTGCTCTGGGCTGTTCTCCTCCACTCAGCTCAGCTCAGCTCGGTTTAGCTGAGCTCCTCTCCTCTCCTTCACGTAGGATTCTCTAATCTAATGTCCTACTGGCCTCCTTCCCTTTTCTTCCACTTCTCTTAGGTTTTCCAAGCTTCAATGAAATATCTTGCCGGTGCAGTCGTCGCTGGAGCCTAGGACGTGTGGATGCTCGGCCCTTGACTTTTCGAGGCTATCACCACTATTGCAGTTTACTCCGTCTGTTACTCCGTATGTACCGAGTACATTCTCTTCGACTTGATCCCTGCTTAAGAACCTGCTTGCGTCTTCCGTTTTTATTGTGTTCTTCATGCAACGATAAAACTTGACCATCCGGTACGTGTCAAAGCTCTTCCACTCTGCCACGGCGAGGTTTCGCGTCGCCCTTGTGAGACCTCAGCTTCGTCCCCACACTCAGATTGGTGTCTCTTCCGGCTTGAAGCGGAAAGGGAGAAATGGTTTATCCGGCCTTCACACTCACGTATATTGTGACCTATGCTATGACGTCGATTGTTTACCAGGCACTTCATTCTCGGTAGACTCGACGCTCCCAATCCATCGCAGACGGTCTGAAGCGCACTGGACAGGAAATATACCCATGACGGTGCTTATGCTATGGACTTACAACTCGTATGATGTGCTGCTACCCTAGGTCCAATTGACCTGGCATATGCGCTCGTTCGTCCCCCGGATTTTGGCTTTCTGTCTTGTTACTACGTTTGGGAATAGGTTGATGATCTCATCTATTTCTAAGCACCTTGTGGCACCTCCCCTCCATGCTCGAACCCACACTCAATTATGCCGTTGTACATATTTTCGTAGGAGAATCGTCAACCACAGACACCACATCAGCGGTTATAGATCAATGTGGATCCAAGGGTGACCTAGTGCTCGAGCAGTCTCAGTGATCCCTGAACCACGACGTTCTCCAAGACCGACCCAGGTGGGATATCAATGGTACTATTCTCGGTTGCAACAATTATGACAGTACCTGCAGTAGGATTAGTAAGACCATCTTATAAGTTCAGCGGTTACCAAGCTCACCTTTGAGGACGATGCCGCGGCCAAAGTTGACATCACCAGTGACAGTCAAGTGATCCAGCTCGACAATGTTGGGGATGCTGCTGATTCTCTTCTGGAATTGGGCCACCTTCTTGAAATCACTGCCCAGCTTGATCAGGGGGGCGGGGCCGAATCGGTTCGGGTCGATGACCAATTGGCCGTGGCTCAAAGTGTACAGGTTTGACTTGACAAGCATCAGGTCGGAGCACGTCTTGACCGGCAAGAATCGTCGTCGGGGGACGTTGACACCGTGAGAGTTCTTGAAGTGCTTGATAGCAGCGCCGACGGCGGTTTCAAGTTGGATGATGCTGATGTCCGCTTCACCCTTTTTGTCCGCAGGGATCGACTTCTCGTTGGGGATGATCTCCATCTCCAATTCGTTGTTCTCGACCACACGTTTGATAGCTCGCAGGTTCATCCAGATGTTGTTGGTGTTGAAGTACTTGAACTTCTTGATCGACTTGAATTCGTTGACGTACTGCTTGGGAACCTGAGCAATTTCCAGCAACCGCGCACGACCTTCGTAGTCAATGATGGTACCACCCTTGACATCAGCTTTGGTCTTGTCTGTCAACTCCATGATATATTCAGCCCTGCTCTCGACCATATGTTGCAGGATGCGGAGGTCCACGACGGCACCGAGGTTGTCAGCGTTGGACAAGAAGATGATCTCAATGCCACGTTCTAGTAGTTGGTCGAGGAGGCCACTGTTGTAGAGTGATTCGAAGACGTCACCGTGGCCAGGTGGGTACCAATCAGACAATTGGGAGTCGTATGATTTCGGCGCAGGGAGGAGAGAGTCCTTGATGACACGAGGATACCTGGATTGGTTGAAGGTGAGAATGTCGATGTTGTGGCCTTCGTATTTCTTGATGATGGATGCCGTGTCCTCGTCGGTGTTGAAGCTGTTCATCAGAACAAACGGCACATTGACATCATAGGTGCGGTTGAGGTATTCAATCTGTCGAACAGAGAGATCGAGGAACGACATGCCGTCTCTGACTTCAATGACCGATTTGGGACCAACACAGCCCATGGAAGTACCCAGACCGCCATTGAGCTTGACGACAGCGAGTTTGTTCAAGAACTCAACCGCATCAGTGTTGGGGAGATCGTCGTAGGCGACGACTTGATCGGGGTTGGGAGGGTTGATTTTGGCCCAGTCGATGGTGTTGCCCTTCGCCCGGTCGTTGAGGTATCTTCGGAACAGAGCAAAGAAGTTGTCCATTTCTGCCTCAAATCTCTTCTTCTCCGCAGGGTCCTTCACCGTGTCGGCGATGTTGTTGAGGGCATTGCGCATCTGGCTGGCGGCCACATTGGTGGACGTGTTTTCGAAAGCCTGCATTGCGGGAGATTTGATTAGCGTGAGATCAGAGTGATGCGGGGAGCGCTTGATAGAGAGAATAGGCTGGCGTAGGTCGATTGGAGGAGGTGCTTCGAGATGTGGCATTTTGAACAAGGGAAGGTGCTGAGCTCAAAGAAACGGCAGAAGCAATCGACTGAGTCGGTTAAATAACAACAGCCGCGGCCACGAGGAGATTACACCAAATCGAGAGGTGACGAATATGAAACAAGGTATCGACGCCGCGATTTGGACCGTGGCTGGACGCGTCCATAGTCATCTCGCCGGGAAATGCTTTCGGACGAGGCGAGTGGGCAGCGCAGCCCAACGGTGCCCAAATCACGGGGTAAGGGAAGAGGGTGGCCCGTGCCAGGGGAGGAACCCATCTCTCGTGTCTTTATATGTTTGACCGCATCGGGAAGTGAGGTGGTACAAAACTAAGGAGGAAATCAAGAAATCTGCTGCTTACCACATGGGATTGTGTCTTGCCGTGGTGTCTTTTCTCAGACTGCGCCGCGCCATTGGAACCGTTGGCTGCGCCCGAAGGACGGAGGTGGGATGGGATGGCTTTGGAGGCCATGGCTGTAGCTCTCGGTTGCGAAACAACAGGACTGGAAATCCGGAACAAGATCTCAGGACAGACTCAGGTCTAGCCGGGTCTCTGGAGATGAATTAGCGACAGTCGAGTCGAGGTTCGACGAAGTAGTCGAGCTCAAGAGAAACGCAAAGTGAGGTGAAAGTGAGAGTCGAGAAAACCGGCAGACTGAAAGTGGGATGAGGAGGTGATGAAAAAAGCGGAAGCTCGAGCTGCCTCATGGAGACCTGGAGCTTTTGCAACAGAATTTCATCACTGCATGCATGTGCATGGGCAGCAGGCAAATGACGTCGGGCAGTCGCGACAGCTCCGTGCTGATGCCGCTGCAGCGAAGAGGATATGCAATGGGATTCGGAAGCCTCATTTGGCGGTCAGGACTCACTTAATAGTGCAACGGTTTAATTGGGCCTGCAGCCGGGTTCGTGATGGGTCGGCGAGTAAACGAGTGGTGGTTTGAGTCGCCAGAAGATGGGTTTACTGACCGGCTGAGGCAAAGATGCACATCAATATATGGCTCGTCCCTCTGCGATCAACGAAATTGTTGGGCAGAGCCGTCCATCAGTGTTGTATCGAGCGGTATTTTCCTCGCAATCGACGACCATCTGGACGACGACGATCCCCCTCCATCACCAGTTTCACCCCACCTAAAATGGCCGTCCGCCCACGTTCGCCCCCCCCGTCGATCCGCCAACAGGGAAAGGTTCTCCTTTGACTGAACCTCTAAGCCCGTTCAAGCCTAGAGGGACCGCCAGAATTGCCATGTTTCACCGGGTCTTCGAAACCGCGGTGGTGCAAGCCGCAGTTCAACTGCGTCGCCGCCATCCACGCTCATCATCCCTTGCAGTTTGTGCCGAGCCAGACAGAGAGAAGGGAAAAAATTTGCCGGAAAAAATATCTCGTTGTTGTCGACAACTATCAGCGACAAAAGCGCACCAGAAATCACCTGTCCCTTGACCTCGTGCTCACTTCCCGCTCATTCTGGTTACGAGTACTAGCCAACTCTAGCTGATGTTGTGCCTTGGAATCGAGTGGCGGTGAGCCTCGGGAGCCCCTCCGTAACAACGGAGCAAGATAAGAAGACACGGTATTCCGATCGAAGCATTCGCTTTGATGCATCTAGCCCGGGTTGGCTTCATGTAATATGACCTTTCTGTAGCACGGCCCGTCTGCAATTAACAGCCTCCCCAGCCACCGCAAGCAGAAGTCGCCCATTAAAAGATAACGCAATATCTACCTGGTATCACTGATTCAAGTACAAGCATAGTCTTGTCACCCCAAAGGGGCGCAAGAGAAAAGCGCCGTCCAAGCCCCTCGGTTCGCGTGAACATATCGGGCTTTGTGCCGTGTTCCTTTGGAAACGCCCACGCTGAAAGATAGAATAGTCGCGATGACCCTTTTCGGGCGTCTTCACGACTCGTGCTTCCCACTGAAGCCGCTGAAATCTCTTCGTGCGAAGAAGCTTCGTCGTCCTTCTCGCTTAGAGTCTGGTGAGTCTCGTCCACTGGTCGCTGGCCGCAGACCGTCGGTGGAGACTCCATTGTTCGCTGCGAAGCTGCTGCGGATGGTGACTGTCCCAGAGCCAGCTTTGACAGATTGCTCGGAACCACTTCCTTGGTCGGAGACGAAGAACATGGCCTCGCCGAGGTCTTTGGACCGTAACATATCGTGGTCTTTGACTTGCAACACGAATTGCGTATCTGCCGAGCACGGCACCTTGAAGCTCTCTTGGTTTTCATCGTATTCGACCGTTCCTGAGGCCGATCTCACGGCCTTGGTCTTGTGCACTTCTTTCGACCCTTTGGGTCCAACCATCTTCAAGACGACCTGGACATCGGCCTTGGGAGCATAGCCAGCCGCAGACACAATCACGAAATTCGCCGTGCCGGTCTCTCCTCCTTTGGCAGCCGTGATTGTTGAATGATTGCTCTTGGTACGAATGTGCATCATGGGCGAAGGCGTAGCTGGAGTCGCTGGTGTGGTAGCACCATCCGGGCTTAAGCTGTCTTTGGCTGGACTGGCCATGGTCGGCGTGACTACCCCTTCTGCAGCGTCCGCTGTGCCATTTGTACCGTTCAGACTGGACTGTGTTTCCTCTCTGCTGCTTTTCCCACGAGAAAAGCCATGTTTGATGAAAGAGGCACCCTTCACCACCCCACCGCCGACTTTGCCGATTCCCTTCACCGGCGCACCTACCACTTTGCCTGCTGGTGCAAATGTGCCTGAAAAGGTTGACGTTCCTTGCCTTGTTCGGACGACGTAGTCGGGCTTGAACAACATTCTAAGTCGAAGAACACCCGACTTTCCGTCCAGGGTATATGAGAGCTCTTGAGGCTGGAATGGCTCCAGCACCTGTAGGTTAAGCACGGCGGAGCCCAGGTGGTCGGCTTTGTCGCCAAAGTCCCAATCATAGACGTCGACTCGGAAGTCGGCTGCTGTCCGGGATGGGACCTGCACCTCGAAGAATTCATTCCAGGCTGGGTGAAGTGTCTTCTTCTGCGTTTTGGTCTTGTAGACCTCCTTGCCGTTTAGCTTGAATTTGCAATATGGATCACTATAGCCGTTGCGATCAGCTGACGGGAGATCTGCCGCATCCATCACGTCAACCCTCAAAGTGCCCATGTTGTTGATGCTTTCGCTGGGGTCAAGCTGCATCTTGACGGGCAGATATTTGAGATCGACCACGACCTTGTTGATACCACCGTTGTTGCTCCTCAATGTGAGCTCGGTGGGCTTGTACAAGCATTGCTGCAAGGTAGGCAGCGTAGGACCAGTCAACTTGGCGACGATATCGTCATCGTCTGTCTTGCCTGTCTTGTCGACCTTCTCGGTCAAGCGAAGAGTGATCCGAGACATATCGATTTCTCGAACCATGGCATCGCCCGTCTCACCGAAGTGATGATCCTTCTGTCGAATCTTGGAAGAGGTATAAGCTGGGAAGGCGTGATCGTCCATCAACACTTCGAGCTGCACATCCGTCTGCGCGAAATGACCTTCGACCAGATTGAATACGATGAGACCGGATTCTGCACGAGATCAGCGTGAATACATTCGAACTTTGATCAAGCTTACCGTATTTGTGGAGATCTTCTGGCGTGATTTTGACTTTGGGAGCCTGCTTCTTGGCCGATGCGATAGACTCTTGGATGGATGGCGCTCCATTTGCGAGGCCGCTAAGCCTGCCAGCCTTATCGAGGCTCTTTCGCAAGTCCCCGTTCTGTCTGGCGACATCCGTCGACGGTCTTGCATCAACGGACGACTTCTTGCTGTGGCTGGGCGTGGCAGGCCCATCTGTAGCTTCAAGCGCAGCTTGCGCCTTTCGCTCTTCTTCCTCTTCTTCTGGGTCCATCACATTCAAAGTGGGGAAGAAGGAGACGGTGTATTGGATGGTGCCCTTTGCTTCACCAGCACCGCCCATCCGCAGTCCGTCCGATAATTCGGCTTTTGTATCGTGGACTTCATAGCCGCCCTCCTCAGCTTCTTTCATGTAATCGGAAGCTGCAATTTGGACCAGCCCTAATGAGCGATCTTTGCCGAGCTTTTCTTCGTCCATCACCTCGAGTATCAGCCGTTCACTCGGTGTATGTATCGGGACATAAATGACCTCGTCCCACGTAGGATTGAGGTCGTTTTTGTAGGTAACAGTCCGGCCTTTCATAATGCTTGACAACAAGACTCTGGCGTACGGGTCTGACTTGCCCATGGTCTCGTAATTCCGCAGGTTCTTCGCACTCTGGACATGGATACGCATCACACCGACCGGCGTAATATAACCACCTGAACCAGTGATGCCTTTCAAGGCGACTGGCTTCCAGTCCAGGTCCAGCTTGACCTTGGACCCAGTCGAGGTTCCGTGCAAGTTGTACCACTCCTGGCCGCTATCAACGAGCTTGAGCATATCATCTAGTTTGATCTGGTAGGTGCCCAATATAGGGTCTGTTGCAAGGTCGCGGCTGTCTTTGATCACCAGGCCGATCCGGGCCTTCTTGCGATCTGTGATCAGCACTGACTTTGTATTGTCAGAGAAGACCGGATTGTTGGTGTGCTTGGGCGTGTTGGTCTTGTGGATTTCCTTGCCGTTGAGGAGTAGCACGGCGTAGGGATCGAACGCACCAACCATACTTTTGCTGCCGTCCAGATCCTTCGCTTGTTCGATTGTGATTCTTGCAATACCCGTGTTAGATTCTGGCGGCGGCAATATCTCTCCGGTATCGAGCTTTTCCGGCTCCAAGACTGGGAAGAAACGAACATCGCAAGTCAGAACTCCGCGGTGCTTCCCATTTGCGAGGACATCGATGGACAGATTTTCGTGCTCTGTCGCTCCTTCCAATCGGTCCAAGGCGAATGTAGCCGTCCCCAGATGCTTGTCCTTACGGACGTCGTTGTAATCATAGACCTGCAATGTAAGGGAATCCGTAAAATTGGTAATGATGACGTACAGAGTCTCGTTCCAGCGGGGGTTGTGGTCTTCATGGATTGTCTTCGTACGTGCAAGCTCCTTGGAATTGTTCAGGGAGACAATCACATACGGATCTGGTGTGCCTGAGAACTTGTCGGGGTTCTTCAGTCCGTGTGCGTTGTGAATCGAAACGGCAACAACTCCGATTGCCAGGTCGATCGGATTTCCTGATAACAGTTTCGCCACTTCGATCGGAAAGACGTTGGGTTCGTACATGATCGGCGCAAGGTTTCCGTGGATCTGTTCTTTGATAAAGTTCTCCAGTCCAGGGATGAAATTGATGTCGAAGCCAAATGTCTCGCCACCCAGAGGTTTGCAAACGTAGTCGATGGTCGGCCGGCCGAGGAAGCAGATGTCCACACGCTCGATATGAGGGTACGGGATCTGCAGCTTCATCTTGACTCGCATCAAACCAGAGAACTCAAAATCCTCGACAATGACCTTCATGGACTTGCTGACGAGCCCTTTGCCGATCCTAATTTCAAGAACCACTTTTGGATTGATCTTGGTTTTGAGCTGGCGAGCAGTCATATCCATGGTGTCCGTTGGAGTGAAGCTAAACTTCCAATCCATCATCACAATGTCGTCCTCCGCCCTAGGGTAGGTCTTGACGTGTTCAATACGAGGGGGCTTGGTACCCAGAACGAAAGCCTCGAGTCTCATGCTGTCAAGGAAGGCTGGAGTAGATGTGCTGAGAACTTGATCCACCGACATGATAACGGCCTTTGCCAGCTGAGGGGCGTAGATGGGCCAGAATTTGGCGAGGAAGCTGTTCATCCACTCGAGACTTTCCGTGTCGGTCTCCAGGCGTGCTTTAGCCATTTCCCGCGTGATGTCGTCTCTGAAGTTTCGCCTCACACGTCTGATCGAGGTCCTGTAGTAGGTGCCGCACGTAGCCATGACGATGAGAACCCATGCTAGGCCGCCCCCGAGGGTAGCAATCAGCCATGATGCGATGCAGGCAAAGACGATGACCGCCGTGTTATGGTACCAATCTGGAAGGCTTAGTGATCCGGTATGTGTCGGCGAAGAGCATATACACACCACCAAAGAATTTCTCATCCAGCTTGCCCTCGAGGACTGTCTGGTGGTCTAATAAGTTCCGTTCGTCCAGATCTTCTTCCTTCTCACCCGAGCCAAAGCGCGGAGCCCAGCCGACCTTGTGCCATTGCTCTTCTTCCTCCGGTGGCACTCCATTGGCCTCGCCAGGCTGGGTTGTAGGGGCATTTGCTTTCGCGGCAACAGCTGCGGGCTCGGGCGGAGGTAGATCGTACTGGTCGGGCTTTCCATCGTCCTGTTGCAGGGTCTGGGTCAGTGATGGAGATATAAGCGAGTCCGGGAAGAATGCATTTACTCACAATGTCAGTGGCTACTCCGATGCCTTTTGGTGGGCGACCGGTAGCATACTGCCGCTATGAGTTTGTCAGTGGTGTACGGTCCAACCGCGCTTCTCCAAGTCTCACCGATCTGGCTTGCGCGGCCTTTTCTTCAGGCGAGGCATTAGGATCAAACTGCAGGGCAGCGGAACCAGCCTTCTTGCTCTCGTCCAGAATCACCCGTGCCGCATCGTCGCCGGTCACGGAGCTGTTGGGGTTCTGGGCAGCCTCGACCGCGCCTTGAGACTTGAGTTCGTTCTTCTCCCTCTCGGAGCTCATGGTGATTGGGTGTGGAGACGATCAATCGACCCTGGTCCGAGCTGCTTCAGCGTCTACTGGTCATGCGGAAGAAGGGAAACCAGACACAAAAAGAAGAATAAGTCAGGGAAGAAACGAGCCGACAGTCACTTGTGCGACTGCTACGCTTTTCCAGCCGCACCAAGAGGAAATAGATTGGACGCGAAGAGATGAACCCGCTGAGGAGAGCGCCTGCGGTCGATGGCTTCTTGTTTGACCGGCGACTGGTGGTGAGAGACGACAGATGCGGAGAGCTCCAGCTTGGTTGCAGGGGGTTCAGCTTGGTAGGCGCTGCTTAGGCTGGAACGCGCCTCGTTAGGCACGTTAGGCTTGCTGGAGCCCGTCAATTACTGGGCAAGCCCGGTCACTAGCCCACCTCGGAACTCGAGTTCTTGACACTCGCCGGCTTCGCCTGCCCGGCAGCCGGAGTGACAGGCATCAAGCAAGCTGATCTTCAAGCGTGGCCACTGCTGGCGCCCGATAATGCGTCGCTTTTATTCGCTGAATCTTGCGATCGATCGTCCCCTCCCGCGGCCTCGTAAGCTACGCCATTCGGCAAGAGATAATGCACATCGTCTTGGTGGCTCAATTTCTTATTTGTGAGGCCCGGTCAGTGCGAACCCGGTTTTTCTTCTGCTACGAGTTGCGTGTACACCGTCGCTGGTGCCACGTGAAAGAAAAAATCTACCCTTCCGCTTGACCGCAGCTGGACCTCAGCGCTGCCGGGATGTCAAAACTCGGGGATCTCGGCGCATACCTCATACACTGGACAGATACCTCGTACATGTATCCATCCCATCCATCTTCGGGAAACTTCCCACACAAGTTCCTCTGGCGTGATTAGGAACGTCGCTTAAACCACCGTAACTGCATCTTTCCCGCTCGGAAATATCCTTGTGGGACCCGTGAGGCAAGTGACGCTCCAGCTCGGGAATGCTCTCTCGTCAACCGGCTACACAAGCGTTGTTGGTTCCACCTGTCATTCCCATATGACGGCACACCGCGTGCACGCCTAATGGAATGCATGTTGTGGATTGGCGAAAGCAGATCGGGTATCAGGAACCGCCATGAAATCAATACAAGATACTGGCGAGCCGGCTCGCAGCCCGCCATGAGATATGTCCATCCTTACTTGACGCCAGTCTGCATTTTCCGCATAACCTTCTCGATGATGGCTGGCTTTTCTCTGCAGTTCGGACAGTACCAGTCTTCATCTTCATCCGGCACTTTCTTCATGTTCAAGCACCCTGTATGGAACCATTGGAAAGGACAATCCTCGTTCTCGCAAGCCACCATCTCACCGTAGCTGCGCTGGTGGCAGAAACAGTAGACCTTGTCGTCTTCTCCGTCATCATCGTCCATTTCATCGTCCTCGCCCGCTTCAGCATCAGCGCCCTCGGCCGCAGGTTGTTGATGCTTCTTGTTGCCGCGTCCTCTTCTCGACTGTGAGGCATCAGTCTCTGAGGCATCTGCTGATGACAGGGCCGAGTCTGCATCTTCCGAAGCTGCCGTTCCGCCGCGTCCCCCACGCACTGACGGGGACTGGCCCTTCTTTCGCCCAGCAGATAATCTTCCCTTATTTGATGCCTTTTGCTTGAGCTTGTTGACCTGCTGATGTGAGATGACTTTCTTTGGAAGGCCAGACTTTTTAGGGGGTGCCGCGGCCTGTTGGGAACCAGTGGTTCGAGGAATGCTGCCCGCACGGCTTGTACCTGTGGGGGTTCCAGCCTTTGGAGTACCTGGCCCAAGCGAGGACTGCCGTAGGCCTGAGGGCTGCGCAGGGAGATTTGCGCCGGCTAGTGGATTTCCGAGCTTCCGTCGTTTGTTCTCAGCACCGAGGGAATGTTCACGCTCGCGTTGACGTTGTTGCTGGACAGCCGAAGCAGGTGTCGCGGGGGCCGAACTCCGTTGCGCTGGGGCAGTCACGGTATTGATCTGTGGCACCGGTCTTGCTTGCGTCTGCTGGACCGTCGCCGCCGTCTGCGCGTTGGCCCTATGTGCATTTGCGTTGAGAGCACTGACAGATGCATTTTGTAGAGGGATGTTTGTGGGCAACTCGAGAAAAGGCTTTTGCGCTTCTGTCTTGCGGTTGAAAACACTAGGTAATGGCGGTCCATCCTGAAGTTGGCCGTCATTTTGCAGTTCTCTGATTTTGACGTCGAGCTTTTTGACCTGGCGCTCGAGGAGCATGCACGCTTTTTCACTCAACGCGATTTTCTGGTCTTGGAGCGCCAAGCAGAGATCATAGTTCTTCTTCACCAAATCGGCGTATTCATTCTCCTTTGGATGAGGTGCCAGCACCCCATTGGTCTTGAGATGCTTCTGAATGTTGGCATCTTTCTGGTTCACCACGGATAGGTGTTTCTGAAGGTCTTTGTCCTTGGCCTGGATTTCCTCCATCATGTGGGTGATCTCAGCAGGCAAATTCGCCGCATCATGAATGAATTGCTCCAATACGGAAGCGCAGTCTTCATTTGATGCCATGGCGGCGGACGCAGGACACCGAGACCCAAAAAAGCGGAGGAGTCTCAACCTAGAGTGAACGGGCTGTTGACTTTTGCTTTACTCGCGTGTTGCGTGTTCAGATCACCGCCACAACACCAAAGCATCAACAGGTCGATTCTTGGCTGTCCGGAAATATAAACGTCCCTCACTCCAAAAAGGTCATGATGACTGACGCGGTCGTTACTGCGAACTTGATGACAGATGAGAGATGCAAGGGGAAGGTGAAGGAAGAACTGAGCCTCGCCCCTTTGGCTTTGGCAGCGATATTATCACCTAACCTCTTTTGTCTTAGTGTCTAGAAATTGTGGCTGCATTTACGCCACGCCACATTCACTTAAGATCTACCCAGCCACATTTCTGCGTCAATGAACACTCCTCGTACAATGAGAATTTACAGTAACTGTAGCCATCAACATCTGTAATTTCCGAACGATAATCACTTCACCCTACTCGATAGACGAAGCTGGGAGAATGCGCCACCAGAAGGTATCGAGGAGTCTTCAACAACAAGGCACGTAATGCCATCGAAACGGCCGTATCACGCGCGCAGTTATTCACAGTGCGATCAAATCACTGTCTCGTTGTAGCATGAAAGATGGCCATCGTGCAAGAATACCATGAATCATCCATCGCCGACCCGGTCCCAACATTCACTCTCTCAAGCGGCCTTCAACGCGAGATTGAACAGAACGGCATCGCACGTCCGAAAGGCTACACAGTATCATGGCATTACAACCCCAGTGTAGAAAACCACCACTTTGGACAAACCCATCCCATGAAACCATGGCGCCTCACGCTGACAAAGTCCCTGGTTCTGTCGTACGGCATGCACCACGCAATGGACAGCTATGTGTCCCGCGCCGCCACGAAAGAAGAACTCGCGGAATTCCATAAGGACGAATACGTCGACTTCCTCTCTGTGGCGACGCCGCAGAACATATACGAAATGTACCCGGAACTTGCCACCGGGACGTTGGGCTATTCGTCGCACATCTTCGGTGTCGGCGACGACTGTCCCATCTTCGACGGCTTGTTTGAATTCTGCTCCACCTACACAGGCGCCTCCATCGACGCGGCTCGAAAACTCTGCGCCAAACAATCCGACATTGCGATCAACTGGAGCGGCGGCCTCCACCACGCGAAAAAGGGAGAGGCGTCCGGGTTCTGCTACGTCAATGACATTGTGCTCGCGATCCTCCAATTACTGAGATATCACCCGCGGGTTCTTTACATCGACATCGACGTCCACCACGGCGACGGCGTAGAACAAGCCTTCTGGTCGACCGACCGAGTCATGTGCGTCTCGTTCCACAAGTACGACAAGGAAGTCTTCTTCCCCGGCACTGGTCCGCTCGAATCCACCGGTCCCATCCACCCGGACAACCCGGGCAAGAACTACACGATCAACGTCCCCTTGAACGACGGCATTGACGACGAGTCCTACGACTACCTCTTCCGCAATGTCATCGATCCTGCGATCAAGACCTTCCACCCAACAGCCATTGTATTGCAATGCGGCGCCGACAGTCTCGGCCACGACCGCCTCGGTTGTTTCAATCTGAATATCCGCGGTCACGGCGCATGCGTATCGTTCGTAAAGTCATATGGTATTCCTCTCCTCGTGGTCGGGGGAGGCGGGTATACGCCCCGAAATGTTGCCCGTGCGTGGGCGCATGAGACGTCCATACTCATCGGCGCAGACCGCAACTTAGACCCAGCACTGCCCGAACATATGCCCCACCGCGACGCCTTCAGAAAGGAAGGCTTCACACTGTTCCCCAACCTGGGCGGCTGGCGGCGCGAGAATCTTAACTCTCGCGCCGACATTGAGAAGATCATCCGGCATGTCAGGGAACAGCTGGCGGGGATTAGAGGCGCGCCGAGCGTGCAGATGACTTACATCCCCCCGGACATTGCGGGCTGGCGGGACGACGTCGAGGAGGAGCTGAAGGCAAGGAGGCTGGAAAGGGAGGAAAAAGGCGAAGAAAGGGATGGAGCTGGCGGATTATTAGCCAAGGTCAGCAGGAGGAGGGAGCTTGAGCGAAGAGACGGATTTGGGGGAAGTGTCGCGTTGGCTAGTGGGGCAGCAAGTCTGAAGCCAGGGGTAGGGGGAGGGGACGGGAGTAGGGTGTCGACCAGTGAGGACAAAATATGACCACAAAACTGGCACCGCCGGGTCCGTGGAGCGGCGCATTAGCACCAGAAGCAGCACCAGCAGAGGCCACGGTGCTTACCCAATATTAGGGATTTTCACGCCCTGGACAATTACCGAAGCACGCGCGATGGTGCTTGCTGGCTTCAACAAACAACGCAATACGGAGTACGGAGTACGGAGTACACTGGTCCTTACCCTCGACGCGCGTGCCACCCTTTGGCACCTACGATTACTGAGACAGCATCTGACCATATCCATCCCCTACAAGCCCTAATTATCCCGGAGGATCGTCGACGGTCTACATGATACGAGCTGCGGGCGGCGAGTCGTCCTTTCTTTCGGTCTCACGGTCACTACCGTGTACGTACTGAGCACAAGCTGTACCCTTGAGCCACAGAGGACTTTGTGTACTAGCACACGGTACTGTACCGACGACCTCTCGTACTCCACGCCTACTGTGCCCTAGGTCCCCGTAGGAAGCCACATCCTCTAATGTAGGTAACCCTCGAACGTCCCCTCGCCACGCAGCACGAGCTACTGTACTCTGTACTCTGTATGTAGAAGCATACCTATACGGAGTACCCTGAGAGTCTTTTTCAGCCCGGCACTCTGGGCAGACCCCCGTTGTACTTGTACTCGTACGCTCCACGCCTCGCGCTCGCCTGTGACGTTCCGGCGCGTTCGACCTGCCTTTTTTACTGTAGAGAGACTGTGTCATCCATCGCTCAAAGAGCAATCAGTGCCTAACATAAGTACTCCGTACTCACGCTACTGTGGGTGTGAAATTGCCCATGTCCCTACTCCGTACTCCGTACTCTCTACAGTAACATCATCAGATCCTCCCCCGAGATGCGAAACAGAGTGCCCTCGACTGCCCTGAAAATAGTTCATTCCTTGCTGTTCCCCTTCCTTCCTTTTTCCTTCCCTCGTTCTCCCATCGATTCACCCCAACGCTTCGCTTTGCGCCATCCACACAGTATGACACTGAAGAGATAGATGACCGCCTGACATGAGACTTACCAGCTCCCTTGTTGCCGTGGCAGCTATGCCCAGGGTCACGGGTGGTCTAGAAGATAAACCCTGGAGTGTCCTTGTCCTCGGGGACCTGGGTAATCACGACGCCATGGCTTACACGGTTCGAGAAACGGACTGGGTGTGGTCATAAAGGCCACTCATTCGCAGGTGTCCACGGTCTCAGCGGCGACGTTACTTTGGGTTTTGCCTCGAAGGCACGCGGAGCTCGTTTTGTTGCCCAACATAATACTTATTGAGTCGACAAATACACGCACCAGCCGGTGTTATGTGTCTGACTTTTGAGATTACTTTCTTCGCCGGATAGAGGCAGGGCGGATTTGTCCTCATCTCATCATAGGCGGGGCGTGTAATTTCATCTCTGCGGTTGGAAAGACGTCCGAAAGATGGCCTATCATATATCGGCCACCAGGGAACATGTATGGTGGCAGAGATTTTTGAATCGAATCGAATCAATCCTTGATGGGGTTCGCAACTTGGTTGAGAGCCAACAAATTCAGCCGAAATTTCATTTGCGTGTTTGATTTCGGCATCATGTCTCATAATCGTCTCTATATCGGGGTATCCAAGCACAATCGTGATAGTGTCAGTCGTAACCTGTCAGCAAGACATGATACGGACCGTTAACCCAGGATTGTATAGCGGAATCCAAAATGGTTGGTTCAAATGATACGCTCAAACACCCGCCCTCAACAGGTCGTGAAGTCGTTCGTCATAGATCCATCTGCATCGGTGAACTACAAACATTCGCTCGTCGTCTACAGGTCCCGGGGCCGCCCAATGGTTGTATAACATTGCTAAAAGTCATGTCTCGTGCGACACTCCCTGGTGTCTTGTGTCTGAACCACGCTCTTTGCTTGATGTGCAGCGGTGCACCGCAGACTGGCGTAATTCATGCCTGGTTTGGGAGGGTTGGTTGTCCACGGCGGGTCTGGGCCGTGCTCGGGAGATTGAGAACGAAAGGAAGTGGTTGATCAGGGTTTTCTTCCGATGACAATGACACTGCAGGACTGGTTAGCATTACACATCTGCAAGGGGGTCAGATGAGGGCTCGAGGGCTTAGCGCGCTTACAGTGGGAAGTAGTAACGGTATTGTCGGGAATTGATCTCCTGGAAGGCTTTGGCGCACCAGCCGTTAACTTCTTCCGGCTTCTTCTATATCAGGTGTCAGTGGCTGACTGCGGACAGGAGTCGATATCGACTTACCCCCAGGAACCGGGTGCATATGTGCATGAGCCAGCCCTGCAAGCCTGTCTTGTAGAAGCGTTCGAAGAATCGCCCGATGTCTTTGAGCTTTGGGTCGCTGGCCCAGGGCCCCAATGGCATTTTGACCTTCTGCTCTTGCACATCCACAAAGCCAGCTTCCTCAATCAGATGTTTCATCTTGGTGGAGATCTTGAAATCCCTTCCAGTGGCCTTTGCCATGTCTTCGGCGATGCGGCTGAGTTTCACGATCTCGGTGTCTGGTGGTTCGTCCGGGTCATCTGTCCTCGCATCGATCTCCATTTCATATTGTTCAATCCAGCCGCCGGACCTCATTTTCCTGGTCACAGTCAGTACATGTGGTGTGAGAGAGAAGAAGAAGCAAAACGCATAGGTGCGAGGCAGCGGTATTTGCATCACTCGACTCACTCAAAGCATTGTTGGTAGACAGGTTTCCAATCTTTCACGCCGACAAAGAGGTTTCGGATATGGACGAGGTCGAACAGCATATCAGGGTTGTTGAGGACCCAATCATCCGTGACATCCTGTATGATGAAGGAGCAATTCGGCTCAATTGAGAGGTCGTGGTGAATTGTATCGAATCCGATGACCTCAGCGTCAGGATATCTTTGGGCTACACCTTCGGCCCAGAAGCCCGACCCAGTGCCGACATCTGCGATACAGCGCAACCTGGACTCATCGATAGGCGACAGGAAGTACCTGTCGCCAAGAAGAAGCAAGATAAGGTGGTGAAGCGAGGCCTCATTCTCCTTCGAGACTTCATCGTAGGGGAACGGGTGACCCTCCTTGTACTCGTGATAACGACGACCATGCTCAACGCGGAAGTTGTGGATCGATGAGGCCTGGGAATACGCCGAGTCTGCGACATCTTCATCTTCAAGTACCTCGAATCCCCCATACTCGGAATCAACCGGAATGCCACCTGGCAAGTTGAGATCCTCCATCTTCTTTTCACTATCAGTCATCACCAAACTTGCATAGTTCTAGCAAGAACGAATCCAACCAGCCGTAGGAGAATATCCAAGGGAAAAAATAAGACGAAAGGATCTCTGTAGGATAATGAACTAAATTCTCGGGCGTCGCGGTGAACAAAGAAGGAGATATCAGATGATCTAGTAGTGGGAGAAGGGAGGCAGCAAAGCATAATGGGCGAGCCACTGCGAGAACAGCCTGGTTAGCGAACTGGAGCCCTTAAAGCAATCCTGAAACGAGGTATTTCGGTGCGAAAGTGGGGAGGAGACGGACCACTGCTAGGTACGATAGAATCATAGCAGGCAGACCAAGAGGGTCGTAAAGTTGTGGATTCGACCTTTGCGGTTGGATTGTCATACCGACTAGCTGGAAAGCATAGGTTTGAATGGATCTTTCTCAATCTCGGATCAACCCACTTGGCATTATCGCTGCCAATGTGCGGCCGCGTACCGAGAATGAAGGCTCGATTGCTGCATCGTACGAGTGGGGGGAGGAGATAACGACTGATTTGATGGTCCGAGACTCTCAGTCGGACAATGGTCAACCTGGGACCTTCAAGAAGGGCGGACGAGGCAGGGTCAAGGAAAGCGGACGAAGGCGCCCGGAGGAGAAGCCTGAAGGTGGTGGATTGAGTGGAAGGGGCTCGGACCGGATAAGCGACGATAGTCGGTGGACTGACTCGACGAGGAGATAGTACCGGGCGTTCAAGAGCTTTCCCACAAGCGAGACAACGAAAGAGGGGATTGGGATTTGGTCGAGTGGGAGCGCAGCGTTGGTTGGTTTTCACTGCTCGCTGAAGGCAAAACTAAGTTAGGGAAATTCCGCAAGCCACGATGAACGGCGTCTGAGAGGCCAAGTGCAGGCGCGAAGTTGCTGCTGGAGCCCGCGGGTGTCATCAGAGTGCAGGAGGAGTGACCAGCAAGTCATGGTTACGCAACAGGATGCAAGTGATGCAACCGTCAAAACCCCGGAGACGTTGAGCCTGGAGGCCTGTCAGTTGTCTCGGACCGTCGAATCACAGGGGCGTCCAGTCTGTCGGCGTCACTGTGAGTGCTGCGTCAATGTCACCGGTGCACAATCTACCGAGTAGGCGCAGTTCTCACCCTGGCTGTGGGCATTCCTTCGGGCTCAGCGCACGAGCAATGTGTCGGCAATTGGCGCCCTTCCCCCTTGAAGCTCGGCTGGCCTCGTACATTGCAGCTCTCCGGCTCATTGCACAGTAGAGTACGAGGTAGGGGACGCGACGGGTCGTCAGACCTCGTGCGGACGGTGTCTTTTCCAGAAGGGTTCCCAACAACCCGGCTCGTGGGATCCCTGATCAACGAACCCAGAACACCGGGCTCGTGTTTCGGCATCGACGGACCCGGCGGCTAAACCCAAGGCGTGCGGTCGTCCCGTCTGTCCCTCCTGCTAGGCAGCTTTGGCGTCTCTCTAGGCATCAATGGAGAAGGACGCCCCGACACCGCAGAATAGCCTTATTGGTACCTAGAGCGCGAGCCCATCAGCCGAGCCCATTATTCGCTTCACAACCCACCGGCCCGGCATTCTGGTACCAGTCTAACGGGTCACGGATAGGAGCCATCCACCCGCCAACCGTTTTCTCACTCCCTCCCTGTCACCTCAGTGCTGGCGCCATCATCGTTGCTCGGGTTGCTGCGTAGCAGGATCGTTGATGGAGGCAGAAACCAGATTCAGGTATATTTGTGCTGCGAGGCAATTGAAGATCGAGTCATCTCACGGGACTTGCTTTGGTCACTGTCTTCTGCCAGTTC